ACTTCTAACGTCCCGTCAGCTTCGTCACACGAGGGGCGCCGCACCGCTGCACGTGCCCTGCCACTTAGAAATGGTTGTCACGAGGCAGCCAAACCTGCCTGTTTAATCCTCGGTGCTGGAATTTTGCCAAATTCCGTAACAAGCCCAGGTTGACGTGATGGGGTGTTTTTGGGAGGTGAATCATTGGTGACTGGGCTTGAGAACCCGGTTGAGTCACGGGCCGCTGCATCGGATGAGTTCATTCCACCCACTCCAACCACGGGCGTGTTTCCAGTGCGGGTCTTGTGAGGACGGTTTGTATTCTTAGGTTTTTCCCGGTAAAGTCACGTAGGTAGAAAAATGTTAATTAAAATTAATAAAAGTAAAGTAAAAATCACGACGTTTCGGAGGCAACACAAGCTTCCGTCTTCAGGTGGACGGTTTGTGGACAGTGAAAATCCCACTGCCTCTCCTCTACTAAGCCCAAGCTGGTCACAAGGCGCCCCCAGCGAAATTAAAGACCCAAAGAATCTAGAAGTATCCAGTGCATTTTTGTTGTTTTGTTTGACGGGACGGTGGCCCAGTGGTTTGTCCACTTGCGCTATGAAACCGGGCGGCTCGCGACTCCCCGGCACGACCGGAGGATCACGCTGCCACTGGACGAAGCGTGCGCAGAGATATCGGCACGCATCCACCATTCATCATCCGCGCTCCTTACCCCGCACCGCTCAGCCCACCAGTGGACCCACGAACATAGCTTGTGGCGATAATGATTCACGGTTCTCTTCCAGGAGTACTCGATGAATTGGCACGATGCAAGACGACGCTTTGATTCAAGGGTCGTTTTCTCTCTCATTTTCCCATCTCGTTTGCACTTTTTAAATATTTCGTAGTCATGTTTGTCTAGTTCTGTTCAGCCCACCAGTGTGAATGTTACATTAATTATCATTTCAATCGTATATTATTTGCATAAAGCATAGGTAACTGATGCTTAAATGCGCCAATCGATGAATGTATCATGAGCCGTAAAAAGTAATTGTAAAACCCATAAAATGCTTACTCACTTACCCCCACTCACCTAACCTCACTCACCTGGCCCCACTCACCTAGCCCCACTCACCTAGCCCCACTCACCTAGCCCCACTCACCTGGCCCCACTCACCTAGCCCCACTCACCTAGCCCCACTCACCTACCCTCACTCACCTAACTCCGCCTACCCCACTCAGCCAACCGAACTCTGCGTTGCTTGTTTAACCTGGCTTAGCTGCATCTCGGTTTTTTCTCAAGATGAATTACACAAACGATCACATGCAGAGCTATCGTCAAATGAATCCCAGCTCCTGAGAAAAGGTCATAAGAAAATGCAATACGTTTACAGATGCAAAATAAATGACGGCCACAAACCGGATTTAGATAAAACGCAGAAAGTATGATTAAATATGCACACACATTATCACGAATAACAACGATAGAACAGTGATGATAGTTTTACACTGTCATGCATCAAGTCCGCTATCCCGGACCGCGACAGTAAATAAGTAAATACTTTATGTTTCCGCGTTTGGTAATTTATGCAAATTGAATCGCACAATGCTGCATAATTTATGATGCGTACGGCTTTCGCACAGAGGCGCGGACATCCACAGACGTGTGTCCGGCACGCGAGCCAGAGAAGGCGCACCAACAACTTTCCCGAGATCTGTAATCCTTGATTTGGTGGGATGTTTTTGCAAATTATAAATCGTCGGCTTGTGACGACAGTTTTCACCCTGCGAGGCCTTCCGACCGCCGGGGCGGACCGCTACGATTTATATTAAACGCTTTAAACACGTCCGCGGTTTTTTCATTTTTACTCCAAATTTCAAATTAAACCCGAAACACCGAATTTTAGTTAGGCTTTAAATAATTCATGCATGAACAAGGGTTAAATAAGTATATATATGAAAATTATTATGAAAAGCTATATTTAAGACCCGGTCATAATCCATATGGTGCTTGTCATTAATCATTTCAAAAGGGGCTTATAAATCCCAGGTGCATTGAGACATTCGCACCAGCCGACGAAAGCATCGACTTGTATTGAGTTAACGCTTCGCACAAACTAATTACACAACACCGCACCGGCACGCACACGCACACAGACAAAGATCCCCCGTGTAGCCCACACTGACTGTTGGGGCAAGTGCTGTGAGCCAAGCACCTGTGAAAACCTGCACGGCACACGAGCGGATTAGATGGCTAGCACCACGCCCGACCGCATTTGTCTCCGCAGTGACGATGATTTTTCCACATCGCCCCAGGTACTTGTTCTGACGCTGACTCGACCTCGGGATGAGGCCCAGGACCGACTCAGATAATCGTCACAGGTATCGCTCAGCTCGGTGGGTTCGTGGCGCGGCACGCTGAACGCGAGGCTACCACTCCCCACGCACACACGCACAGCCACAAAGACAAAGATCCCCCGTATAGCATTCTCAGACTCTTGGGGCAAGTGCTGTTCGCGAGTAGCACCTAGAATGCCGGCACGGCACACAAGGGGGTGGGTGGCCAGCATCACGCCCGACACGCACATGCATAACACAGACAAGTCAACATATTTAAACAACCCCCCCCCCCCCACTTAACTGCCCACAAACACGTCCACAGTGGCAATGAGCCTCCGCCAGCAAGCTCGCCTTGGCCCGGCTAAGCGGGCTTCACAAGACGCATTCGCATTGCGCCGTTGGGTGTGTGCCTCTCTAATTTCCCGATCGTCTGGTCCACCCGCATATTGCCTTTCAAACCCAAATGACGTCCCGTTTGCACACGCGGAGACCTGTGGCGTATGTTTCGAGGCTGTACTCGCTCACACGAGCAGGGGAAGCCTTCTTCCTCTTTCGTTAGGCAGAGGGGGAGGGGATGAGTTGATCAGCAGGGTCGAGGTTGGAGAGTGAGCCGGCGGATGGCTTCAGGGGTAGCCCGGTGAATGAATAGACGGGTATCCACAGACTCACATTGACACCCATAGACTCAAAACAATTACATAGAGACCTATAGACTCCCACTGAACAACACACTAAGAGATCAAAACACTTACACAGAGACCCATAGATTTATATATAGAGACTTACAGACTCCCACTGAACAACACACTCAGAGACCAAAACACTTACACAGAGACCCATAGACTTACACTTGAAACGTATAAACGCGCACTGGACACCCATAGACTCAGAGACCCATCGTATGAAACGATGAAAAATTATGGAATTTGACAGTGGGGGTACAATGTGGGCCACGCTTCGAGATTGGTGACCAGGGCTGCACTTGGAGCTAACTCGTTTGTGTTCGGGGCAGTCGGGGGCGGCTGGGCGGGTTCCTCCCTCCGTAACGCGCTGACGATGCACATTCAATAATATTTTTCGCGAAAGCCACACGTGTGCAACTGATGCACATTCAGCTCCCCTTCGCTGTCTGGCCCGCAGCAGCGGAGACAATGAGTGGCAGAAACCTCATTGGACGACTTAAATTTCAGAAATGTGAAATTGTCTTTCACGTGCGCCCCAAGCTGAAGCCAGATTCGGCATTCCCCCTCAAGAAAGAGAGAGAGAGTGAGCGCTCCTCCTAGCCCAGTGGCAGTGTCACTTCACAAAAAAAGAAATCGCTCGCGAGTCTTCCTCATTAGCGTTGGCCAATTATTGGGATGTTACGCGCCGACATTAAAGCTCGTTTTGTTGCGAGAGCGTCGCTCCGTCGTTAGTGGCAAACAAAAACAGCAAACGTCAGCAGCGCGCCCACTAATTGTGAATTCTGAACTCCCCGGTGCTGAGATGGAAAGCCGTTGCTGTTGACACGGGAAGTCAAAACAGCACAATAACGAGCACACACACAAGAGGACAAATACGACGCACGATCATCTTCACGCAAAGACAAAGAACCTCCGTAGATCCTTCACAGACTGTTGTTAGCGAGCGGTACACAAAGGGGTGGCTGGCCAGAACCACGCCCGACCGCCTTTGTCTCCCTAGTCACGAAGTTTACACGTCACACCAGGTACTCATTTGAGGTTGTGTCGATCTATGAGAGGCCCAGGGCTGGTTCAGATAATCATCACTGGTGTTGGCAGTGAGCGGGAATCAAACTCAAGTCGCTAAGTTCGTCACGCAGCGCGCTAACCATTGCACTGCCACTCCCCAGGTGAGCCACACACACACGCACTGATCCCCCATGCAACCTTTGCAGGCTGTTGGGGTAAGTGCTGGTAGCAAGCTCCTATAAAGGCCGGCACGGAAAACGAGGAGGTGGTGTGTGGCGAGCCCCAGGCCCAGCCACCTTTACCTCTCTGATGTGTACGTGTAAATAGCCATTTAAGAAACCCAGCATCACGCGAACAGCATCTCTCATGCGCTGCAGCAGCAGCAGTGCCTTCTCGTCGCGCCGTGGACATGGACCGCCTCTTCAGGTCTCGCCCGACGTGGCTGAGCTCATTGCGCCTGAATTTATCCGCCAGAGCGTTCCACGTGACGATGAAAACGCACGGCAGCCGCACGCTACGAGGTCACCACCACCACCAGCAGCGCGAGCAGCTGACCCCGAGTGCGTCGTCTCGGGCACTCGGCGAGAGGCTCGCATAGCTCCGGGCAATAGCGGCGAGGTTGCAGTCCTGCGTGGACTCTTGTTTACGGTCAGGCAGCGTTAATTCATCGCACACCGAACCAGGTTCTCATTCAAGACTGAGTCGACTAAGGGGAGGCCCCAGGGTCGGCTCAGATATTCGCCACTGAAGTTGAACCTTGAACGGGAATCGATCTCGTGTGGCCGGCTTCACAGCTCGGTGTAATAGCCACTGCATTGTCGCTACCCACAAACACACACACGCGCGCTTGCACACAATGATGGCGGAGCTGTTTTGCGTGCCCAGGATTCGACAACGCCCTGGGGCATCTTTGGTCTCCGCGCCCCCCGAGTAAACACAATCGCTAGGGAAGGGCGGCCCATCCCTCTCGCACCCAGCATTATCAGCCACGTGTGTGTCAACCGCAGCAAGGTGCAGCTGCGTTCACCTGCCCGCCGAGCCACACAGGTGTGCCACAGGCACGCACCGCGCCTGGCTGAACAACGCCACAACGCCCGCCCGGCGATATTTAACCGAGCGACGTCGCCGCGCTGGTGGTGTCGACGCCCGATGGAATGCGCATTACGCACTCCGACGACTTGAGAGGCCGGTCGCACGAGTGTCGCCGGCGAGCTCGGAGTCTTGCCCCGAGCCGCAGGGAGAGGCGGAGGCATGTTCCACCGTTCCGCGACGCACCTCACGCTCATCGTTTCCTGATTGCGCTCCTGGTTCTCGCGAGCTCGCACGCTCCGTGCCCCCCCGTCGCTTCCCGCGACACCGCAGAGCTCCGAGTGAACCCCGCCGTAAAGTCGGACGGGACCCTCTGCTCGTCGCCTGACCGGCTGAGTGACTGACAGCGGGCAAAGATGACGTCCGAATCGCAGAACATTTACATGCAGCCCATCTCGGCCACGCTGCCGCTGGGCTCCAAGGTGTTCTGGAGGCTGAGTGGAAGCATCATCATAGCAGAGGTGGTAAGTGAACGCGCATCGTCCATGTGCTGTAGTGCACCAGCACTCGAGCGCCTGGTGGCGGTGGTGGAGGTGCAGGAGGCGCGGGTGTTCTGGGCCCCAAGTATTGAATGCAGGTGGTGTGTGGTGGTGGTGGGGAGCGGTAGTGTAGTGGTGGTGGTGTGTGGTGGTGGTGTGTGGTGGTGGTGTGTGGTGGTGGTGTGTGGTGGTGGTGTGTGGTGGTGGTGGTGGTGGGGAGCGGTGGTGTAGTGGTGGTGGTGTGTGGTGGTGGTGTGTGGTGGTGGTGGTGGTGGTGGGGAGCGGTGGTGTAGTGGTGGTGGTGTGTGGTGGTGGTGTGTGGTGGTGGTGTGTGGTGGTGGTGTGTGTGGTGGTGTGTGGTGGTGGTGGTGGGGAGCGGTAGTGTAGTGGTGGTGGTGTGTGGTGGTGGTGTGTGGTGGTGGTGTGTGGTGGTGGTGGTGTGTGGTGGTGGTGTGTGGTGGTGGTGTGTGGTGGTGGTGGGGAGCGGTGGTGTAGTGGTGTGTGGTGGTGTAGTGGTGTGTGGTGGTGGTGTGTGGTGGTGGTGGTGGTGGTGGGGAGCGGTGGTGCAGTGGTGAGCGCGCTGCGCTATGAACCCGGAGACCCAGTTCGGTCCCGGCTCACGGCCAACAGTAGTGACGATTATCTGAACCGGTCCTGGCCCTCCCCTAGGTGGACTAGGCCTCAAATGAGTACCTGGTGCAATGTTTAAACATGGCCACTAGGGAGACAAAGGCGGCCGGGCGTTGTGCTGGCCACGCACTCCCTCGTGTGCCCTGCCAGCCTTCATAGGTGCTACTTGCTAACAGCACTTGATATACGGCGGATCTTTGTCTTTGGTGACATAATGGCAGTAGTGGTGGTGGAAATGATTTAGGCGGTAATGGGCAGTGGTAGTCATAGTGATGGTTGTAAACCATAGTTGCTGAGCACAGGCCTAGAAACCTACAAACACACAACACAGAGTCCCGCACAGAACCAACCTGTTCTGTGAACTGATCACGGTTATAAGACTTTACGGGGGGTCTTTGGTGGTGATGATGACAGTGGTGATGATAGATATAACAGCAGTGGTGATATTGGAGGTGGTGGTGGTTAATGGTGGAGATAGGGAAGATGATAGTGGAGTTAGTGGTGGGTGGTAATATTGGGCGAGTTGGTGGTGTTTGTTAGTGCGCAGTGATATTGGTCGAATTGGTAGCAGTAGTTCATGGTGGTGGTGATGGTGGAGATGATGACAGTAGAGGTGGCACTGATGTTTGGGGCTGATGGTGGTGGTGCTGCACTTTCCCTGTACCTCGAATTAGCACGGTTGGCTACGTACAGTGCGAAAGAAGTTCAACATAGTCATACGTGGCAATGGCATGAACTCTGCCCTGACACCCGGCTGACTGCTGGACTCAGAGCCACGTGAGGACGTGGCGGCAGCTATCATCCCGTGCGTGTCTGGGGCTACACATTGTGTGCATGTCACTGGATCCCAATTTGCGGAGTCTCGAGCGTGAACCAATTGGCCGAGGAGACACGGAGGGATGTGTGAAGACATTACCTCCTTACCTTCTCACCCACGTGGCAGCGCAGACAGAAGATGCGTGCCCGTGCGGAGTGGTCGCGACGTTTGTGCAGTTTATTGTTGTTGTTCTTATTGCAACGCGTTTTTTTTAAGAATTTTTTTTTAAACCCCACACATCTGGAACGAGCTGAGAAGGCGTTGGGATCACGTGCATAATGATGTTTGTCCAATTAGCACGCGGATTCAAGCGGGGGGCGCAGCTTGCGTGTTTGCTTGACATTTGCCAAGCGAGAGTTACGCCGGAAAGCACGGCTAAGCAGATCATTCAATTGCCGAAATTGTTTCTATTTTTTTTTTCTCTTGCGGGTTATTTAAATCCACCGAATAACAAATTGCATGTTTGGGTGCTCGCTGAAAGATTACGGCTTGGCTAAAATATTAACCCCCCCCTCCTTCACTAGCTATGTTTAAGGTAACTACAATACGTGACAGGCAACCGTTTAAAGAGCCCCCAGTGCGTCGCATTCGTGTGCGATCGTTAAAGGTGTAGCAACAATAATGATAACGACTAAAAGTATGATCACTTTACCGCTCAGGTAGACCCACGCCCTCACGGCGTTACCCTCACGGCGTTACCCTCACGGCGTTACCCTCACGAAGTTACCCTCACGGCGTTACCCTCGCGAAGTTACCCTCGCGAAGTTACCCTCACGGAGTTACCTTCACGAAGTTACCCTCACAGCGTTACCCTCACGAAGTTACCCTCACGGCGTTACAGAAAAACTGCACAAACTCTCCCTCAGCTGAGGCTCTCTTGTTGTGACCAGCAGACCTTGACATTGCCACTTAGCTCCTGATCGTATTGTTGTTGCTTGCTGCTTGCTGCTGCTGATTCACGCGCAATAATAACACACAGAGATGTTTGAGAGACAGAATACAAATTTCAGCTCGGGCTGCACGGAATGTGCGCCACGCGCTGCACTTCACACGCGGCGACTTGGGATTGCTCTGCCTCGTGCGAAACGTAAAACAAACACATCCTGAGTTAGAAAAAATAAGGATTTTGAATTTAATTTCCAGACAGGATGGAAATTGCGCGTGCGCTCTCGAGCACCAAACCCCACGCGGCAACTCCGAGAGGGACACTTTGACATTGCCGCCGCTGCTGGCGGCAATGTTTTTATTTGTGTTCGATATCAGAATGTTCTAGCTGCTTTCACGATGTTTGTTTACAAGTTTCACGTGGGAGGGAGTGGCGGCGGGGGGGGGAGCAGGCGGCGTGACGGGAGGTGGGAGGGGGGGTGATCTAATCGCGAGAGAGGCTGGCGGTGTACGGCACGGTGCCCGTGCAGGTCAAGAGCCATCGCCAATCAGGGGGAGGGGGTGATCTAATCGCGAGAGAGACTGGCAGTGTACAGCACGGTGCCCGTGCAGGTCAAGAGCCATCGCCAATCAGGGGGAGGGGGAGCGAGCGAGAGATGAATGCTCTTCCTCGAAGGAAATATTCCGCGAAAAGTCACCGACACATTCACGTTCATCGATTTATTCATCACAGAATGCGGAATTAATTGTATGTATATGAGAGAGAGAGAAACAACTATAATTGGAATGTCATTTATAAATATATATATGTTTAAGAGACGCTGTGCCTTTAGGGCACTGTTTAGGACATTTTTGGTGGCGAACGTCACTGCCAGGGCCGTGACTTAGCCAAGGTTTTTTAAACTTCCCCGCAACGCAGACGGCTTTGGGATGCCTTAAAACAACAGCAGTGGATGAAGCGTGGCCGATGATTCATATAGATGATTCATATAAACGATATATATGCATCATATATTTATATGAATCATGTTGTAATTGAAAGGAGATTCACAAACATCCCGAAATATCCTTACAAGCACGATGGGTATTCCATGGCATGCCTGGTTGTTTGAGGCTGCTGCGTAAGCGGTGTCACCGTGGTGGTTAAGGAACATCTATCGTTGGACTTTGCTTCTCTGTTTCCGCATCTGTTCTGACCGCTGTCACAAAACCGCACTGACCAGCGTGCTGAAGTATGACCAGATCGCCCGTGCCACGGCCCGCACGTTGTAGCCGAGTCTCTCATCCAGCAGTGGATTGACACTGAAGCTGTACTCGTGTCGTGCACATTTCAAGCGTGCGTTGAACTTCTTTCGCACCGTACGTAGCCAAAATCGTTTTTTAATCGGAGGTGCGGGAAAGGACACGCGGACGCCGTCTCGAGGTCACGACGGCCGGACAGCAACAGCCAGAGGCGTTCGCATGGCCGGGGCCAAGCCCACGGTGGGCGAGCAATGCACCCCCGGAGCGCCGGGGCACCCGGCAGCCAGAGGTCGCGATGAGGTCACAGCGCGAGTAAAATAATTATTTTGATTTAAAGCTTTCGTGACTGCAGGGATTCATCTTCTTGGTTCTTTCGGTAAAGTCACGTAGAAGGGAAATAATAAAAAATTATGTTTTATTTGTATTATTTTATTATTTCCCTTCTACGTGACTTTACCGAAAGAACCAAGAAGAACAATAATTATTATAATGATAAATTTTTTTCCTCTCCAGGGGAATTATACTGCGACATTATACCTTGAAGTCATGAGTCAGTTAGAGAAAGACTGTCCCACCTTCCAAGCCGGAAGCGCATGGGGGAGCCGTACGGGACAACCGCGACCACCTCCACGGCGCTTGTTTTGAGTGTTGGTGTCGTGGCGGGACATCGCCGAGCGGTCACGTGCTCGCCGCCTGCTCGCGGTTTGAATCCAGCTCCCGCCCTGGCTAACAATGCGGTTGTATTGACATCGATGGCGAGATGTTAACTACCTCGCCTGGTATGCAGCAGGTCGTGGGTTCGTCCCAATGGCTGTATATTTGGAGTTTGGTTGTCTCTCTCTCCGTGGTCGCGTGTATTTTTCTGTGGCTCCTCGGGTTTTTACTTCCTCATTTAGAGTCAGCACGCGTTTAGAGGATTTGGCTGCTATAAATATCCACGTAATAAGCCACTTCGTTGAGCTATAATTTGTGGCCAGGTCGAATCTGAAAAAGAGCCACATAGCTCAGTGGGCCTTTCCTGGTAAAATAAAAAGTAAAGTTTTTAGTTTGAATCGTGATAATACTTCGCACTCTCCGCTTCACAGTGGAGGTCCAAGATCCCGTGAGGTTATTTGAAACAGGGTAGGCCATCCGAAAGAAAAAAAACGTAATCACAATTATGAACACACAGTGGCCAGGAAGACCCCACGCTATGTCGACTTCATCGGGAAACCCTGTCAGCTCGTAGCAGGCGCAGCGCGTGCCAAGTCCAGCAAGCGACACTCCCCTGCACTCTACACAGAGCCACGGAGCCACACCGCACACTGGCGCACGCACGCCAGGGCACTACATCACCCCAGCCCGTGCCCGCGGAAGGGGACAAGTCCCGAATGCGTAAATCAGCAGCCTCGATGGAGCACAGCGAGTCAGCAGCGAGTGCCCCCCACCCTGGCACACATTCTACCCGCGCCTGACGTAGCAGGAGGAGCGTGCCCTCCTCCTCCTGGAGCCGCCGTCATACAAAACAAACATAAACGAACGGATGAGGTTGGTAACCGGGGAATCAAACCGTGGTCGATTTGCTGTGGTCAATAGCCATGACGCTCGTGATGGATTCAGAATCAGATTATGTATTCATCCTGGAGGAATCCGATGAGCTGTCGAGATTTTAGTTTCCCCACAGACGCCCAGTAGATTCACCTCCTCCCCCCACAGTGCTTCAATTAATCGTCACAATTCAAGAATCGCGGTTGTCATGATTATGTCTCGTGTGTAGCGTCGGTCTCGTCCGTTCTGACGTTCTGTCCCATCATGTTCGCTCCGTGACCATACATATACAAAGAGGTCCGCATGCACAGCCATACACCAATCCACTGCTGCATTAACGCCCTCCCATACCGTATCTGCTGTGAGGATGTTGTTTTGTTTATCATACTTCACCACGCTGGCCGTTGCAGGTTGCTGAACGACAGGGGGGAGGGGTACCAGGACAGGTTCACATATGGCTCGCCACTGATCTTAGTCGTGACTTAGAATCGAATTCAGGTAGCAAAGTTTTGTAGAGCAGTGCGCTAATCACTGCGCCACCACTCGCACTGCCCTATCCCACTTGCCTAAATACGAGAAAATAATCATTACATCTACATGGGACCTTTGTTGCCGCTATCAAAGAATAATAATAGGTTTTACCCTTTATGTCAATAAAACAGTTGTGTTAAGATGTTCATACAGCAAACAGAAATATTTTGCAATGAATCATGTCTGCATTAACCACACGTACTTGGGGTGAACATGCAAACAAACACATGTTCTGGTAATATTTGACATTGTCTTTGAAACTGATTGATGTACACCAGAGACAGCCTTCTTTAGGGCCGAGTCTAAACCAGTGTCAGACCAGAGAATGCAAAAAGGAGTAATTACAAAAATAATTACATAATTTGCATAAATCATTACAAATATATTCTTGGACAGACAATTCAGTGAATGCATCAGTATGTTAATGTATGAATCATAACGTGCCTGATGATAATCACTATGACATCACTCCCCACAACAAAGACCCCCACCCCTCCCCCCCGCGTGGCCAGATGCTGTTAGCGGAGCAGGGAATAATACGGCGAATACCAAGCCCTGACCGCCTTTGTCTTGCCGGTGCTGCTGTTCGTGCGCAGCTCCTGGCACCCGTTGCACCAAACACGCACGGCCAATGTGCAGGCGTGCACACAAGCACTCGCAACTCCAACAATCGCCGTCAGGCTCGCAAAGACCCGACCCTCATTTGGCTTTATACTCGTTAACAGAGGTTGTTTTTGGGGTTAGTTTGCGGAAATAGAAATGTTTATTTAAGCCCGCCAACACCCGACACAGCCAATTAGTAAGGTTTGTCTCTTAAACAAACAAGCCAATGGCGAGTTCAACGACGCATTTATATTTACGTGATCTAACCCCCAAAAAAACCTATATTATGGATATTATTGGTCGCGAAATCCTACTTCGTGTTAAACTGGCTTTATACCGTGCGCCCAGAGTGAGAATCCTGCTGAGATTCCCTAGGAATAAATTACTTGGAGGGAGGTTTATGCCAAAGTATTGTGCGGTTTGAACGAATATTAAATCTCGCGCGACAATGAAATGAACCGCCTGTTGCTTGACAATTGTGAATGTTTGACGCGCTCGTGACCAGCGGTGCCTCTCTTTCTCCCTCTCCCGTGGGGCCCCTCGGCCCGCAGACGCTGGGAGCCCTCGTGTGGATCCTGGTGGCGGCCACGGGGATGACGCACAACCTCCACCAGGGCTGGGTGATGTTCGTCGCCGTCACTTTCTGCTTCTGCTCCATCGTGCAGTTCTTCCTCTACGGAACGAGCGTGCCCGAGTCCCTCGATCTGCCCTGGCTGCTCATGGTGAGCGATCATTGTTATTGTTGTTGTTGTTATAATAGTGACAATAATAATTGTCACCGATAACAATGCAACGATACGACGCTTGCTTCGAGGTATCAGCGACTCGAGTTGGTCTCACGTCGGCATCTCATCCCGCACGTTTCAAGGGCACTCCCCTCTATGTATGCTGAACTTCTTTCGCACCCTACATAGTCAACCGTGCTCATTGGAGGTGGCAGCTGCCCCTGTGCGGCACGATGTGATTCAGCACCCGGCATGCAAGCGCACGTGCGTCTTCCAGTAGGGGGAGGGGAGGAGAGGAGCGATGTTGTGAACTATAACCCCCATTTGGAGAATTTGCTGTGTCATTTATCGAATTTGGCAAAGTTTGGAGCGTTGCTTCGGCACACAACGGCCGTCTTTTACTTTAAATCACGCGGCGGGATCTTTACCGTGCACTGTGAAGCGGACGGCGCGTATTGTTACGGGCGATTCCCCGCGACGTGAACCGGAAGGTGACTCCGCGCTCAAAGCCGCTCCTCCACGCCAACTAAAGAGCGCACGAATCTGAACTGAAATATAAAATCCAATAAAATAACAAAAATATAACTCGTGCTACATTTCATGAACATTTACCAAATTATTAGAAAAATGAAGTGCACAGCTGTGCTTGACATCTCGACTGAGTGATTACTTTGAGACGTGAAAAAGTATCGATCAGTTGAACGCACGGTGCATCTCGCGAAACCACGAAGACAAATTCCACACGCGGTGCAGAGGATGTGCAGCGGGTAAAGGTGCGGCTCCGCAATTATCTGCTTACATCACGGCTGGTGGATGGGCTTTAACTGGACAGAGCTCGGAGGAGCTCTCTCGAGGGAGTTTGGCCCTCGTCTTTCCACACTGGTCAAACGTCTAGAGAGAGGTGGGCGTACCCACACTTCACCCCACCACACACGACCTGTCGACCCATCACTGTGGTGCAACCCATTTATAGTGCTGGGTGGACAGAGGCGGCTTAAGAAACTGGCCCTATTGTTTTAACTGCCGCGCTGGGAGATCGGATCGAACCGGCGACTGAATTGCAAGTCGTGTGCGATTATAACCATGACACCACGATAGCATCCCTGTCTCAACATACATCGCATGTATGGTGTTTTTTTCAATTCATTTTGTCAGACCAAAAATGAACCACATCCCTGTGTGCCGATATGTCTACAAAGTAAACGCAGCCAAGAGGGGACAGGTGAGAGGCATCGAATTCCTGCCCGAGAAAGGTCAGGGCTGGCTGGGCGGGCTATGACGGCTACAGCCGTCCGCGTGTGGGCAGAGACAGCAGCAGCCGCAGCAGAGAGCCGTGAGGGCCTCATTTCTCCAGCAGCCCACCCCACCACCAGGAGCCCACCCCACCACTACCACCACCAGCCCACCCCACCACTACCACCACCAGCCCACCCCACCACCACCACCAGCCCACCCCACCACCACCAGCAGCCCACCGAACCACCACCAGCCCACCCCACCACCACCACCACCCCCCACCCCACCACCACCAGCCCACCCCACCACTACCACCACCAGCCCACCCCACCACCAGCAGCAGCCCACCCCACCACCACCAGCCCACCCCACCACCACCAGCAGCAGCCCACCCCACCACCACCAGCCCACCCCACCACTACCACCACCAGCCCACCCCACCACCACCAGCCCACCCCACCACTACCACCACCAGCCCACCGCACCACCACCACCACCAGCCCACCCCACCACCACCAGCCCACCCCACCACCACCAGCAGCAGCCCACCCCACCACCACCAGCCCACTCCACCACTACCACCACCAGCCCACCCCACCACCACCAGCCCACCCCACCACTACCACCACCAGCCCACCCCACCACCACCACCAGCCCACCCCACCACCACCAGCAGCCCACCGAACCACCACCAGCCCACCCCACCACCACCACCACCACCCCCCACCCCACCACCACCAGCCCACCCCACCACCAGCACACCCCACCACCACCACCAGCCCACCCCTCCACCACCACCAGCCCACCCCAACAAAGCGGCAATGACGAGCCCCGCGCTCACACTTCGCGATCTCGCAACACTTGAGGTCTCGGCATGACGCAGAGGCACGCGGGGAGACGGCGGCGGCGGTGACGCCAGGAGCGCGCCCGCCGCTCCGCCGCGCAGCTCTCCACTGGCATTTTGGCGACGAGCGAAAAATGCCAGCGGAGAGGGGGGGGGGGAGTGAATAAAAGAACAACAACAACAAGAAGACGAAGAGGAAGAAGGAGACGAAGATGATGATGACGAAGAGGAAAAATAAGATGATGATGACGAAGAGGAAAAATAAGATGATGATGATGATGAAGAGGAAAAAGAAGGAGCTGGCGTCTAAAATATGACAAGAGGGGCGAGAAACCCTCGAGCCCCGTCCGCCACGGGGCCCGGAGGAGCGCCACGCGAAGCCAGCGGAGAGGGCGGCGGCGTTCGTCGTCGGCGAGCGCCGTTCCGTCACCGCTCGCGTCGCATCGCCCGGCTCCCTGCGAGTTCACAAACGTTCAGAGAGCCCCACGGTGCTGGCTTCCTGTTTATTTTTAGGTGGGAATTAAAAGGCCGGAGGCGCCGTGGGATGGGGTTCGTCGAGTGTCCGTGCTCCAGCAGGGTGGATAATGCCCCAAACCCACCCCGGAATCATGCGGCGAGCATTTTATTAAAAGCCTGCAGGTTTTTTTATTATTTCGCCGTTATTTCGTGATGCATCCAAAAATATGCATTGCGTGTAAAACCTCATTATTAGCTATGAGGGTCACCTCCAATCGCACTCCTCCCTCACCCTCTGCTTCTCGTGATTCTGTGCTCACGGGGTTTGTCGGCGAAATAGTTTTAATTTATTGATTACAAAACCAAGCTCGGAAAAAAGGGCCCTCCCCTCGTTCCTCGTGACAAGTGTCCGCACAGCATCTCGGATTGCCACAGAGAGTGGCTGATATCACCAAATATACCAGACCGCGTGCAAGTAGTCCAGTAATGCCCATTTACATTGATGTACAAACCCCCGTCACTACACTGCTAGATGAAGGCCTCCCTCCATGCTTTTTGGTCAAGAGGGTAGTTTGACCATACTTCACCACGCTGGTCGGTGCGTGTGATGAAGGTGCCCTGGGCTGGTTTGGAAACCACTCGCCACTGGTTTCAGCCGTGGCCGCGTATCGAACTCAGTTGGCAGGGTTCATAGCCATATGCGCTAACCACTGCACCACGTGTGATTAAAATATATTTTGGCGTGTGTTATCTTGAGCGCAATAATCCATTTAAACCGACAAATGAATAGATAATCCCTATTCACCACCCCACGTGGTCAATTTGAATGCAAGTGATAACGGCCGCTGCGTCTCTACCGGAGGAACATCTGCGGCTGGCGATAAGCAAAACGCGGAGCGGTGGTTGTGGCGCCGTCTCCACAGACAGCGGCCGCACGGGGCTCCAGCCGGATGCCGAGTTCCACGATGGGACCCCCCCTCTCCCCTCCTGCCCCCAGGCTTGCCGAATGACGCCACGCAAGTGCGGCACATCCAATAGGGGGCGGGGCATGGGGGGGGGGTGATCGACCCAGCCCCCACCCCACCTTAAGAATCCACAAATTGGTGTTTTATTGATTTTTTTCCAGAGGCAAAAAATATTGAATGTTTGTATACTAATTATTATTAATGTAGGGCCCGAATAAAAAAAGAAATCAGGACTAACCCCCCCCCCCCCCATTGGAAGTTTCTAGATCCACACATGTCTAAATACAACTAAAGAAACACATTTACTTTGATGTTTAAATAACGTCCTGCATGTATCCAGCAAAGACTCAACTGAGTCTTGAGTACATTATTCAGGAGGGGCCCAACGTTGGCATTTTTGGCCGATTCCACTTCTGAGTGCCAGGCCATGCCCACTCACAAAACAACAAGTTGCATTTTTGAAAACAGAATTTTATTCACACGTGTGTACAGTATCAATGTATATATTTATTGGTGGATTGATCATCAAACATCATAATACAGGCGGCGTAACGACCTGCTCGCCAAACAAAAGCCAAGAAAAAGACGAATCTCCGAGACACGGCACAGAGACGGTGTTCATGTCGCCCCCCCTCTCCCCCCAGGAGTGTGTCTACAACATCCTTGCTTTCTCCATGTACCTGAGCGCCGCCGTGCTACTGGCGAACCTCTGCGTCCTGCTGGGCAAACAGGACATGCTCGTCATCATGGACAACTACATATACGGGCTGAGCGTAGCGGCCGTGGTGAGTGTGGATCGTCTGATGTGTCCGTGTTTAATCATCACCGTCATCATCGTCACCACCAATCATTCTGCATCTATGTGTGTGTATGTTGAACTTCTTTTGCACCGAGCGTAGCCAACCTTGTTAATCGGAGGTGTGGGGGAAGGACAATAAACTGAACACAAAAAAGCTGTTCAATCTTGATTTGAAGCTTTCGTGACTGCAGGAATCCATACTCTTTGGTTCTTTCGGTAAAGTCACGTAGGTAGAAAAATAAAATAAAGTTACAAATAATATATCACGACGTTTCGATCGCAACACAAGCGGTCGTCCTCAGGCGGAAAACATCATCCAGCAGTGGAACTGCTGAACCAGGAAGACCACAGCGAGAGAGCTGTGACAACAAGAGGTTTTATATGTTGGCGAAGGGCAAGCAGGCGGGGTCTGAGCTGGAAAGGAATTCCATCCCCGCACGCAAGCACGTCAGTTGTGTTTTAAAACAACTGTTCTAAAGAAAGTAACGCGGGAGGTAGCACGTGACTACGGACGGTCACAGTTGAGTGGAGGCCATCCAGGCCGGCAGCAATTGCAAGGCTGCGCTTTTAACTTTTTTTTAAAAAATTATTATCTAAACACGCGTGCCGCCTCGGTCGCCACGCACGCACGCACAGCGATGCTGAATGACCGGGCGCGCCCTCCCGGTGACTTTCGCACGAGAACGCCGCCACGACCATCACGCACCCATCGCGCCTCGTGCGACCACGCTGCGGTGATTGGCAGCTGTCCCGAGACTGATTATCGCTGATGACTTCTCACAAGCACCGTCACCCTGGGTGATGGCAGCTCCTCCGCTGAAGGGAAACAAATTATTCGTGGCCATTGGTGAATTCCTTTTGAAGGCGACTTGAGAGAGGAGTGGGTTTTCTTTGTATCCCTCGGTAGTAAAAAAAAACATTGATTAAAAGTTCAAACCCGTGTCCTCACCTGCCCTGCCCTTTTCGCCAGTAAAAAAAAAGAAAACTCTTACACTTTTTGTTTCCTACAAAGACAATGTTCGTACAGATGACGTTCAAAAATAAAAACAATTATTAATCATCACCAGGCATGCCCTATCTACTGGTGGACATAGGCCTTCTGTTTCTTGGATCTTTCGCTAAAGTCACGTAGAAGGGAAATAATAAAATAATAAAAATTTAACAGAATAAAATTCTCACGACGTTTCGGCCACAACACAAGCAGCCGTCCTCAGGTGAAGTACAGAGCTGTCGGAAAGACAGCGTCCTAATGTGTTGTGGCCGAAACGTCGTGAGAATTTTATTGTTTTATTTTTATTATTTTTGTATTTCCCTTCTACATGACTTGGCCAAAAAATCCAAGAATATGAATCCCTGCAGTCACGGAAGCTTTAAATTGAAATGTATAGGCCTTCTGCTCAAGCCTTCGCCCCTCCCTTCAATGTGACCGAGTGAAATGCACCAGCTATCACTGCCACGCTGAGTGTTCCACGGGGATGCCTCCCTGAGTCTTGAGACTCGATTTCAGGAAAGTCCTGTCTTGGGGTGTGTGGACAATACCATTCCTCTTTGGCACGAGTATCTGCCGAAACCCGACGCATATACGGGTGATACCACTCAAAACTGCACACGACCGTGGCTTGTGTATCTTTATTGGTCTCTAGGTATCTAAATTAGTTTATAGTGTATCTCTGTGTCTCGATGTATCTCTTATAGGTTCAATGTGTCTCTATGTATCTCTACGGGTGTCTATGTGTTCTCCGTGTCTCTATCTATCTCGATGCGTCTCTGTGTATCTCTAGCTTCGTTTACTGCCGCTTGGCAATACGTTCAGGAGCTCGATGGCAATGTGGAGGTCTGCTGCTGCTGCTCACGAAGACAGGGCTTCGGCAGAGGGAGAGTTCGTGGGGTTTCTCCTTGCGGGTCGGAGACGTCAGCGGTGCCCCCCCCCCCCCCGGCCACGTGGCTCCGTGTCGCCGTCAACACGACGAATGAACACGACGAATGACATCGATGTGGTCGAATCGGTCCTCCTTCTCCTCGAAATATTCCGAGCGATCAGGTTCCGAGCGCGCCGGACGCTCGCCCATGCACGGTGACTGCAATCGCCAACGGTGACATCGTTGGCGGGGCGCATTAAACCGATTAATGTATTCCTGGCAATTGCAGCTTTGTGGGCATTTCAAGGGAGCTGAAAGCACGTGGTCTATAGACGGGCGCAGGTCCTGCGCTGATGCTGCAACCGTGACGCCAACAGCCTTTATGAATTAAATATAGAACCGGTGACAGGAGGAGGAGGGAGGGGAGGGAGGAACGGGAGGGAGAAGCGTGCGTGGACACGCGTGGCGCCGAGGGCAAGGACTCAACAATCAAGCGAGATTTGCTCATCTCTCTCCACAAAAATAGCCCCCCCCCCCGCCTTCTGGAACTTAAACACCGTCTGTAGACCGCAAACATTTGTTTATATTATCCCCCCTCCCCCACCCCACCCCACCCCATCTTTTGCAATCTTTGTGTGGTTGTTTTTTGGCGAGTGTTGTTCACACTTAATAATGAGAACACTGACGTCAAAGTTGTCAGATAGATGTTGATGAGTCGCCCTGGGTGGGGTGTACAGTATCTGGACTGTACCAGCAACCTCCCTCCCGCTGGGAGCGAAAAAAAACTGAACTCGCTGGGCAGGCTGAGCACGGCCCTACAATGAGAACACAAACACGACTCACCGTTTCGAGCTAAATGTATGTTGAACTTCTTTCGCACCGTACGTAGCCAACCGCGCGAAATGGCCCTTCGTCGTCGCATATGTCAACACAACGCGTTATGTGTTTCCCTTGTAGGATTTTGTTGAGTTTGTGCTTTTAAAACAAAACAAAAATACATTAAATGTAACTGGTACTGACCAAACATCCCAATGCCGAACAATTGCCTGCAAATTAAACCGTCGGGGTTACACACAGCAACATTGACAACATCGCCCCCCATACCACGTCAACACTGGCAGCACCCTCGTGAAACTGATCTTGAGACTCATCGAGGCTTTCCTCAGTTCATGAAGTGAAGAATAATAAAAAATGCACCACTGCCAATGGTGCATTTCCCGCACATCCGGTTAGCACGGTTGGCTACGTACGGTGCGAAAGAAGTCCAACATACGCACATACAATGCAGTGTCACTTAGACACGTGTTCACAAGATGAACTGCGGATGGACAACCGAGCGAGAGCCCCGTTCAGCCGAAACATCCCTGCGTGCCGTCTCGCCCTACAGGCGACTGCTGCCTGCTAGTCACTGGGGCTGGGTGTCCCGTCTCACCTACAGGCACCTGCTGCCTGCTAGTCACTGGGGCTGGGTGTCCCGTCTCATCTACAGGCGACTGCTGCCTGCTAGTCACTGGGGCTGGGTGTCCCGTCTCATCTACAGGCGACTGCTGCCTGCTAGTCACTGGGGCTGGGTGTCCCGTCTCATCTACAGGCGACTGCTGCCTGCTAGTCACTGGGGCTGGGTGTCCCGTCTCACCTACAGGCGACTGCTGCCTGCTAGTCACTGGGGCTGGGTGTCCCGTCTCATCTACAGGCGACTGCTGCCTGTTAGTCACTGGGGCTGGGTGTCCCGTCTCACCTACAGGCGACTGCTGCCTGCTAGTCACTGGGGCTGGGTGTCCCGTCTCACCTACAGGCACCTGCTGCCTGCTAGTCACTGGGGCTGGGTGTCCCGTCTCACCTACAGGCGACTGCTGCCTGCTAGTCACTGGGGCTGGGTGTGTGTACGCGTTGGCTCGGGGTGGCCTGGTCAATGCGCAGCAGCAGCAGCGGCAGACGTCGTCGGTGTTTGTTGTTTTATTCATCGCGTCCCGAGGCGTTCCGCGCCGGGGAGGCTGCGCGAGTCGGGGTCGCGGTGCGGCATTACGAACCCAGGCGCCGGAGCTTTCATATCGGCCGGGATTGAAGCACGGATTCAGAGACAACAACAACAGCAGCAGCAGCAGAAGCCGCGATTCGCCACGACGTGGCGGTGACGTCACCGCGGCGCTTGTGCCAGGCTAGGTGCACTTTGAGGCTACCACGTGAAGCGAGGAAGGATCTCCGCTGGCAAGCCAGGGGACAGACCCAGCAGCTGTCACGGGTTGGCTGCCTGACATGACCGACTCATCTCCCCACTCTTTCCAACTCGCTGCGTTCTATGTGCCCGGCGCTCCGCTCGTTGACGTGAGGGTCACTTCCTCTGCCCTCCGCTATTGCTAGAGGACGACTGCCTCCAAATGCCGAGTAGCAGCCAGCGTCCTTCACGAGCCTCCTTCCACGCTGGGAGAGGTGGGGTTACCCACATTTTACCCCACCACGCGCACCCACCTTCCCATCGACGAACTGTGGTGGTACCCCAGCACGCTGCTGGCGGGACAGAGGTGGAGGGTTCTAAGAAACGTTCCTCGTTGTTTCAGCAGCTGATGGAATTACAAATCCAGCGCGCTGACCGCTACGCCACGGTGGCAGCGGCCGATGTTTTTTTTAATCTTTCACGCGATATCAAATCATTTGCCGGCGTATTGTTTAAAGTACGTAGATCATGAGAGCCCCCACCCCCCACACACATCCAGACTGCCCCCTCCCCTGGGGGGCGCAGGGCTGCCGGTAATGAGCTGGGATGGGGGGCGCCTGTGAAGCGCGCGAGCGTCTGTCCGTCCGGCCACAATGAGGAGGGAAATGAGGAGTTGAGCTACGCACGTTCGTGCGCTCTCCACGTTTGATGTTTTTTTTTTCTTTATTTAATGAGGTCGAGAGAATTACAATGATAAAAGCCCGCTCACATGTTTTGCCCAGCGTGGTGGAGTGAGGGTAAAATGTGGGTAGGCCCACCGCTTACATGATGCCTGCGCAGCGTGGAAGAGTAGGCCAAAAAATTCCCCCGAGAGGGGGGCTCTCTGCAGCTCTCTCTAGAGGAGGCCCCTTCCGCCAGCAGTGGCGCGAGCGAGCAATTGCAGGGCTCCGCCTTTATCTTTTACATATTTAAAGACGGCGATAATTGAAGGGCTCATTCTCACGTGGGAGCCGCCGCTTGCTTTCTGTTGTTGTCGGGCTCTGTGACGACCCCTTCTATAATTGGGCTCCACGGTCTGGCTCTGCCCCGCCAATCCCCAAGGGTGCTCGCGCTGCCTCACTCAACGTGCTATAGATTTCCTATCCTGCTCCTGCGAGCTCAAGTCCGCTCGCCGGCAGAGAAATATCGCTACGGCGCCTTCCGTTAAACGTCAAGGAGCGCTCCCTCTACCGCGCGTCATTCGGCGTGTCGTCCCGACGTTTCGCTCCGCGCGTTGAAAGCTTCTTCCGTACCTGAAGAAGCTCCAAGGACGAGGAGCGAAACGTCGGACATCACGCCAAATGACGCGTGGTACAACCCTGTACAACCTCGAAAACCTAAGCAGTACGGTTTACGGACCGCTCGAAACAGCAGCGGGAACAAAGGTTAAGTCGTCAAATGGAAATGATCAATATTGTGGTGCTGAAGGAGTTGACAGCACGACCCAGCTAATGGATCGATTACATTATGCTTGATGCAGCAGCAGGACTGACCAAGGCCGATGATGATAATGATGATAAGGGATAGTTTTCGAACGTCAGAGATGTGGAGGCTTAAAATTGAGTGACAGGAAGAGGAGGAAGACGCGGCTTGGAGAGCATTCTGGGACTAATGGGATCATTCAAACTGGGAAGAAGAGCTCAAGTGGACAGCCGCCTGGTGACGTCACGGCGGGAAGGAGCTGGCTGGACTGTTATCTCAGGACGGTGAGATGGTGACGGCTCGGTGAGGGCTTCATTCAGTAGTGGATTGACCATGGCTACTGCTGCTGATGATGATGATGATGATCCCATTTGTCTGACCTCAATTCTATCCGGCCACAAATAACGTGCCTTATTTTGCACGGTCGTTTGCGGAAATATACAATTTGACTCTTTGGGCCATGCACATGACCCGGAATTAGGTTTGGGTGTTTTTTTCCCTCTTCCCAACGAGATCACAAAGCCGTAGCGTGGAAACAGCCGCGGCTTTAACCCAACCGGAGGATGGTGGTAAGAATCGACATACTCGCAGAGACTCGGTCCCCACCCACACTTCGAATTTCACATCGCGTTGTTGTTGTTGTTTTTATTTGTGAAACGCGTCTTGGGTATGCCGCTGCATTTAGACACGGCATAACTGTAAAATCGCTACAGATGTTGCTGCTGCTGCTACTGTTGCTACTACTGCTGCTGCTACTGCTGCTGCTACTACTGCTACTGCTGCTACTACTGCTGCTGCTACTGCTGTTACTGCTGCTGCTACTGTTGCTACTACTGCTACTGCTGCTGTTGCTACTGCTGCTGCTACTGCTGCTGTTGCTGCTGCTGTTGCTGCTGCTGCTACTGCTGCTGTTGCTGCTACTGCTGCTACTGCTGTTACTGCTGCTGCTGCTATCTATTATTCGAGGCAAGGCAACACAAGGGGCCTAATTATTTGAGCTGGTCGTCAGGTGTCTTCTGCCGAAATGTTTCATGACACGAGATGATCGTACAAGTGGGATACAATGGGGAAGGGTGGGTGTTGGGAAATGATGAAGCTATAAATAATAATAATGTGAGAGAAAGAGAGGGGGAGGAGGGGGGTAGGGAGAGAAGCCCCGGGGATGGACACGGCTGACCTCCACCCGTCCCCTCGAGTGGCGAGCGTCTGCGTCACGCCGCGTTGCGCTCTCGTCCGCAGTTGTTCGCCCACATCGTCACGCTCCTCTACGGCATCAGCGCCGTCATCAGCATCCGCCGGCTGCGCTTCAACTGAAGGAGCAGCCGCGCTCCTCTGAGCGTCCTTCACTCGCTCGCTACGGAACCCCCCTGCCATGCCCACCACGCCCGCCCGCTCTCTCTTGCCAGCCGTCGGTCTTCATTTGTACGAGGGAATTCGTGACGGGAATGTCCCTTCGGCCAAGTGGGGTTTGTTTTGTTTGTTTGAGACAACGGCGACTCTTTGATTGGACGGAAACCCGAACCCCCACGACTGCTGTATGATGCCCCCCCCCCCCCGACTCTGTTGTCCTTCCCCCGCACCTGCGATTAGCGCGGATGGCTACGTACGGTGCGAAAGAAGTTGAACGCACGTGCGTGCCGCCCAGCGCTGACCGTAGCGAGACCGTGACGAGACGGCGTGAGCCGAGTCTGTGTGAAGACGCAGACTCGGGTCGCTCGGTCACGTCACGGGAGAGCGCAGGGCACCGCGGGAGACCACGCGTGGTAATTGGCTGCACGTTTACATTTCTTATTTGCTGGGCTCACTACTCAGCTCACAGCTGACCGTCTTCAGGGTGGAGTGGTGGGGTGGTTTGCGTACCCCTCTGACCAGCTCGTCGGCTCAGAGATTGACTGAATTTAGTCCGCAGGCAAGGCCAAAGCGCAGATCCCAGGTTGTCGCAGACGAGGTGAAGATTGTGATCAAAATAAAATTAATATAAACGCCGACCGCACGAGGGTGGCGAGCGAGCGAGCGGTGGGGGCGCAGCAGGGGGTGGGGTGGGGGTCCGTGCACCCCCCCCCGGCCCCCTGCCCGCGCCAGGCGTAGCGTCGCCGTTTCATCAATCTATGGATTTAGCGCAGCGCGGCCTCGACATCGGCGCTAATGCCGGGGGGGAGTCACCGCGGTCTCATCCCCTACCTCGAGGGGTGGACGAGGCCCCGCAGCATCTCGCTCACGACAGCGCTCTCCAATAAACCCCTTCCGCTGTTCCCACAAAGACCGATTTAGCCCATATCCAGCTTTATTTTGCATTGTATATGATACGAAAAATATATTATAAAACAAATTTTACGCGTCTAAAAGTCGGAGAAAAAAAACCCCATCAGCGAAACAACTCAAGTTCGTAAACCAATTCCAGAACCAGAACCCACAACCCCCATGGCGACGTCTATCGTTGCTTCTGCGCAGTACGGAACTCGAGCGGACCTGTGCAGCACGTGGTCTTGCCCGGCGGCTGTTCCACTTTGGAGCTTTGGGACAGCGATTTCCATCTTTTCCCATTTAAGTTTGTAACCGTCTATACGAGCTCGTTATAATGTGGACTCACGGGATACCCCCCCCCCCCCCCCACCACGCTTTGTCGACGGTCACGCTGTGTCGTTGATGGGCAGAATATACAGCGAGTCAAGCAATGCCATGGATAATCTTAGTTGAAGTATTTTGTTTGTTCGCGATTGCAATTAGTGTAATCTTGGGGTAATTATCACGGGGGTCACGGTGAGAACGGAAATCGTGAATTATTTAAACTCCGTGAAATATTTTAAATAAATAAATTGGGGGAACGGCGGTGGGGGAGGGGCACTTTGGGTGACCGTTTTACTCGCGACTCACAACCACCACGCCAAGTTCACATCCCGGGTCGTGAGCTCGTGCTGCTGCCAAGATGTTGCCGTCGCTCTGAACCGAAAAGGCACCGCGTGTGATCGCGCCCGATGCTGGCGCGATAGGAATCTGTACAGCTGCAAATGAAATGTCCGCTTTGTCTGCTTTAATAGGCATGTTTATTGCTGTAGTAGCCTCGCTCGAGTTACGCAAAAAAAACTATAATCAGTAAATGTATTTTTATGGGATAAATGAATGCAATTCGTAGCCTAATGTAAACCGTATGGCGACATCACATTGCAGTGAGACCGCATTCAAATATGGGACATTAAATCAAAATCAGTCCACGTATGACCGTCACACAAGTTAACGTAATAAAGAAATGCCCCGTGAACGCGAGCATGTGACTGGATTATTTTACCGCTACGATTGTTCAAGGAATGCAGCCGCAATATATGTAATCACGGGCGCCGGTTTGCGAATGTTCTGCCGGAAATTGACCAGCGGCTATTTTTGTCCTCGGCCCAGCCTCGCCTCAAGTCCCAGGGGGGGACTTCAGTGGCAGCATCTCGTCCTCTCCGCTGCTCACTTCCGTGGCCACAACTTGGAGTTTAAAAAACCCCAGCACCGCCACCACGACCACCACCACCGCCACTACCACTGCCGCCACCACTACCACCACTACCACTGCCACCACTACCAAAGCCACTACCACAACCAACACCGCCGCCACCATCACCACCGCCGCCACCACTACCACCGCCACTACCACCACCACCATTACTACCACTACCACCACCGTCCCTGCGCGAACAGCCGCATGACAATGAGAACCGCGGCTCACTACCGAGGCTCGGTTCGATTCCATCTCCCGTCTCGTTCGGCAGGTGAAGTCAGGGGCACATTTTATTTTTGTCCCAGCCCACCTTCTCACCCCACGTCTGTTGACCCAGGAGTATAAATCCCAACACGACAGTCGATTGACAGGTCACGTGTGGTGAATTGAAGTGTCTGGCTAGTGTGAAAGAGCAGGCCGAGTGCTCAGTCGAGAGCGAGAGAGTGAAGGCCGTTCTGCCAGCAGTGGCTCTGACCGAGCAGTTTGCACGGCTGCACTTTTCCCTCCGGCGGTGCAGGTTGTTTCCTGCCACGGTCACACACGGGAGCCATTAGCGAGTTCACGTCGCTTCTTCTCCGCTGGCTCACAGCGAGAGAGACACGTGGGCTCGTTAGCACCCAGACACCGCCTGTTATGCCTCACTGTGCACGTGCACGGGCCCATTTACCAAAACGTCCGTCCCGGCAGCAAGGCGTTTGCTTAACGAGCAACATTCGCAGGATGTTGCTCGTTGGCGCAGACAGAGACGAAGAGACGCGGAGATGGCTGGGCATGGAGAGATGCAGACATGAAGAGGAGAGATACACACTCGGAATCTTTATTTGAGACTGGAAGAGTCGAATGAGCTATGAAAGTTTTTTTTTTCTTTCACAGACGTTCAGTCGGGCGGGTCAGAAAGTTATAACAACAAACACCGATAGGAGGGCACAGTGTAGGCAAGCTAAGTTAGTCACGAAATACAAGTATATATAATAAATACTAATTGCATAAGTTCATCAATTCTTGCCGATTTTTCAACACCAAGGCAGCAAAACAAAAACAGTCCAGACCACGCCAAGACAACACGCAACAGTCTCTCAATAAAACTGCACACTCACATTGAACTTTCAAAACATGTGTAAGTATCAAAGTTACAAATTGCATTTGTAAACGTGGTTGTATACAGCACAGAGGCAGCTGGATACATACTACAAAAAACGAGACGCAAAGACAGACACACAGAGAGAGACACACACAGAAACACAGAGACAAACACACAGAAACACAGAGACAAAGACACACAGAGACACACACACAGAGACAGACACACACAGAGACAAACACACACAGACAAACACATAAACACAGAGACAAAGACACACAGAGACACAGACAGATACACACAGAGACACAGAGACAGACACACACAGAGACACAGAGACAGACACATAGACAACACACACATAGAGACACATACACAGACAGAAACACACAAAGACAGAGACACAGAGGCAAGGGAAGAGATTGAGATGAGTAAATGCACAGCGAGGCAGACACTGTGGCATGGAGAGTAACAGGCAGACTTGTTCGAGGTTGCACTCATTACACACAAAGTGCTTGCCTCAAATGAACCATGATACCTCACTACATCGTCAAGGAGCCTCAAGCATCACGCGAACTCCACTCAGCCTCGCAGCGGCTTTTGGCTGCTAACCATCGAACACAGACGGTCACCGCCTCGCGCGCTTTCAGGTGCGCTTCTGCGGCCGTCTGGAACGCTCTTCCGACATTAGCGATGCACTTTTAAATCATTTAGCTTGAAACGCTTTTAGTGTTTTAGTTTGTTGTCCTTCCCACGCATCTCCGATTCGCACGGTTGGCGAAGTACGGTGCGAAATAAGTTCAACACACACAACACAAAGACGCAGAGGCCGACAGAGTAAAACACTGAGAATATTGGGACCCCCGAAACAAAGTGGCACTCTGTGCATCTGCTCACGGCAGACACGCGCCGAGACGGCGCCGCGTGTCGCAAGATAACGACTCTCGCTCGCTCATTAATCCCAGCGTGAGAATCGTCGCCCCGACACGTACGGAGCAATGAAGACACTTCTAATCTGGGCGCTGATGAGCGCATATCAGAGTGTCACCTTCCAATTATGATATTAGCGTCGACCGGGGCACCGCCCAGGGAGATGGAGCTTAATAAGGCCGCGCGCGGCGCAAGCGAGCGAAGAGATCGCGGGCGACAAGGCTCAGGTGCTCGGCCATGGACCACGAAACGTCCGCCAAGAGGAATCCGCCCGGCTACGTTCCGTGGCTGCCGCTGGGTCAAAATGTGTTCACGAGCAAGACTGGCCTCCTCATCTGCCTGGAAATCGTGAGCTGTGCCTTCGAGGCTTTCACCCCCCACACCCAACCCAGAGTCGGGGCTGTTGACGCGACCCGCCGCGGCTCCATGCCGGGGCCGCGTGGCCACGGCCGTCGGTGAGAGAGATGGAAATAAACACGTAGTGGTGGTAGTCGTAGTAGGGCTTTGGCGACCGATGTTATCGATAGTAGGGTTTTATTGGGTTAGTTAGATCGCGTAAATATATAAATGTGTCGTTAAACCCACCACCACCCGACACAGCCAATTAGCAAGGCTTGTCACGTGAACACAACTTGCAAATTAGTTACTACTTCAGCACACCGGTGTGCTGTGTCGGGTGGTGGCGAGTTTAACGACACATTCATATTTACGCGATCTAACCCCAACAAAAAAATGGTTCGCGGCGCACTGGACTTGCAGTCCGGAGGTCGACGGTTCGACTCCCATCTCCAGGCGCGGCAGATCAACCACTGGAGCAAGTTTCTTAAATCTTCACCTCCGTCCACCCGAGCGGGTCGAGCACAGCGAGGTGATGGCAATTCGCGGGTAGGCCTATCTCTTCCAATTCATCTGCCCACTATGGAAGAGTAGACCAAGTACCGTCTCGGGTCGGCTCTCGAGAGCTCCGTCTAGCAGTCCCTTGCCCCATCAGTGGAGTGAATAAGCAATTGCAGGGCGGCGCCTTTGCCTCTAAAGCACGTTGCTGAGATGTACTCACTGCCCCGAGTTGTCCAAAAGGCTTCCGCTGTCGTTGAGTTGGGATTACATTCCTGGCGTTTGCCAAACGAAATTTCATCAAAAGCGAAGTGGAGGGCGGCAACTCGCCGTTCGCTCGCTCGGTTTCACCCAAACAGCTTTTGCCTAAGCCACATAAAAAGTTTTGCAGGACCCCAATAACGGAGAGCAAACATGTTTTTGTTAAATCCAATAGACGCTCTGCTCTCCCACTTCTTCATTTGCTTCCTCGGTCTCTTCGGCAACGCTCTATCCTTGAGAGACATATCTCGATTTGAGCACCAGACATAATGAATGGCTCTGCAGTCGATCAGCTTATGGGAAATCAATCACTGAGCACAACATAACCTGCACTCTGGCCACATTCACCAGTATTTCATTAACGTTTGCCGTAAAAAAAAAAAAGACTTCTGCGGAAGCTTGTAACATCATCAGCATCACCGTCTCCTCATCATCACCATCATTCACCAGCATTTCGTTAACTCCTGGTATAGAAAAATAATAGCTCCATGGAAGTTTATTACATCGTTATCATCATCGTCATTACCAGCATCACCATCATCATTGTTTGGAATGATTGAATGACTACACAAGTCTCTAAGTGCATATCTGACACATGCCGGCAGATGCACACGCAGAGCGACGCTCACAACAACATTCAGGGCGTATAAAGCACAGAGGGGTGGCACAGCGGGGAGGGCACAGGTGGTGCAGTCATCTCAGTCAACCCGTAACACCCGGGCCTGTCCTGTGACCTCTTGCCAGCGAGCATTTGATGCTTCACATGGTCTTAAGTGAACCGAGCCCAGCATAAGCGCTCTATTGACGATACTTTCAATTTGCGGTAAATAGCGGATGTTGTTTTTTGTAGAGTGGGCGAATATTAGTGGCAGATAATTGAACCGGTTTTTGGCCTCCCCTTGATCGACTCAGCCTTCGATTTAGTACCTGGCATTGTGTGCAAAAGCCAGCACTGGGTGTTGGACACATCGGGCGCCGCGGTGGTGAAATGTTAACTCTCTCGCCTGGTATAGAGGGGCCGTAGGTTCAACCCTGGCGCCTGTATATTTGCAGTTTGCTCGTCTTTCTCTCCCCGTGATCGCGTGGATTTTTCTCCTGATCCTCCGGGATTTCTCTCCACATTTAGAAACACGCATTCATAGTATATTGGCAGCTATAAATGTCCACGTGATAAGCCACTTCGTTGAGCTATCATTTGCGGTTAGATCGTTTCTGAAAAAATCAGTACGGCTCAGTGGGCCTTACCTGGTCAAGTATATAAGTATATAGTTTATAGATGTGTGCCGTGCCGGCCCTGGCCAGCCCTGGCCAGCAGCACTTGCCCGAACCACGCCGCAGCGACGGTACGGGAGACCTTTACCTTGTGTGTGTTTGCCGCGCAGCTGTGCTGCGCCGTGGTGTGGGCACTGCTCGCCGCCTCGCGGCTGCCGCGCGCCTTCCACGCGTACCAGGGCTTCAGCATGTTCGTGCCCGTGTTCCTCTTCGTCGCCTCCCTCGTGCAGCTGCTGCTCTACGCCACGCGTGTGCCCGAGCGCGCCCGGCTGCCCTGGTCCTTCCTGGTGCGTCGCCCAGATGGCTGAATAGTTGGGATAGGCAGCCGGGCGGGTGGTAGCTGGGTGGGTCGTTGGGCGAGTGGCTGCGTGGATAGCTGGGTGGTTGATTGGGAAGCTGGGTGGGTAGTTGGGTGGTTGGGTAACAGGTGGGTGGTTGGTAGCTGGGTAGGTAGCTGGGTGGGTGGTTGGGTGAGTGGCTGGGTGGATCGCTGGGTGGATAATTGGGTAGCTGGATGGTTGGGCAGCTGAGCGGTTGACTGGGTAACCAGGTGGGTGGTTGGTAGCTGGGTGGGTGGTTGGGTAGCTGGATGGGTGGTTGGGTAACCGGGTGGTTGGTTTGGTAGTTGAGTAGCTGGGTGGCTGTATAGATAGGTACACGACAAGGTGAGTGGCTGAATGGGTGATTGTCACCTCTGATATAAATACATAGAAACCACGAGACGTCTCAGGAAGACGACTGCCTCACAATGCTGGGAGGGGGAGAAGTGGCCGTGGTCGCGCTGTCCTGAGCGAGCAGTGGCATTGCGATGCGACTGACCAAACCGGGTTTTCCAAAAGCAAAGTGGTCGGCTGCTCTGAGCCACCACCAATGAGATCGTCGGTTCAAATATGGGGTTCAACTGCCCGCGGTTAATTGGGATAAATGTCGAGAGCAACAACAAAAAAGCCAAAAATAAATATTTGTAGGAAAATTGAGAAGTGTCCGTGTTCAATTCCCAGGACGCCGTCTTCTACATTGTGGCAACCTTCCTGTTCTTCGGTGCCTCGGTGCTGCAGGCCAACATGATGGTCTTCAACAACGTCCAGTTGCACTCCTGCCATCGTCTACAATCTCAACATCGCCGCCTCGGTGGGGCCCGCACGCGCGCGGCCGTGGGCGCAGTGCTGCTGGCGAGCATCGCCGCAGTCGGATGTGAAACCCTCTCTGACTTCTCGCTGTTTCGATTCGAACATACGGCGCGGCGGTTGAAAGAATAACGGGGCGATGTTTGGCCAATTGTATTGTCACTCGTGGTTTGGGCATGGAACGAAAGCAGAAAATGTGGACACCCGCAGACTGCAAGTCAACAATGTAGCCTGAGATTGCCAGAGAATCAGGCCCAAAGGCCCACAACGTCACACTGTCAGCAACAAACAGCACCATCATAGTTGTAGGTGAGTGAGTGGATGAGTGGGTGAGTGTGTGAATGAGTGGGTGGGTGAGTGGGTGAATGTGTGTTTAGTGACCTGCAGTGTGGTGAGTGAACACAGTGTGGTGAGTGGGTGAGTGGGTGAGTGAGTGGTGAATGAGTGGGTGGGTGAGTGTTTTTGTGACCTGCAGTGTGGTGAGTGAACACAGTGTGATGGATGAGACGACACAGTGCATGGTAGACCGTGTCCTCAACGTGGGCGGAGGAGTGAAGTCCACGGGAGTAGTAGTAGCGATAGAAAATTGATACGGAGGCAACTGACCGCCGGTGAGCGAGCAAATGGAGTGAGACGAGGGCGCCTTGATCTCTGTGTGACCCACCAACCCCTTAGCTTACAACACGCTGGATTACTCGCGTACGCCACCACGTGAATAAACCGATTCCGCGAGATTGATCGAGGAAGCGGAGACGTCCCCGCCGCCACTGAAGATAAACCGCCAAAGGCGCGATATACCGGTTGCCGGCGTTCTAAAATAGCTCGCACGCACACACACAGAGGGATAACGTTGCATTTATACATCGCAATGAGGCTCGTGACGGCTTCGGGGTAATATATATACACACAGCGACGCGTTAGGCCGTGGCTCGCATCCTCCAGGGCAGGAGAGGAGTCGGGAGGTCTTACAGTCTCGTGATGTCGTCAATGCGCAACGCTCGGCCTGGTTGCTTTTGGTCAGAGAAGAAATCAACGGATGCTCGATTTTAATTCATACGAGTACTTTATGCGTTAAAATGTAATGCCATCGGAAAGGTCTGAACCCGTACCTAAATAATTATTTAAATTAAAATAAACACGGACACACGCAAAACGGTGGAATGTGTCGGACTACGTGATGTTAAGGGCATGACGCACGATTTCAAAATGTCAAATAACGAGACAAAGACAAAAATCCCCCGTGTAGCCTTCAACAGATTGCTGAGGCAAGTGCTTTTAGTGAGCACCGATGAAGTAATACAAACACACATAGAGCGATCCATTTACAGATGCCCCACTGATTCCGATGACCCCTCTGACTTTCATCTCAATAGCTGATTGAATATTGTGAAAGCGATGGCTCCGTGTCACGCAGAGGTGGAGAGAGTGTTAATGGATTTGATACAAAGTCCATTGAGATTGATGGGAGACGGCTGAATGCTTTGGAATACACTTTGGAGTTATGTATAATCGCTGGCTACTGTTTCAGTGGGTTTGTGTATTTAAATGGAACGGGACGTGGGTATAATATTCACAATGTGACATTGTCTAAGCGGTGCCAGGGAAGATGGCCCTCTTGAAGATGAGTCTGGACATTCAGCGAGGCTATCCCGTGGACATACGAGATCTGTTCTTGCATGCAAATGGTTAACCGGCTCAGAATCTTTATTCAGACTGCAGGAGGAATCCGATGAGCTATGAAGCTCTTTTTCACAGATTTCCACTATGTCCATCGGTAGAGCGAGCGGCTTGGGTGGTTGACTCATCCCATCATCTCCCTCTGGAGGTCGATAAAAGTAGTACCAACATAGGTTAACATCAACGATGGGTAGACTCGCCCCCGCCATAGGAACGTGGGATTCCCACCATTGTCTCAGGACTGTGAGTAGGAGATGAGCACTGCGTCAATGCTCATGTGAGCAAGAAATCTCAGGTACATTTTTTTTGCTTGCGGATTCTGACCCAGATACAGCGCTTGCAATGGGAGTATGATGAATATTTCATAGCAGAGGCGCGTACAGCAGCTGCACAGATGCACGTCCTCTTGGACTTGAATTAACACGGAGAAATGCATAAGCTGTGAGCTAAACACGTCTGTGGCTGCGCTGAATGAATAATGTCTAGAAAAATAGGCAAAAGGTGCAGTCCTGCACACTGCTTGCTCAAGGCAGTGTCATAGACCACACTGCTGCGTGGCTGTTCCCGGAAGCCTCGCGCATGGAGCAACATGTTGGACATCGTGCACGCGGTACAACCGAGAAACAAGGCATAGGAGAGTGTATGAACCGCGATTGGTGACGAGGTTTGATGAAGAAGATGGTTTTGTTTTGCTTGGTGGAGGTCTGAGTTTAAATATATATTGACGTTGGCCAAGTCGGCCACATTCTCTTAAGAAGTCCACAGCATTCCCGGGATGTGTCCAGAGCATGTCGAGTGAAGAAGGAGTGTCTTCAGGGCGCTTTCCTCTGGGTTTAGCTGCAGGTGCTGGGTAGCGAGGGACGCGTGAGTGGTTCATATATTGACGTCAGGTGCTGTCGGCAGCCCCGGATATCGGCGTTTATTGCCGATGGGGGACTTGATGAAATTATGATGCCATTAATGTGTTCTCTCCTGTGTGCAGGTGATCTCATTCTACACGACTCTACTCTACTTCATCAGTGCCGTGGTCAGCGTCAGGAGGCGAACTTTCTACTGAGATTGACCCCCCGCCGCCCCCGGCTCTCGGCTCAAGATCATTCCCACGTCGCAGCCTTCGTCAGCCACTTCACGCACCACGCGCACAGTGACGCATTGTACCACGACTCCCAAGGCATTCGGTCAAGACTCAAGCCTAACACGGTTTCCTAGTCCCACGTGGAAATGAATATCAGTTAATACAACTCAAGAGCTCAGTGAATTGCATCATCCCACTGAGTTCAAAATGTATTATTACCACGCTTGTTTACCCAGGAAACCTCACTGAGTTTCATGACTCCTTTTCAGGAGGGTCCTGATTCGTGTGTTGTACATTACAATTCATTAAATTTGCGGTGTGTAATTTATAACATTTGGCAAATTTAGAACAGGACTGTGGCATAGAATGACCCACTCTTGCGAATGACATCACGGGATCTTTAACGCCCACTGTGCAGCAGATGGCGCGTACTATTTGTACGGTCAATGCACGCGCGGCATTAACCAGGGCGGGCACTGGAGTCGAACCGCGGGATCTCTGCAACAACGAGCAGAGAATTTGGCAACCGCTGGGCTGCGACATTGCCCCAATTCTCATTGAGACTCAATCTCAAGCATTACTGCTTTGTGAGTTAAAAAAGGAAAACTGTTTGGATGGATGATTTTTTAAAAATATATATACGCTATCCGTCATAAGACTCCATGTAGAGTACAAGAATAAACACTGCTTATTCTTTATCACTGATTATTCTTCATCATTCCCAGCTATCCGTGCAACAGCGGCAAATCGTTCTACATGTCCCCAGTACTTCTCTAAGACACTCTTCCGCTAAGTTCCATTGAGCGAGGAGGTCTACGACGAGAGGTTAATGCAGCCGAGGTGAACATTTCCATAATTTTGACCGATGCTGCTGCTGCTGCATTTCATGCGAATCGGCCGTGGGCAATGCTTATGAGTTCTGCCGTTTACAATAATAAGATGTGAACCCAGTTTCAAAATCATACAACGGATAGGCGTACATTTCGCGTGCGTCTCTCTTGCAAGGAACACACTTGCCCCGCGGACATGGATTGTGGCAGCAGTAATGATGGTCACACTCGCACTAATTAACAAGCCTCATTATTCTCACTCGGAGGCTTGCCAAATGCGTTTACAGCAACGGCTTGCAGAGGCGTTCATCCAGCAGAGGATAGATACATGGCTAATTACGATGAAGTCACATTGTGAACACTCAATTAGATAAAACTTGAATTATATTCCACAGACTCTTTGTCAATTCACTGCTGGATGAAGGCCTGCCTTACCCACGCTGTGTCGTTCCTGCGGGCTGTTTGATCATTCTTCACCGTACTGGTCAGTGCGGGTTGATTAAGGGGGCAGTATTGGCCTAGGACCTGTTGATACATCACTGATGCTGATGTGTACGCACACCGCACCATGCGCTCATTTAATGCTGAGTCGAACTAGGGGTTACTGCCAGGGGCAGGTTCGGATCACCACCAGGTGTCGAACCCAGGTTCACCCGGAACATTAGTGCAGCACGATCGCGCGAACTCTCTCTCCTTGAAGCCCTCTCGTCGTGGCTAGCAGCCCTCGGCATTGGCATTTATCTCCTGAACCACATCGCCATCATACCCAAGAATAGAATAGTGCATTTTACAAACCACTCCCATCGTAAAACAAAGACAAATGTCCCCGTGTAAAAGTATGGATTGTTGGGTGAAGGGCTGGTAGCAAGCCCCGATTAAAATTGATGCATCACACGAGGGAGTTGCCGTGGCCAGAACCGCCTGTTTCCCCGGAATTGTGTACACACCTCACCATGAACTTACTCATTTGAGGCCGAGTTGACCATGGGAAAGCCCGTGACCGATTCAGATAGTGGCCAATGATGTTAGCCGTGGCGGGGAGTCGATCCCAGGTTTGCCGGAGCATGAATTTGAGCAGTTTGCAAACCACTAGCATACCAACACACGCAGAGAGCGTGAGAGAGAGAGAGGCTGCACCTGGTCACGACAAACGCCTCCAGAACAATGGGGAAACAGGCGGCCACAGCCCACTCTGCGATGAAGAGGTGAAGGCGCAGCCCTGCAATTGCTCGCCGACGCCACTGCTGGCGGAAGGGCCTCCACTAGAGGAAGCTCTGGAGACCCCTCTCGAAGTCATCTGGGCATACTCCGCCACAGATCGGTCACGGCAAAAGGTCATTGCAGTGACAGGAGCGAGTGAGCGGATTGAAATAAAACAGAGCCGTTTTAAAGGCGTGCGATTGACGCCCTCTAGCGCCCGATGAGTGCGGCGATGCTGCGCGCAGTGACGGGTTGGGATCGCGTGGAGGCCCACGGACGCGGTCGGCCTCTTGTGGCCGCGCTTCCACACCCCTCGCTCGAGTCGGTGCTCAATCCTATCGGCAGACCTGAGCCCAGCGGTGGAAATTCTACATTAATTTGGCAGAGGCGAGTGCAATCATGACTTGCCACAAAGAGATATTGTGTTATCGACCTATACATATCATGGCCTGAGTGGATCCGCACGCAGAATTAGACATTTGTTGAGCAAATAAGGAGCCGTCCATAAATGACGTCACGCACCTGGGGGGGGGGTCAGACATTTGTGACGATGTGTGACGAGGGGGGGGGGGTGAGAAAGGTGACGTCACATCAAAATGCGCAACTTTAAATAAATATAGACAACACGTTTGCTTAATTAAATATACTTTTTTATAAATGTTTCCTCCTACAACATCAGAGTGCAGCGGCACATTAAATACGCACTACAATGACAATAGTTTAAAGCGATTTGAAGCATGTTTTATATTTTTTGGGGTGGAGGGGGCAGAGCTTTGTAACGTCATATTTGAGAGGGGTCTGACTTTTTGTGACGCCGTGTGACGAGGGGGGGGGGGTCAAAAATCGTCCAAAATCGCGTGACGTCATTTATGGACGCTCCCTAAATCAGGGACGTGGCAGCTGCCCGTGTATTGTTGAGTTGTAGGATCACCGCTCTCGGAGGGAGGCTGCCCTCTGCTGGACACCGAACTCCTGAACATGTCTCCCGCACCTCACACCGTCACTCGTCTCCACCCCCCACCACCAAATTAAGGATCAGGGATGACTGACACCGCTGATCGTCCGGATGGACAAACGTGTCCACGTGGCACGGACCCGCGTTTCCGCGTGCCACGCGTGCCACGGACCCGCGTTTCCGCGTGCCACGCGTGCCACGGACCCGCATTTCCGCGTGCCACGCGTGCCACGAACCCGCGTGTCCGCGTGCCACGCGTGCCACGAACCCGCGTGTCCGCGTGCCACGCGTGCCACGAACCCGCGTGTCCGCGTGCCACGCGTGCCACGAACCCGCGTGTCCGCGTGCCACGCGTGCCACGAACCCGCGTGTCCGCGTGCCACGCGTGCCACGGACCCGCGTGTCCGCGTGCCACGCGTGCCACGAACCCGCGTGTCCGCGTGCCACGCGTGCCACGAACCCACGTGTCCGCGTGCCACGCGTGCCACGAACCCGCGTGTCCGCGTGCCACGCGTGCCACGAACCCGCGTGTCCGCGTGCCACGCGTGCCACGGACCCGCGTGCGGGCACAGAGACGTGACCAGCAAATGACTCAATTGGGTTCACGCACAGCAGCAGCAGCAGCAGCAGCAGCAGCAGCAGCAGCAGCAGCAGCAGCAGCAGCAGCAGCAGCAGCAGCAGCAGCAGCAGCAGCAGCAGCAGCAGCAGCAGCAGCAGCAGCAGCAGCAGCAGCAGCAGCAGCAGCAGCAGCAGCAGCAGCAGCAGCAGCAGCAGCAGCAGCAGCAGCAGCAGCAGCAGCAGCAGCAGCAGCAGCAGCAGCAGCAGCAGCAGCAGCAGCAGCAGCAGCAGCAGCAGCAGCAGCAGCAGCAGCAGCAGCAGCAGCAGCAGCAGCAGCAGCAGCAGCAGCAGCAGCAGCAGCAGCAGCAGCAGCAGCAGCAGCAGCAGCAGCAGCAGCAGCAGCAGCAGCAGCAGCAGCAGCAGCAGCAGCCCTTACTGCGACAACTTGGCAGCACCCTCTTGAAAAAGAGCCTTGAGACTCGGTTAGGCGTTCTTGGGTAAACTTACCACAGCAATAATACAATAATATTCATATGAAAGAGAAATTACTCCAACTGTTAACAAAATACTGTATATTCACTTATCTGTTTATTCACCGCATACTAAATTATTATATATACAATGAAAAAAGTATATATACGGAAAATGTTGGTATGTTTATGTTGCTCTTGAATGGAATGGTTTAAATTTTCATCCAACAGATACATTTTCACATCTGAATACATTTTGCTGGATATGAGCAAATATTGGAGCGAGCATCCTGTGGTAGTTATGGAAACTGTTTCCATGTAAAAAAAAATGCGTAACTTTGGAATATTTGTTTTAGTTTTACAAACAACATACATTACACACAATATACAAGTATACATATAGGACGACGTGTGTCAAAGGATAGAAGCGCAACCCTGAAATTCCTTGTACACGGCACTGCTGGCGGATGGGCCTCGGCGAGAGAGGAGAACCTCTATCGAGGGCATGGGGCCTCCTCTTCCCACGCCTGACCCCGTTTGTTGTACAGTACTGCTGGGTGGACATAGATGGAATCAAGTGGAAGAGGCGACCTCTGCGTCGCAAGTCCAGTGTCCTGCCCACTACACAACTGTGCCGATCTCTACTGCGCGTATACACTATGTACAGAACATTAGCATGCTAATCCATTGCTAGAATGACAATACAACACATCAATCTATAATGGCATGAACCAAATGCATGTGGCATGCAGCGCAACTAAAATATAAAAAAATATGATAATAATGTCCATCGTATATATTTTTTGTTCCTGTTGTCATATGTACAGTAGTTTGTAAGTTAAGTTAACTTTAACGCTTGTTCAATTGTTTATCCTGGCAAGGGTCAACACACAAGTTTCGCGAGAGTAATTAGGTTTACAAACTTGCGAGGCGGATCGCTATAAAACAATAATACTTTAACAGCCTGACGCGGAGGATTTACTACTTCGTGAAACCTGTCCTGATGATGCTTGACGCAGTTTCAAGCCAGACGTCACGTGTGCCGTTGCTGCTACGTTCAGTTGTGACAACTGTGACAACTGATTGAGCTCAAAGTTTAATTTTAATTGGAGCGGCGTTTCAATTTGTTTGGTTGTGTTGGGTGGTGGAGGATCTTACCGACACAGATGGTGGCGAGAGACTGGCCACAGTGGCTAGGAGATGATAACTACCTCGCCTGGTGTGCAGGAGGTCGTGGGCTTGATCCCGACCCTGACGCCTGCTGCTGTGTATTTGGAGTTTGTGTGTCTCTCTCTCATCATCATCATCACGGTGGCTAGGAGATGATAACTACCTCGCCTGGTGTGCAGGAGGTCGTGGGCTTGATCCCGACCCTGACGCCTGCTGCTGTTAATTTAGAATCAACATCACCACGCGTTTCGAGTATTTGTCTGCTATAAATGTCCACATTATTATAGGCCACTTCGTTGAACCATCCCCATTTCTGTTTCACAAGTGTCAAATTAGCAATCATCCAAATTAACGGTTCGCGGTTTTGTTAAGGGCACATTTAACCCCACACACATCACCACGCACACTGAATTTCTACGCGGTCAATGTTGCTCTCTGAGCGCGCGACAGCGGGGTCCTCCTGCGCGCTCCGGCCGGACGCGTCGCGAGACCGGCGACGATAACGGCGGTGAGGGTGAGGACGGCGGCACCGCTGCTGCCCATCACGGCGGGCGGGCGAAGTGTCACACGACCTGGCCACGGAGCTGTGCGCCGTGGCAGGCGGAGCGAGGAGACGATGGCGGTGGTGGTGGCGGCAACGAGCAGCGCCGGGCCGGGCTGGCGGCGAGGCCACGCGGGCGGAGGAGGCGCCGTCGACGCGCTCACCACTCGAGCCGCATGTCGGCCTTGCTCCACACGTACTTGCCGCCCCGCTGCAGGAACATGCGCTCGTCGAAGCCGCTGTGGCGGATGGCGCCCTCCACGCCCACGTCCAGCACGGAGCGCGTGGGCTCCTTGGCACCGCCCGTGCAGTTCAGGAAGCGCATCTGTGTGCGAGCGGGAGAGAGAGGGAGAGAATGTGTCTCTCCTCCGCGCTAAGATGTTCACTGGTTAGCGATCTGTGTGAGAGAGACAGAAACAGAGAGGATGTCCGTCTCCTCCACGCTAAGATGTTCACCGGTTAGTGATCTGTGTGAGAGAGAGACAGAGACAGAGAGGATGTGTGTCTCCTCCATGCTAAGATGTTCACCGGTTAGCGATCTGCTCGCCGTTGTGCACGTAAAGAGCAAGGTAAAGGCGCAGCCCTGCAATTGCCACGCAACGCAGTGTGTCTGTCTATATGTCTCCCTGTCTGTGTTTTGTCTCTTTCTGCTTGTGTGTCTGTCTGTGTGTCTCCCTGTCCGTGTTTTGTCTCTCTCTGCTGCTTGTGTGTCTGTCTGTGTGTCTCCGTGTCTGTGTTTTGTCTCTCTCTCAAATTTAGTTCTACATGATGATGGTTGCTTGTGTTGCAATCGAAACGTCGTATTCTATTATGAAATTTATTTTCTTTGTACGCGACTTTACCGAAAGAACTAAAGAGAGATTAGTGACAACAAACATTCATCGACAGAGAGTTTTTTTGTTTTTAACAACGATGATCGTGAACGGGGTCACATAATCGAGCGTGACGATGACTGCGGCTGCCCCCCTTCCCCCCCCACCACCACAGAGACAAGAGTGCGACTGAGCATCTCCGATGCGCCTTGTCCACACTCATCACCCACAACGCTCGCTCGGAGCCACGCGCTTTCAGACGATCTCATCTCCGGCCACTTACGTATTCATCCAGAATGAGGTACGAGTCCCGCATCTGCAAAGACACAAATCGATTCGGATCACCGCGCGTGCACGCAAACGCGCGGCCCACGTCTGCTCACGCGCCAGGCTCCCCTGGACCTGGCAAATAAGCGCCTCGCTACGACCCCCACACAACAGGCCGCTGGCTTCAAACTCCCCAGGTAGGAGTGATCCACCCTCAACAGCTTCAGGACTGGTCACGGCCCATACCTCTCCAACCTCCACCGATGTGACGTAAGAGCAAAGCCCCCTACGTGCCTGTGGGGTGGAGCAAACCCGTGTACCACATTCTAGAAGTGTGTCCAATCCACAGGCTCAGTGGAGGCCTCCCTCACCCTCAACACAGCATGACTGGAAGCAACCGCTTAGCTTAGGGACTTTGCATTCGCTAAATAAATAAATAAGATGGGCGACCAGACAAACCTCCTCAGACGTCCTCTACATTCTCGTTCCACCGATGCTGCCACACACAGACGGCATGCGGGACATCTCTCTCTGATTGTGGAGGTGATTGCCTACGGACGACAGCGAGAGTGTACGACTTGGAACTCTGGGGGGGGAACCACGGACAAGCGGCCAGGCAACGGCCATCGCTTGCCCAAGTTTTGCGGCCCTCTATATATGAAGGTGTTCTCGGCCAATTAATGAGCGGGCATGCATATGGGAGGGATCTGGAGTGCCCGGAGAAAAACGCACGCATGCGAGGGACGACACCCGCGCAGATGGAACAGATGGAGATGAATACATTCGCTGTACCGCCATCTCCTGGCGAGCCAGGCTACAGTGACCACGAAGGCCACAACATCGTGTGCGGTGATCCATCAACCCTCGCTGCTGCTGCTGCCGCCTCCACAGTGCGGGGTTACAGGCAGCCACGTGCAGCAGCAGCAGCAGCAGCAGCGGAGCCGGCTCCGCCTGACGGTGCCTACGATGTCATGTTCTAGCCCGACTCGTTCGTGACTAAGAGTGAATGTACGTTGAACTTTTTTTTCGATTTAAAGCTTTCGTGACTGCAGGGATTCATCTTCTTGGTTCTTTCGGTAAAGTCACGTAGAAGGGAAATAATAAAATAATAAAAATAAAACATAATAAAATATTCTCACGACGTTTTGGCCATAACGCAAGCAGCCGTCCTCAGGTCTGTCAGACTCTGTCTTCTCGACAGACCTGTTCTTCACCTGAGCACGGCTGCTTGCGTTTTGGCCAAAACGTCGTGATAATAATTTTATTATGTTTTATTTTTATTCTTTTATTATTTCCCTTCTACGTGACTTTACCGAAAGAACCAAGAAGATACGTTGAACTTCTTTCGCACCGTACGTTGCCAGCCGTGCTCATCGGAGATGCGGGGGTAAGGACAACAGAGACGATCTGAGACAATCAGCCCATGCAGGCTGCCAACAGCGGCGGCACCTTTTCGTTGGACTCGGGGACGAGGCAGCTCACGTGGCGGTGCCGCTCCAGGAAGCTGTGGAAGTCGCGGTCGGCGATGAGGAAGGGCTGCACCTGGCGCAGGCTGTCCTCGCCGCTGTTCTCTCCGTCGATGAGCAGACACTGGAACACCTGGGCACACGGGCAGAGGTGGCAGAGCCACAGCACCGGATCAAGTTACGTCGGGGGCCTGGGGCTGTTGGAGTTGTGGGGGGGGGGGGGGGCGTGCTCTCTGTGTCTAGTTCGTCCAATTCCTCTCGGTTTGCCGTCTCCCCACCACCCGGAGGTGATGATGCCCAGCGCCCCATTGTTATTCACCCGGCTCATTTTACTTGTCGTGTTTTTTGTTACATGATTTAACTAACGGTAAAACAAATTCAGTGAAAACTTACACAGGTCGTTTAAAAAATATTTATTTGGCTCATATCTGCTGGTTATACACACACGGTGATGCTAACGTGTTTAATTACCAAATTAATTAAATTATTTCCTTATACATATTATTGGGGATCCCTCGAAATCCGAGCCCCCCAGGACGCCTCCCCTCAAACCCCTGTGCAAATCCGGCCCTAGGGCGACTCAGCCTCAAACGAGTACCGAGTGCGGTGTGTAAGCATCAGCACTGGGGAGACAAAGGCGGCCGGGCGTAGTATTGGCCACCACCCCCTGGCGTGCCATGCCGGCCTTCATAGGTGCTCGCTAACAGCTTTTGACCCAACAGTCTGTTCAGTCTCTACAGGGGATCTTTGCTGGTGGTGGTGGCAGTGGTGGTGGCAGTGGTGGTGGTGGCAGTGGCAGTGGCGGTGGCGGCAGTAGTGGCTGAACAGCGTGGAGTAGACGCAGCGGTCAGCCTGGTCGTGCTGCGTGCGGGCAACTCGGGCGCGGCACCTTCCAGCGCACGGGCCTGAGCTCCGTGATGTAGTCTGCGAGGTCCTCGTGCACGTTGTAGCTGTTGACCACGGTGTTGATCTTGAACGCGATCTTGTACGCGGAGCACCAGTCGCGCACGCGTCGCATCGTCTCCACGTGGTTCCGCCGGCCGGCGCCGCGCCCGATCTGCCGGTTCGTGTCCTCGTCGAAGCTGTCGCACGATACCGCCAGGATGTCCACGTGCTCGCCTGCGCGCGCGGCAACAAGCCAACAGTGGAGAAGTCACGATTGTGATAAGAGCCGTAATAATTGTCACGTACTTTTCCGACACCGTCACGGACTCGCGGGTGAAGTGCTTTGTGGCAAAGGTGCAGAAAATCCCCGAAGTTAAATTCTGCCCCTGAGGTCTCACCCACTGGTTTACACCCCAAGCTCAGGAGAAAGATCACTCCAACGAACACTGGCCCTCCCTTGGTGGATGCCCCGGGGAAATAGTCGTTGCTGCCCTTGCTGCCCCGGCTGCCCCGTGGGGCTCGTGGCTTTACGTGCCGACCACACGTCTCTGAAGAGGTGGCAGCACCCACGATTAATGCCACCAAAATGTCACCGCCGCCAGGGACATTGGCAACGGGTGCGGCTTGGTGGACACCTGTGGAAAAAATAGCTTCATCGCTCATCGGATTCCTCCGGTGTCAATAAATATTCATATTCCCGGTGCCCCGCGGCAGGTACCGTAGGTGGCGAGCCACCGCTCGGTGATGAGGCTGCCGTTGCTGACGATACTGACGCTGGGCAAGCGCAGCTGGCGCTTGCAGTGCGTCACCATCTCGCCCAGGTAGCGGCCGCGCTCCGGCAGGAATGGCTCCCCGCCCGAGAAGTTGATCTTCACCATGCCTGGGGAACGAGGATGGCAAAGGTCGCGTGAGCGCGCGGGCAGACACCCCTCCACCGCGTCCGACGAGCGTTCTTGTCCACGGAAGCGCTTTGATCCATGCCGTTGATTTCGGGTTTTTTTTGTCGAGGTTTGCCAGCCGAGTTGGTGACATTCGCGCGAGGGTTGTCATCTTAGCTCGCGGCAACGATGTTGATGCTTCAAGTCGCACGGCTGGGTGATGTCACGCGTCATGGCGAGGTCGCTGGGAACGGAGTGTGACGGAAGGTGGCCGCGCCTTCACTGCTCACGCGCAAAATGCCGACAGCGAATCACCTCCTCCTCTTCCCGAGTGTTGGGCAACCTTCTGATTCATTTGGTCGGTTTGCTCCGGGGCGAGTCCCTGACAGCAAGGCAACTTGAAACAACCAAATTCATTGATAATGGCATCGTCACACATCGGATCGTCTTTGCCAAGAGTTATCGTGACCTCCCCCCCCCCATGTTTCCCCTCTCTCACCCGCGTCCCGCAGCATCGTGAGCCCCCTCTTGGCCTCCTCCAACGGCAGCATGAAGGACGTCTTGGCCGTGTGAAAGCAGAAGCCGCACTTGTAGTTGCAGGCGCGCGTGAAGTGGTAGTTCACGCTGGTGGGCACCACGGGCGTGCCCAGCGGGATGGAGCTCGGGTCGGCAGGGCTCTCTCCGTCTGCAGGCCACACGGCGGTAGGAGGAGGGGGGGGTGCAGGGCCGCGTGGACGCTGTGAGGGCCTTCGAAGCTTATAGGAGGGAAGGGCCGAACAATGTATCGCATATAGTGTTACACGACTTTTTTATATATATAAAGTCAGCAAACAAATGTTTTTACTTTGTGAAATCAACACATTTGTTTGACTCGTCGGACATTTAGGATGACTATGTTACCTTTTTTCTCAGCTGTTCAGTATTCAATGTATGTCCATGTCCTGCATGTTGAACATATATTGCACCGCACGTCGCCAACCGTGGCTAGTCGGGAGGTGCGAGCGACTTACGGGTGATGATCAGCACCAGCGGTGTCTGCCTAAGTGGCACGATGGTTCGTACACAGTCGGCGCATCTGTTGAACAGCTCAGGAATTCAACCAACGGGGTCTGCCCAGTGGCCTGTCAGCGAGCCTCTGACACGTCACGTTGCCTCGATGTGCACTTAGCCTGGCACAAATGCCATGGTGACGTCACCGCCACTTTTTGTTGAATGGCGGCTGTTGTTAGTAGGGAGCGGTGGCACAGTAGTGAGCGCTCTGTGCTACCAACCTATCAGCCCGAGTTCAATTCCCGCTCACTTCCAATAACAGTGGCAAATGTATAAACCGCTCCTGACCCTCCCCTAGGTCGACTCAGCTTTAAATTAGTACCTGGTACGGTGTGTAAACAGCATTGGAGAGACAAACACGGCCGTGCTTGGTGCTGGCTACCCATCCCCTCGTGTGAGTGTGGGTGGGTGGGTGGATGAATGTGTGGGTGGGTGGATGAATGTGTGGGTGGGTGGGTGAATGTGTGGGTGAGTGTGTGAATGAGTGGGTGAGTGTGTGAGTGAGTGTGTGAGTGGGTAGATTAATGTGTGAGTGGGTGAGTGAGTGCGTGAGTGGGTGGGTGGATGAATGGGTGGGTGGGTGAATGAGTGGTTGATTGTGTGAATGAATGGGTAGATGAATATGTGAGTGGGTGAGTGATTGTGTGAGTGAGTGAGTGCGTGAGTGGGTGGGTGAATGTGTGGGTGAGTGGGTGAATGAGTGGGTGAGTGTATGAGTGAGTGTGTGAGTGGGTAGATTCATGTATGAGTGGGTGAGTGAGTGTGTGAGTGCGTGAGTGGGTGGGTGGATGAATGAGTGGGTACGTGTGTGAGTGCGTGGGTGAGTGCGTGGGTGGGTGGGTGGATGGATGTGTGGGTGAGGTGTCGTGACGCGCAGGGTGCTGGTTGAACACAGTAAGAGTCCTCAACGTGGGGCTGAGGAATCAATGAGTGAAGTTCACGGGAACAATAACCATGGCAGTAGCCATGGAATAGTGAGAGGGAGGCGACTGCACGACTATTCTCTCACGGGCGTGTGTGCCCAGGTGGGCGAACGAAACTTCCCGTGCCATACTTCAGCACGCTGTTCAGCGCGGCTTGGTGAAGGCGGGCGGGGGGGAGATAAGCCTTTATCAGGGCACTCGCGACAATCATCGCCATCACCACGACTCCTCACCTGCTAAGTCGGAGATCTGACGATCACCTCGAAGGTCCGGAGGACACTTGGCGCGCGGGTGCCTGCCGAGTGGAGGGGTGACCGCCGCCGCCAAGTGGCGCAGGAGCGACACGAGGTTGAGGAAGAGGAGGACGCTGGACCTGCACAGGGTCACGATGAACTCCAACATCTTTGTTCTTATTCTCAGGTTTTTTCGGTAAAATGACGTAGGTAAAAAAATCAAAATAATAAAAGTAAAATAAAATAAAAATCACGACGTTTCGGAGGCAACACAAGCTTCCGTGGCTTTACCGAAAAAAACCTAAGAATATGAATACTTGCAGTCACGAAAGCTTCAAATCTAGAATCTGTTGTTCTTGTTTTTCTCCGACCTCCTCCTGGCACCGCCGACTGCTAAGCGTGGCGCAATCCGGCGTGCAGTGACCTGAAGCGCAGACGACACTTCCCCCAGCTCTGTCTCGCCGCGATCACCATCCACAGACGTCTGTGTGTCTATATATAGCCGCGTGGACCCGCGTGCGTGCGGCACGACGAGCTGCAACGCCATAGCCACACGATAAACAAACACGCACATCGACCCCCCCCCTCCCGCCTCGTCACGCCGCCCTGACGAGAACTTGCGTGTTTCTAACCCCCCCCCCCCGTCTGTTCACAGCCCCCCCCCCGAATCTTCCTCCTTCCCTGACGCAGCCCACGTCACAAGGCGCTCGCGATGACGCAAGCGCTCGTTTGATGATTGCCGGAGGGCTCGATGCGACTCGCGACTCGTGATTCTCTTCGGGCGCCCAGGTGGCTAGGAGATGTTGACTACCTCGCCTGGTGTGCAGGAGATCGTGGGTTCGATCCCGACCCTGACGATGCCTGCTGCTCCTGCTGCTGTATATTTGGAGTTTGCGTCTCTCTCTCTCATCATCACGGTGGCTAGGAGATGTTGACTACCTCGCCTGGTGTGCAGGAGATCGTGGGTTCGATCCCGACCCTGACGATGCCTGCTGCTCCTGCTGTATATTTGGAGTTTGCGTCTCTCTCTCTCATCATCACGGTGGCTAGGAGATGTTGACTACCTCGCCTGGTGTGCAGGAGATCGTGGGTTCGATCCCGACCCTGGCGATGCCTGCTGCTCCTGCTGTATATTTGGAGTTTGCGTCTCTCTCTCTCATCATCACGGTGGCTAGGAGATGTTGACTACCTCGCCTGGTGTGCAGGAGATCGTGGGTTCGATCCCGACCCTGGCGATGCCTGCTGCTCCTGCTGCTGTATATTTGGAGTTTGCGTCTCTCTCTCTCATCATCACGGTGGCTAGGAGATGTTGACTACCTCGCCTGGTGTGCAGGAGATCGTGGGTTCGATCCCGACCCTGACGATGCCTGCTGCTCCTGCTGTATATTTGGAGTTTGCGTCTCTCTCTCTCATCATCACGGTGGCTAGGAGATGTTGACTACCTCGCCTGGTGTGCAGGAGATCGTGGGTTCGATCCCGACCCTGGCGATGCCTGCTGCTCCTGCTGTATATTTGGAGTTTGCGTCTCTCTCTCTCATCATCACGGTGGCTAGGAGATGTTGACTACCTCGCCTGGTGTGCAGGAGATCGTGGGTTCGATCCCGACCCTGACGATGCCTGCTGCTCCTGCTGCTGTATATTTGGAGTTTGCGTCTCTCTCTCTCATCATCACGGTGGCTAGGAGATGTTGACTACCTCGCCTGGTGTGCAGGAGATCGTGGGTTCGATCCCGACCCTGGCGATGCCTGCTGCTCCTGCTGTATATTTGGAGTTTGCGTCTCTCTCTCTCATCATCACGGTGGCTAGGAGATGTTGACTACCACGCCTGGTGTGCAGGAGATCGTGGGTTCGATCCCGACCCTGACGATGCCTGCTGCTCCTGCTGTATATTTGGAGTTTGCGTCTCTCTCTCTCATCATCACGGTGGCTAGGAGATGTTGACTACCTCGCCTGGTGTGCAGGAGATCGTGGGTTCGATCCCGACCCTGACGATGCCTGCTGCTCCTGCTGCTGTATATTTGGAGTTTGCGTCTCTCTCTCTCATCATCACGGTGGCTAGGAGATGTTGACTACCTCGCCTGGTGTGCAGGAGATCGTGGGTTCGATCCCGACCCTGGCGATGCCTGCTGCTCCTGCTGTATATTTGGAGTTTGCGTCTCTCTCTCTCATCATCACGGTGGCTAGGAGATGTTGACTACCTCGCCTGGTGTGCAGGAGATCGTGGGTTCGATCCCGACCCTGGCGATGCCTGCTGCTCCTGCTGTATATTTGGAGTTTGCGTCTCTCTCTCTCATCATCACGGTGGCTAGGAGATGTTGACTACCTCGCCTGGTGTGCAGGAGATCGTGGGTTCGATCCCGACCCTGGCGATGCCTGCTGCTCCTGCTGTATATTTGGAGTTTGCGTCTCTCTCTCTCATCATCACGGTGGCTAGGAGATGTTGACTACCTCGCCTGGTGTGCAGGAGATCGTGGGTTCGATCCCGACCCTGACGATGCCTGCTGCTCCTGCTGTATATTTGGAGTTTGCGTCTCTCTCTCTCATCATCACGGTGGCTAGGAGATGTTGACTACCTCGCCTGGTGTGCAGGAGATCGTGGGTTCGATCCCGACCCTGACGATGCCTGCTGCTCCTGCTGTATATTTGGAGTCTGCGTCTCTCTCTCTCATCATCACGGTGGCTAGGAGATGTTGACTACCTCGCCTGGTGTGCAGGAGATCGTGGGTTCGATCCCGACCCTGACGATGCCTGCTGCTCCTGCTGCTGTATATTTGGAGTTTGCGTCTCTCTCTCTCATCATCACGGTGGCTAGGAGATGTTGACTACCTCGCCTGGTGTGCAGGAGATCGTGGGTTCGATCCCGACCCTGGCGATGCCTGCTGCTCCTGCTGTATATTTGGAGTTTGCGTCTCTCTCTCTCATCATCACGGTGGCTAGGAGATGTTGACTACCTCGCCTGGTGTGCAGGAGATCGTGGGTTCGATCCCGACCCTGGCGATGCCTGCTGCTCCTGCTGTATATTTGGAGTTTGCGTCTCTCTCTCTCATCATCACGGTGGCTAGGAGATGTTGACTACCTCGCCTGGTGTGCAGGAGATCGTGGGTTCGATCCCGACCCTGGCGATGCCTGCTGCTCCTGCTGTATATTTGGAGTTTGCGTCTCTCTCTCTCATCATCACGGTGGCTAGGAGATGTTGACTACCTCGCCTGGTGTGCAGGAGATCGTGGGTTCGATCCCGACCCTGACGATGCCTGCTGCTCCTGCTGTATATTTGGAGTTTGCGTCTCTCTCTCTCATCATCACGGTGGCTAGGAGATGTTGACTACCTCGCCTGGTGTGCAGGAGATCGTGGGTTCGATCCCGACCCTGGCGATGCCTGCTGCTCCTGCTGCTGTATATTTGGAGTTTGTGTGTCTCTCTCCCCGTGGTCGCGTGGGATTTTCTCCGGGTCCTCCGGTTTTTCCCACGGCACCTGGGTGGGTGCGAGACTTCGACACTTCACGTGGCCTCAAAGCGGCACGTGGCCTGGCACAAACGTCGTGGTGACGTCACCGCCACTTAGTGGTGAACGGCGGTTGTTGTTGTTATTGGGTCGTTGTTGTTGTTGTTGGGTCGTTGTTTTTGTTGGGTCGTCGTTGTTATTGTTATTGTTGTGTCGTTGTTGTTAGGTCTTCTTCGTTGTTATTGTTGGGTCGTTGTTGTTATTGTTGTGTCGTTGTTGTTAGGTCGCCGTTGTTGTTGTGTCGTTGTTGTTAGGTCTTCGTTATTGTTATTGCGTCGTTGTTGTTGTTGTTGTTGTTAGGTCGCCGTCGTTGTTATCAAGTGGTTGTTGTGACACCGCGGCTGTGTCGTTTCCAGGAAGGGGTCGCCCTGCCGCGTGCCGCGCCCGAGATGTGGCTGACCACTCCCCCCATTCATTAGTCGCGAACATTCACCCCTTGTCAGAGGTCGCAACCGGGTACCCGATACCCGTACCCTACCCGATACCCGGCTACCGCCTCGTTTCCGACCCTGGTGCGGCCGGGTACGGGTACGGGTAGGCTATGAGTCACTGGTGAGTAGCCGTTTGTCACTCATTTCGGGTAGGGTTACGGGTACGGGTAGGGAACGGCTACCCGTACGGGTACCCATTTGCGACCCTGGTGCGGCCGGGTACGGGTACGGGTAAGGAATCAAAACCCGTTTGCGACCTCTGCTCCTTGTCCACTGCACCTGCCCACTGCAGCTGGCCACCCGCTTCGTACATCACGACAGAAAGTCATCAAGTTGCGGTGTCCGTCAGAGCTCGAAACGACCGTGCGAGCGTTGATTTTTCACCATCGGTGGTGGAAATTCCACATTCCCATGACGGTGAGCACACTCGAAATGAACCGCTTCTCCGCCAAGAAGGATCGTTGCTAGGAACCGTTGGTTGTGTATTTTTTTTATTAAAAAGCTGTGCTTTGTTTAATGAATACGGCGGTAAAGCACCATAAACTGCCACAACACGAGTTGTTATCAGAACCCTTAATGTGCACGGAGGTGGCCAACACGTGTCCAGTTTGTTGACCTACCCCGCAACTACGATTAGCACGTTTGGCTTCAACATACATACATACGTTGCTATGCAGCAATGGTTTCTCGAATCCATCTGTGCGGAGTTTTTAGTGCTTACCCCCCTTTGCATGCGTAGTTTGGTTTTCTCCCGGGTTCTGCGGTGTCTTCCCACAAGGAGACACGGGACTCTGATGAATGACAATGGCCAAACCTTTCACTATTTTTATTTTACCAGGTAAGGCCCACTGAGCTGTATCGATCTTTTCAGAAGCGTCTTGGCCACAAATGATCGCTCAACCAAGTGGCTTATCACCTGGAAGTGGAAAGCAGCCAAATCATCTAAACGCGTGATGTTGATTCTAAATGCCGAGGGGAAAACCGGAGGACCCGGAGAAAAGTCCACTCGACCGCGGGGAGAGAGACACGCAAACTCCAAATATACAGCAGCAGGCGTCAGGGTCGGGATCGAACCCACGGCCTCCTGTACACCAGGCGAGGTGGTTAACATCTCCTCGCCACCCTGTGGCTCGTGTAGCAAACCTCCCCATGTAGCAGCACCCTCTTGAACGAGACGTGTTGAGACTCCGTGAGCATTCATATGGCGGGGATTATATTGTTGTTGTATTGATCATCAAGGGCGAAGTGGAGCAGTGTTCCACGCTGCGCTATGAACTCGACAACCCGACTTTCATGTTGGATTCGCGGCCAACATCAGTGGTGAGTAAAAACTTAATTTGGAGCTTTCGTGACTGCAGGAATTACTCTTTGGTTATTTCGGTAAAGTCACGTATAAAGAGAAAATAATAAATTAAATAATAGGGCACTATTATTTAATTAATAAATAACACATTACATAATAGCATACTATTTTTTATTAAATAATCGCATACTTTTACTTAATTTATTATTTTCTCTTTATACGTGACTTTACCGAAAGAACCAAAGAGTAATCAGTGGTGAGTGCCTTGCGGCGGCGGCGCAGCAAAATGCATTGTTATGTTGTACTGTGCTCCATGAAACGTCTATGCGCCCTCCCCTCCACGCTCAGCAAAACGGGGTCAGCAGAAACAAAACTCTACATAGCAAAGGCACCCGAGTCAGGAATCGAACTTATGCCCTTGTTGCACGAGTTTTAACCACTCCTCCGCCCTGTTGGCCAGAGTTCCACATCGGCGGCTTGACGAACCCACTCCCTGGATTGCCACCTCTTGACCATCAGCACGCAGCTGGGGGGGAGGGGGGCAGGGGGGGGGGCTCACAGATGTCGGCGTGATCCAGCAACCCTTCCCTTTCAAAGCCAGCGCTGCTGGGCTCCCGAGGCAGGCGTGCCCTTCTCTTCCGCGCAGTGACGTCGCGGGAGGCGATGCCATCGAGCTCGAGGGGCGCGCATCGATTCCAGGAACGACCACGCGTGGTGGTGGTGGTACGGGTGGTGGTGGTGGTGGTACGGGTGGATTAATCAACAACCAGACCGCCTCGTCCACGTATGGTACACGCTGCTGGCATGTTGCCCCAACAGCAGCCCCTCCCCTCCCACCCCCCCGATAGCCCCACTCCCACCCCGAAACCCGAAAGCCGAAAACCAGCGACCGCCCCCCGCCACCACCACCACGCAGGACGCGCTGACGGAGGAATCTCCACAATGCGGGGGCGGCGGCAGCAGCATCGCGAGACGCGGTGCCGAGGAGGGAGCGACTCGCGGTGCTCGCGACGGCGCGTGCGAGTGAGTGAGTGAGAGGCACGGCTGGTGGATGCTGTCGGGTGAGTGCTGTCGGGTGAGTGCTGAGTGACAGGCGAAGGATGAGCGTCGTGGGGAGCCGCAGTGGAGCGAGCCGAGTTCGATTCCCGCTCACGGCAAACACCGGTGACGATTATCTGAGCCGGTCCTGGGCCTCCCCTAGGTCGACTCAGCCTCAAATGGGTGCCTGGCGCGGTGTGTAAACATCGCAACTGGGGAGACAAAGGCGGTCGGGCGTGGTGCTGGCCACCCATCCTCTCGCGTGCCGTGCCAGCCTCCAGAGGTGCAGTTCGCTAACAGCACTTGCCCCAGCAGTATGTTAAGGCTATACGGGGGTCTTTGTATTTGTGGCTGGCTGATGAGTGTTGCCAGGTGAGTGCCGGGTGAGTGTTGAGTGCCAGGTGACGGGCTGAGTGTCGGCTGAGTGTGGTGAGGTGAGTGTGGTGAGGTGAGGTGAGTATGGTGAGGTCAGTGTGGTGAGGTGAGTGTGGTGAGGTGAGTGTGGTGAGGTGAGTGTGGTTAGGTGAGTGTGGTTAGGTGTGTGTGGTTAGGTGTGTGTGGTGAGGTGAGTGTGGTTAGGTGAGTGTGGTGAGGTGAGTGTGGTTAGGTGAGTGTGGTTAGGTGTGTGTGGTTAGGTGAGTGTGGTTAGGTGTGTGTGGTTAGGTGTGTGTGGTGAGGTGAGTGTGGTGAGGTGAGTGTGGTGAGGTGAGTGTGGTGAGGTGAGTGTGGTTAGGTGAGTATGGTTAGGTGAGTGTGCCACGTGTTGGGTGAATGTCGGGTGTGCCAGGTGAGGGATGTCTGCTGTATCAGGGGTCACGTGAGTTGTACTACAACGTACAGCGGACATGACATCGCGTCTCAGAGCAAAGATCCCCCGTATAGCCTTGGACAGACTTTTTATGTTGAACTTCTTTCGCACCGTACGTAACCAACCGTGCTAATCGGGAAAGTGCTGTTAGCGAGCACCTATGCAGGCTGGAACGGCACGGGAGAGGGGGGGGGGCAGCAACACGTCAGTCCGCCTTTGTCTTCCCAGTGCTGATGTCGGCACAGCTAAAGCGAATGTCGTGGCGATGTGAGTAGGTGTTACGTGCCGTGTTCTATGACATTGTAGAGACAGCGCTGGGTAGAAGTTGACGCCATCTGTGGTGAGTGGCTGGTGAGTGTTCACAGGCGAGTGGCATGTTACCGTATTCTCCTGGTTACAAGACCATACCTGTCAACCCCTTATCAGTATTAGAGACCAATTCAGACCTTAGTGGTCACCTCATGTCCCTTATAAATCTCAACGTTCATCCTACAAAGTCACATCACAAGGGATAAACAAATAGACTACAACATTTGTTCCCGTATTGAAACGGCTGTACGCCCCGTATGGACCTGAGAACTCACGTTCCCTGTACAAGAACACGGGGTGAAAAGGTATGTGTGGGCACAGTGTGCGATCCGCAACCCTCACTAACACGATTGTTAAAATACAGGGGGAAGAGGCAGTGAATCTTTGAATCTGGAGATTTCGCTAAAGCCTCTAGCTGTGATGCATCATCCCTGTATTCTACATGTACACACACCGAGAGTTCGTGCAGTGTTCACACAGCATGTGTACAGGCTCCCCTCGCTGTACGCGGTAGTCGTAGAAAAAAGGCGCACAAAGCGAAACCGCACATGATGACAGCTGCCTGCCGAGTAGCGCACTCAGTAAACACAGCACACACGCAGTACACACAGTACACACAGTACACACATAGTACACACGCAGTACACACAGTACACACAGTACACACACAGCACACACACAGTACACACCGTACACACACAGTACACACAATACACGCATAGTACACACACAAGGTTATCTCACATCCGACCGCGTAGCCGCATATGACTGAATTTTGTGTCGAAATAGTTAAGCCGCACAGACGCTAAATCGACAAACATCCACACACACATCCACACAGACATCCGCACACACACCCGCACACACACATCCACACACACATTTACAAAGATACAAAGACAAATATCCCCCGTAAAGCCTTAACAGACTGTAGGGGCAAGTGCTGTTAGCGAGCACCTATGAAGGCCGGAACGGTACACGAGGGGGTGGGTGGCCAGCACCACGCCCGATCGCCTTTGTTTCCCCAGTGGCGATGTTTGCACACCGCACCACACACACATCCACACACACATCCACCCTTGGGCACAGCCTTCATTGTCAGCCAGAGCTGCCGCACGCTCGCCCAGAGCGCGCTGCGCTCCACAGCCGCCACGCGCCACCCACCGCTCCTCGCGGTCCTGCGACACCTCGAGGTGCAGGCGGCTTGACATTTAGTGTCTCCAGACAAGTTTCATTCATTTCTCCCCATACAAGATTCTACAGATTTCATGGCCTCCACAGTTGTGATCAGATGTTCCACCCCCCCCCCCCCCTCCCAACGAGCACTTCCTCGCCTCATACTACTCTTGCTGCTGCTGCTGATACTGCTGCTGATACTGCTGCTGATACTGCTGCTGACACTGCTGCTGATACTGCTGCCGTTGCCAGAATTTTGATGGCCCAAGACGCCCCCCAGGGAGCCCCCGGGCATCTCGCCTGGGCCTTCTGCGTGGCTGGAGGGCCCCTGAAGGAGCCCTTCCACTTCACGGCGCTGCCCGCGGCCTCGGAGCCCCGCGGGGGGCCCCACGCGGGGTCCCTGCCGGCCGAGGCACGCTCCGTGTTGCACGGCTCCGTCTCCGTGAGCATCGCCGGGAGGACGCGGGTCGGCGCGGCCCGGCTCCTCACCGAGTTGAGGGACAGGCTGCTGCTGCTGCGGCCAGGTAGCAGCAGCAGCCTCCTCGCCTTCATGGCCCACAGGTGACGGGGCTGACGGGGGTCGTGGCGAGCGATCGAGTGCGTCTTACCATGAGGATCCGCGATAACCGCATCGTGTCGGGATACATCGCAAAGTTATCATCGCTATGATCGTCGCTGGTTCTATTTGAAATACATGTTTTTGCATACGTAATAACAATGGTTAAACGGTTCTGATAATATTAATGAAAATAATAAAAAATATAAACTTTTTATTTTTAAGCTGGTCCAGAGTTTGTTGATACCGAACGTTGATTTGTGTTTGAGCAATATTTAAGATTTATCACGTAAGACGAGGTTGTTTTTTGTTCTTATTTCTCATTGCTCATATGCTGTATTTTATCTTATTTCCGTGACCTCGTGGGACTCGCAGGCAGCCGGGAGGACCTGGAGCGCACCTGCGCACGGGATTCCTGGTATCCTGCGATGAACACGTGGACACGTTGATTAAAGGTACAAAGACAAATACTCCCCATCTTGAACAAGACCGTCTGGCCGAGTGCTGTTAGCAAGCACCTACAGAGGCTGGCACGGCACACGAGGGAATTGAAACCGCAAATCGGAGAGCTCTCGACTAACTACGCCAGTGGTGGGCAATCTGCTGCCCATGTGCCGCATGCGTTCCGTGGAGTCCCTCGCGGTGGCGTGGTCTCGGCGTGGTCTCGTCTCGGCGTGGTGTCGGCGTGGTCTCAGCGTGTTCAGGGTCATGCGCAGGGTCACGACGAGCGCACGGGCGCGGAGTGAAGCTTGCGGCCCGCCGGGGTGGAGGAGGGCCGCTCACGTGGCCCACCGACGTCGTCTGGGCCGCCCATCGCCGATCGACGCGAAACATTTCGCTCGTCGCCACACCTCCCCCCGTCTCCTCCGCAGAAATGAGCGCGGACAGCGATGCGGAGTGGCAGGTGTGTCGCTACGAAGCGCTGGCCGACGGCCGCGTGCGGCAGACGGTGCAGGGCGGAGGCGGCAGCGGCGGCCTCATGGGCGGCACGGTGGTCCCCGCGGAGGCCCCGCCGCTCCACCCGGCCTTCCTGAGCGGCGACACCTACCCCGTGTTCCACCGCTACGAGGAGGCGCGAGCCGTCATGGAGGAGGTGCGAGACGAGCGAGCAGCTGGGGCTCAGGCTGGGCTACGTCTGGGTTTGGGCTAGGTTAGGGTTAGGACTGTGGCAAAACCGTACCCCGCTCACGGTGAGTGCACCGTGCGCTCACTCACAGTGAGTGTAACGCGCCCTCACTCACGGTGAGTGTACCGTGCTCTTGCAGTGCGTGGAGTTCCTGCCCGAGGTGGCGGAGCTGCTGAAGCTGAGTGAGGAGTGGAGGAAGGTGAGCGCGGATCACGGCAGCGGCATGGCCTCCTCCTCCTCCTCGTCTCGGCACCCCATCGTGGTGCTCGAGGGTCTGGACGCAACAGGTTTGACCCACGTGGACCCCGTCAGCTGCTCGCAACCTTCACCCGCCGCCCCGCGCCAGGCGGTGTCGCCGCAAGTTGCCGCTGCGTCCGTGGCGAGTGCCTCTGCAGTAACAACAGCAACAACACAAACCCTCTCGCCTTATTCTCCAACCCAGGCAAATCGACGGTGACGCGAGGTTTGCAGCGGAGCCTGGGCGCCACCCTCCTGCCTCTGCCGGCCGACCACCTCGACTCGTACCTGCCGCTCTTCGTCAACCAGCCGAACTTCATCCGGCGAGCCTACTACTGCCTCCGCAACTACATCCTCGACGGCCAGGCGTCCCAGGCGGTCCGCAAGGGCCCCGTGGTCCTAGACAGGTAACCCCACGGAAACCCTCCTGCTGCCAGACACAGCCGGACGAGTGAATGCGTCAGTTACTGCGTCTAATGCGCCGATTTCCGTCGTTTGAGCTCAAACGCCAGCGAGTTGAAGGGAAATTCTCACAACCACCATTCAGCAACAACTTAAGAAACAATGATCACTGGCGTGTGAAATGCTTGCACACCGCGCGACGAATTAAATTTGTTTGGCTGTGCTGGGTGGTGGAGTGTCTCACGGCACAAGTCAACATAGCTCGTGACAGAGTGGCACCGATCATGAATCACATTGCTGACAAGGGGCTCCTCGCGAGAGCAAGTGGCTCGCAAGCGGAAGGTTCCGAGTTCAGATCCTGGATGGGGGTTGACTTAACCCATCAGCCCTTTGCGGTCGATAAAGCGAAGACCACTTTGTAGAAAAAGTCAATGGTGATTGTATTACGGATAAACTCGGTCCCGCCATAGGAATGGAGACTTTCCTCCCCCGGCTCGGGGCTGTGAATGGGAGTTGAACACCGCTTCGATGGCTGCTTGTCGTCCCATGGACGTCTCCCATTGGTCCCTCCACCCGTGTTGAGGACTCGGGCCTACCCAGACACATGTCATCCACAGTCCCTAATTAGCTGAGCTCAGTTTGCAATATTTGCATCCAAAAGCCTCTCCGAGTCAACATAACATTGCTTGTTTTTAATTGGCAGGATAAGCCGGTTAATTAAGACATTTTTTAGAGAGTCAAGAACTCACCTAGGAATGTGGTCGTTACTTTTAAACAGCATTGATTGCTGCCGCAGGAGAGTTTTAAAACAGTTGACGAACATATTTTAAAAATATATGTATAAAAAAAAAAGCTAGCGCCCGAACAGGGACTTGAACCCTGGACCCTCAGATTAAAAGTCTGATGCTCTACCGACTGAGCTATCCGGGCTCGTGTTGATCTAACTGGTCAGAACACACACAAACATACTGCATTGTCACAGGCTCAGGTACTGTAGTTTCACACACACGTGGTACTGCATTGTCTCTCTCCACAGGGACAGGGCAACTAACACTGCCACCCGCCATTGTTCCGTGAATTAAACACACTATTTGGTGAATAATAATGCCTGAAAATAAAATATGCGTAATAGGCGACGGTTATGAATTTAGAATGTCTCCCAATTGCTGCCTCTGACCCCAGAACACATGGTCAGCACCCTGCACACCTCATTTCTCGAGAACTACTTCTTGTGTTTAGTTTGTTGCCCTTCCCCCGCACCTCCGATGCGCACGGGTTGGCTACGTCCGGTGCGAAAGAAGTTCAACGTGCACACCACCACCCAGTGTTCTATCTCGCTGTGGTCTCTCTCTGGCTGCGTGCGCTGTGCCAGCCACCAGCTGTAACACGCGAACACCTTCCCCCGTACAGGTGTGCCACGTTGTTGTTGTCGGTGTCATAGTTTGTGGTTTTGGTCGGGAGCCGGGGGCGTGAGCTCACCCCGCTGAACGAGTCCGTCGACCCCAGCCACAAACATTGGCGAGGAACATCTTGAACCTATCCTGGGGCCTCATCTCGCTCGACTCAGCCTCAAACGAGTCCCCGGTGCGGTGTGTAAACATCACCGTTGGGGAGACACGGACGTCAGGGCATTTGTGCCGGCCAACCCGACCGTGTGCTTGCACCGTGCCGACCTTCGACGGTGCTCCTCGCGAACAGCACTTGCCCCAACAGTCCGTGAAGGCTACGCGGGGGGTATTTGTTTTTGCCCTTACAGGTTCTGGCACAGCACGGCAGCCTACGCCGTGGCCACGGAGGACAGCGGCGGCGGCGGCGTGCCCGTGGGCGCCCTGCCTCCCGAGGGCCACCCCGTGTACCGCTGGCCGCGGGACCTGCTGGCGCCCAGCGTGGCGGTGATGCTCACGCTGAGCCCCGCGGAGCGCCAGCGCCGGCTGCTCGGCCGCGGCGAGGACATCACGCGGGAGGAGAGGCGCTTGCAGGAGGACGCCGCCTTCAGGGAGCGGTGGGTCGCGCCCAACCAGTGCCGGCGCTTGGAATTTCGCTCCGAAATGTTTTGTTCGTCGTCGTTATCGAGCCACTGCTGGATGCGGGGCATCCCCCTCAAGCCCATCGCTCGCGGCCCCGTAGAAATCCAGTGAGTGCCCGCACGCCGGCTGATTTCATCGCTCCATCTCCCATCAACGAGGCCAATGCAGTCCACAGCATCGTAACGTGGCACTAGCAGGTACTGCAATGTGCATAACACACTGCACCACGATTCGACATCATCAACATCGGCCATTGTTTATCCACTGCTAGATGAAGGTACCCCCATGCCGTAGGCCATCGACCATGCTCCAGTTACCGCTACCATCCATCTCCTGCTCGCGAGCTGACCTCATCGTGATGTAATCGCTCCATCCTCGCGCCGAGCGACCTTTCGGCGGGCGCTCGCTCGCCCGTCCGTCCGTCCCGCCGGTCCGTCGCTCCCCTCCCGTCGGTGCGCCCCGCACCGGCTCTCTCGACGGCGCGTTGCGAGCGTTCGTTCTCCCGGTGGCTGACCGTGGTCTGCCGTGTCGCCGCCGCTGCACGCAGGGTGGAAGAGGCCTACCGGCGCATGCGGGAGCCGCGCTGCATTCCCATCGACGCGTCCGACACCCCGGCGGGCGTCCTGCAGAAAGTCGTGGACATCATCCTCCAGCACCACGAGTGCCTCAAGCCCTGCTGAGCCACAGGCCGGGTGGCGGCGCAAGGCACAAGCAAAGCAAAGCCAAGCAGGCTTAGACCCACAAGCGGATCGAGGGGTGCACGGTTCATACGTAACATAGTCAACGCGCGTCAAATGTCAGCTCGGGATCAACGCCTAATAAACGTAACAAGAGAATTTACATCAACACGAATTAGTCTTCTCTCGCCGGACGATATCTCGCTATTGTCTCTGCCTTTCTTTAAGTCCTCGACATCTCTTTTGTTTAGACATCGGTGGGGTTCCAAACCCTAGTGGAACCGTGGAACCAGTCCATTACCAACTGTGAGAATGGATGAATCTACTATTAAATCTACATATTTAAATACATTCCAGTTCCAAAAAACAAACCCCACATAAAATATTTTGCTGGCTGGAACACTGTCTGCTAGCTTTATACAGAGTGGTGGGATTGGTTTACCAGAAAAAAGCTTGTGTAACCACAAGGGATAAGCAGATTTTGTTAACACAACTTGTCTAAAGTTTCTTAAAATGTGTATCCCAATTAACCCTTTCAGAACTGGCAGTTAGAGAACAGCCCACAGAAGTGGATAATGCAGAGCTACTACTGAGATCCATTCAAGTGCCTTCTGCTCCACACAGAAGCGAGGAGCAACACTGACAAGGCGATATTTTTTAATTTTCAGAACTGAATTTCGCCAAATAATGCGCAGAGCCAATTTTACTCCGACGTGTTTTTGTGCAGTAATTGGTGACCGGACAGAGGCCATCAACACGCTACGCTTGAGGCCCGGTTCAATCACAATCGGCTGGAACCTGGATTCGAGCCCAGGCACTCCGAGATTCCGGCTCAACGTCTCTGACCTTTGAGCCGGCCACCGCCGAGTAAAAACAACAGACTTTGAAATCCGTGATTCGACCCCTGCCCAAACGACTACTCACTCCACTCTTCCCCACTGCTCACAAACACAACCTGCACGGGCTGTTAAGCATTCAACGCGCGCCCTCCGCTCTTGACCCACGAAAGCCACGGTGAATGGAGAGTTTTCACAGCAGCGTTGTGCCGAGTACACGAGCTTAACAATGCCCCCTTCGTAGAGCCCGCATTGTTGAGGGCTGGTGAACCAATGTACATCGCTTGCAATCCATCGGCGCGCTGTGCCTCGGGCTGGCGTGGCACGGGCGTGGAATTAGCGCGGCGAGCCATTGCTGCTGAATCATTTAGGGGCCGTCCATAAATTACGTCACGCACCTGGGGGGGGGGGGGGTGTGTCAGACATTTGTGACGTGGGGGGGAGGGTTTGAGAAATGTGACGTCACATCAAAATACCCACCTTTAAATAAACTTAAATAGAATTGTTATAACACTAATTTTGATTAATTTTCATTATTAATTATTTGTTTATTTAAATTTACGAAGGTCACCTTTTATTTATTCCATGAAGGATAATCTTGCTTCTCCATGGGAGAATGGAGCATACATTTGTGTTAATGATTGTTCTTAAATATTTTGATTATAATGATTCTACCAGGGCTTTTCATTCTGTGGAATGAATGTGATTGTTATAATTGTACTCTCCATTTTTCTTCGTTCGACTACAAAGTTTCAGGTCTTTTTTATAGTTATAATTATTTTTAATATTTTATAATTATAAGAGAATTTCAATATTATATTCTCAACATCTGCAGTTTTAGTTAGACGTTGAATATTTTCAAGTGAATTTTATGCAAAATTTTAGCTTTCCAACGTGTTTTCTCCTACAACATCAGAGTGCAGCGCCACATTAAATACGCACTACAATGATAATAGTTTAAAGCGATTTGAAGCAAGTTTTATTTTCAAAATGGAAATATGGTTTTGCGAGGGGGGGGGGGTGCAGAGCTTTGTGACGTCATATTTGAGGGGGGTCTGACTTTTTGTGACGAGGGTGGGAGGGTCAAAAATCGGACAATAATCGCGTGACGTCATTTATGGACGGCCCCTTAGGCCCAAGGGCCGTGCACACCGCGGCGGGTTCCGCAGTTTGTATCTGTCCCGGACGTAGCGGCTCCCGCAATGTGCTGCTGCTCGTGCCGCGCACGGCTCCTCGTTCAGACGACCACAACGCCCTTCCCAAAATCATCTTTGACACTCCACGTCCATCATCTCGCCGGCGTTGTACTCGTGACACCGGCGGGTAACCATGGCGTTGCAGGGTCGTCTCATCCCGACTCGCTGCGCTGTGGTGGAATATCGACACACTCAGCGCTGATTGCGCTGCGTCTTGTTGGGCACCCGTCGTCTCGCTGTTTGCCGTCTTCATGGCTGCAAGTGCCCCGCTCTGTCGCCCGGATCACATCGCTCCTCGTTTCTGAAGAAGCTCCCGCGCACGTGGAGCGAAACGTCGGGACGTCGTGCCGAACAACACGCGCGGCACGAACCAAAACACAGGGGAGAGCTCCCCAACACAACCGCGAGTCTGTATGGAGACAAAGGCCCCCCGTGTAGCCTTCACAGACTGTCGGGGCAAGTGCTGGTAGCGAGCACCTGTGAAGGCCGGCACGGCACACGAGGAGGTGGGTGGCCAACAACACGCCCGGCCGCCTTTGTCTTCCCAGTGCTGAACACAACCGCGAACCTGTAGCAACACACCCCCTTAGCCAGCCCTCTGCACAAGAGGGAAAGGCGCAGACCTGCAACAGCTCGCCCATGCCACTGCTGGCAAAAGCGCCTGTGCGTGTTGGCCTGCCCTGCTTCCCACGCTGGGCAGCTGTCTGGGGAGCGGTGGCAGTACCCGCGTTGTACCCCAGCGCACGCCACATGCCCATCGGCTCAGTTGGTGGCGAACGCCTTCGCTTCTGCTGGGTGGCCAGAGGCGGGGCGACCCAGCTGCCGCGCACGGAGATCGAACCCGGCGACCTCTGGGTCGCGACTGCACCTACCCCCACGCTGCCCTCCCACCGAGAGACCCTCGCTACTGGGCAGCTCTGGCAGCCCTCCCACCGCCCGCGCAGAAAACCCTTTCCGGAGCAGCGCAATTGCTGCCCTGATTGGGTAGCGGGCGAGGTGCCCCGAGTCTCCCATTGGACTCTCTAAATAGAGAGATAAAGGCAGAGAGAGAGAGAGAGAAAACGAAAGAGGAAAAGCCCAGACTGCCGTTCTCTCGCTCGCTCTCAATTCTTGCCCCAGGACATCAGGACGCGAGCAGGTGGGTCACCCCGAGCACGTGGGCACCTCGCGGGCTTCAAATCCCGAGCGCGTCGGTTCAACTCCATCTCCCGGCGCGGAATCTGTCTTCAATCCTCTCACGCGCCACGTCCACGCAGCAGTTTTAGTCGATTGTCAGCGTCGCGTGCGGAGTGGGTGAAGTAAGGGGACTCGCGCCTCGTCCCGGACATCTGGCCAGCGTGGAAGAGTAGGCCAAGTAGCCTCGAGCGGGGCTCTCGAGTGGAGGCAGCTTGCGCTAGCGGGAGCGAGCAATTGCACTCACCCACTCACACTCACCCACTCACTCACTCTCCCAAACTCCCACTCACCCACTCACCCTCACACTCACACTAACCCACACACTCACCCACTCACACTCACCCACACTCACCCACACTCACCCACTCACACTCACCCACTTACTCACTCACCCTCACTCACACACTCACACTCACCCACACTCACCCACTCACTCACACTCACTCACACTCACCCACTCTCACTCACCCACTCACTCACTCACACTCACCCACTCTCACTCACCCACTCACTCACCCACTCACTCACACTCACACACTCACTCACACACTCACTCACACACTCACTCACACACTCACACTCACTCACACACTCACTCACACTAACCCACACACACTCACACTCACCCACTCACTCTCACTCACCCACACTCACTCGCCCACTCACTGACCCACACTCACTCACCCACTCACTCACACTCACCCACTCACTCACCCACTCACTCACCCACACTCACCCACTCACTCACCCACTCACTCACACTCACCCACACTCACTCACCCACACTCACCCACTCACACTCACCCACTAACACACACTCACTCACCCACTCACTCACACTCACCCACTCACTCAACAACAACCGCCATTCGCCACTAAGTGGCGGTGACGTCACCACGACGCTTGTGCCAGGCCATGTGCACCTTGAGGCGATCACGTGCATTGTCGAACACCCGCTGGCAAGAGGTCACGGGGCAGACCCAGATGCCACAGGTCGACTGACTGAGACCTACCCACTCACCCACTCATACACTCACCCACTCACTCACTCTCACTCACCCACACACGCATCCACACGCACCCACTCACTCACCCACACGCACATCCACACTCACCCACACACTCACCCACACCCACCCACGCACTCACGTTCACCCACACTCATCGACTCACTCACACTCACCCATACTCACCCACCCACTCCCACACCCAGTCCCACACTCACCCACACACTCACCCACCCACTCCCACACTCACCCACACACACACTCACGAACCCATGAGGTGATTCTTGCTGCGAGGCTCAGGTTTGACCACCGTGCTCGGCGGCTATCAACCCCTTATCAGTCAGTGCCCTACCTCGTTACAGACCAATTCAGACCGTATTAGTCACCGCGTGCTCTCATGAATCTCAACGTTCATCCTACAGTCCCATCACAAGGGAGAAACACAAACAAATAGACACGTTTATTGCCTATTTTGCAACGGCTTAACACGTAGACTTTCGCGACCAATATTATCCATAAGAGTTTTTTTTGGATCAGATGGGTTGAAACGGTTGGACGCCGTATGGACCTGGAAACGCAATGTCCCCGCTTGTCCCCTTGCTAACGAGACAGAGTCGTTCTATATATTTAACTCCTATCTTGAAGACTCGCCTCTTGAAACGGGACGTTTACCCTGCAGGTTCTTTTCCTGATCTCCGTACGTGGGGGTGTACGGAGGAAACGCGCCTTGACAATGTAAATGATTATCGTTCACATCCTGTCTTGTTCTTACGACGCGGCTTTGTTGAATCACGGCAATATTCCGTTGTACCATTCATGCACCCCCTCTCCCCTTGCCCACTGGTCCAACAGCCGCGCCTGGGGATGTAAGTTCATGGGAAATTGGTATCGCGATTATCGTCGAAGCGTGAACCGTGGTGTCGCGGCAGCCCACGTGTGCCGAGTCACGTGTGGCGCAGCAGTCAGTGCTCATCACTCGCCACTCAAGAGGGCAGCAGAGGATAGGATGATATATAACCCCAGTTACTAACGACGTATGAACAGTCTAAATATATAACGCTTGACAGTACGCCACTTTCCCATGAGCATCTGGGCAAGTCCGCCAGCATTGCTTTTAGTAAAGCTTGACTCTGCTGGTGAGTTGTACTGAATGTCGAAACCGGTCCAGTGTTGAACCAGTGCTGCTGAAGAAATGCTCACCCAGAGAGGGGGCCGTGCGGCTGATGGCATGTGTAACAGAAATGTGCAGAGATAAATACCGGATGTCAACTTATCCATTGGAACTGTGCTTATATTTGCTCCGACAATGGTTCGACTGCTTAGTGTCGTCGACCAATGAGCAGCACCTGGGGCTGACGATCTCTCTCCTGGGCCACAGCAGAGAGGCCGCATCTCGCATGGGGGCCCGTCTCGAGACCAGGGGGACAGCCCCTCCCGCCCCTCCCGCCCCGTCAGCGTTCTCCGTGGCCCTCCTTGCTTGCAGGAGCCATGAGCAGCGGTGGCGGTGACGGCGGTGACAACGGCGGCGGCGGCGGTACGGACTCGCGTGCGGTGGAGAAGGACTGCAGCCTTCCCTTCTGGCAGGGCGCCTGGCAGCGCAGGCAGATTGGCTTCCACGACCCCAACGTACACAAGTGAGGGCCGGCGGCTTCACGTCCCGCTGGCGTTTCTGTCGTTCTCGTCGCAAAATAAGGGATGGCTGTCGTGTACCTAACACTGCACAAAATCCTCCTGTACTCGGGAGCACGAAAAGTAATCCGCTTTTGTACATAATAATAAAATGCCAAGATAATATGTATCGCGAGGTGTATTTTTATAGTCTTAATACTATTAATAATTTTTATATTAATTTTTATGTTATTTTTCATAGTGCAGACCTGGTTAAAATTAATCCGTGGTGGCAACTGCACCAACCACAGGAGGCTATGGGGCAGCTACAACTGTCCTCCGCACACTCTTAGACCCCAACACTAGATGTACGGTAAACTTCTTTCGCACCGTACGCAGCCTACCGCGCTAATCGAAGATTCGGGGAAGGACAGCAAACTGAACACAAAAGGCAGTAAACACAGATAACTCAACCGGGCAACATCCCATTGAGAGCAGCGGTGTCTCCGAAGGGAGCTCTGTGTCGCAGCAGCCTTGACGCCTCGTGGCCTGTGTCGTGCTCGCTGCAGGAAGCTCATCAAGCACTTGGACGCGATGCGCAGCGGCCGGGCCAAGCTGCGCGTCTTCCTGCCCCTGTGCGGCAAAGCCGTGGACATGAAGTGGTGAGTCCGAGCGCGCTGGCCCAGTTACACTTGCGGCGGCGGCGTGCCGAAAATATTTTCTTTACAAAATCAGAGGATTCACCCGATTGCTGCTCTTCTGCCAAACCTCCCGGGTACTCAGGCTCGCAGACTTGGGCCACGAGGTGGTCGGAGTGGAGGGGGTGGAATCCGCCATCGTCGAGTTTTTCACGGAGCAGAACGTGGAGTTTCGGAGGCAACCGGTGGCGTCTCTACCCGACGGGGAACTCTTCCAGGTCATTCCGCCACCCGCTCCGCACTCGGGGGGGTGGGGGTGTCGGGAACCGACTTCCCGCGACTACGTGCATGTTGAACTTCTTTTGCCCCTTACGCTGCAGCCAACCGTGCTAATCGGGCTTCATGTCACGTTGGTCATTGCGGGTCAGTGACGGGCAGGTCCGGTTCTGGTGTCGCTTTCCACTCGCGTCAGCCACAGCCCGGGATCGAAGTCAGGTCACGGGGTTCGTAGCACAGCTATTTGTTACAATTCATGTCAGAGAATGAAATGTATTAACCATCGCAACGCCGTGTTTGTAATTTGAGCGTTTACAAATGTGAACTCTCACGCATCGGCGATGGAGTTTTGTGCGTGTGTTTTCGTTCAGGCTGGTTGCCCGCGAGGCCTGTTCAGCTGCCGGTAAGGAGCAGCTCTCCCGTCGTCCCTGCATCTGCAGGCGACGGCGGGAGTCGCCGCTCAAGCGCTCGGTGTTTCACCCTTTCCCGACCTTTACTGTTGTCGCAGAGTCTGGACGGCAAGATGTCCATATACAGATGCGACTTCTTCGACTTCACAAGGTGCTCGGGTCGCTTGGCGCGTCGTCGTCACGAGATCACTTTGCTAATTCTGCCGCCAACCTGGGATGGGCAGTTGTGGTCGTTGCATCCACATCATCGCCATCAATCGTCAGCCATGCTCAATCGATTAAGAATAGGTTCTAACCTTTCTGGCAATGAAACAGTTGTGTTAAGATGTTAAAACAGCAAACATAAACCTTTTTGCAAGGAATCACGTCTGCATTAGAGGATGCCAAAAGGCGAACATCACAAACGCAATGCATTATGAGGACATTGAGAGCTCGGGGTGAGCTGCTACATCACGGGACCTCCCTTGAGACTTGGCTCTAAAGAAGCTGTCTCTGGTGTAGACCAATCAATTTCAAAGACGATGAATATACTATCAGAGCATGTTTTCTTTTTATGTTCGCCACAAGTATATGTGGTTAATGCAGACATGATTCCTTGCAAAAAGGTTTCTGTTTGGTGTTTTAACATCTTAACACACCTGTTTTATTGTCAGAAAGGGTAAAACATATTATTAACACATTCTTGCGGAGGGAGCTGGTAGAAACGTTGGGTTGCTCGGTCAATGGCCAGGGTCAACAGCGGCGTGGTGTATTCCGCAAATATGCCTGACTGTGAGGGCAGGCACAAGCCGGCGTGAGTAGGTTAAACGTTGAGTTTTATAAGGGCACCACGGGGTGACCAGCCTCTCCGGATCGCCAGTCCGGTGCGCTGACCGTTGCGCCGCTGACGTGGGCGGCAGCGTCCGAAACACCTCTCACGAACCAATTCGTTGTTTGCCAGTGACGTTTCCCCTCGTAGCATTGCGAGCGGCGGCGAAGTGACTCGCTGCCGCACGCGGGCGGGCCCCACTCCTGCACGCGTATTCCCCCAATTCAAATCAGCCGCACCAATTCACCGCCGCTACGGTAACGACGGGGGGGGGGGGGGCGGCCCTGTGCGCGACACCGCCAGCAGCGCTGGCCGCGTCTGCGCACGTTAACTCCTCACGGCGGAGGTGTCACATTTGCACGCGGTGATGGTGAGAGGACACTCGGGGCGTGCCCGTCTGTGCGCGTGTGCTCGTGCGCGTATGTTCGCGCAAAGGCAGCCAGGCGTGGTGTTCGCCCGCTCCACCCCATCGTGCGCCGTGCCGCCTTCAAAGGTCCTCGAGAATAACACTTGGCCCAAAAGTTTGGAAAGGCGACATGGGGGATCTTTTTCCTTGTGCGTATGGATGGGGAGCGGTAGTCGTGTTGGCGGTTAGCACACCGCGCTACGAGCCCGACTCAACATCGGTAATGGATATATGAACCGGTCCTGGGCCTCCCCTAGTTCGACTCAGCCTTAAACGAACACCTGGCACGACGTTCAACATCAACGCTGAGGAAACAAAGGCCGTGGTTTTGGCCACACCACCCCCTCTCGTATGCCGTTCCGGCCTTCCTTGGTGCTACTTGCTCACCGCACTTGCCCCAGCAGCACGTTTCGACCACACGGGGTGTCTGTGTGTTGTTGTTATTGTTGTTGTTGCAGTGCGGTTGCCGGTCGGTTCGACGCGATGTGGGACCGCGGGGGACTCGTCGCCATCAACGCGAGCGACCGCGAGCGGTGAGACACCGCGGCCTGCGTCTGCCACAGCCGAGGTTGGGCGCCACGGTGGCAAGGAGATGTTCACTACCTCGCCTGGTGTACAGGAGGTCGTGGGTTCGATCCCGACCCTGATGCCTGCTGCTGTATATTTGTAGTTTACGTGTCTCTCTCCCTGTGGTCGCGTGTATTTTTCTCCGGATTTTCCCTCCACGGTTAGAATCACACGTTTAGAGTATTTGGATGCTATACATGTCCACGTGATAAGCCACTTCGCTGAGCTAACATTTGTGGCCATGTGGCTTCTGAATATAGCTCAATGGGCCTTACCTGGTACGGTAAAAAAAAGTTTGCTAGTTTTTATAATGTAATAGTTTATGCATGGGATTTTCTGGTTTCCTCCCACAGCTCAAAACACAAACAGGAATACCTTGCAATTTCGTCTGGTTAGGGACCAGAGCATGGACGAATGTCAAAAATGGACGAATGTCAAAGCAGAGCCTTTATTTAGCTCGCAAATGTATTTTGGCCGGCGAAAAACTTGCATGCAAAACACGCTCCTTTGGAGTGGACAGGTAGGAACTTGGTTGGACAGCGCATTCGTGCGATCCGTGTCACGTGGCGCAAGGTGCGTGGGGCGGCGCGTCACGTGGTGCTGAGCCCGCCCGAAGCGCTCTATGAAATACAAATCTAGGGCGTGGCTATGCACGACGGACAGACAATCCCTGATGGGCAGCGTGAAGCTGTTGTTCCTACCTGCATAACTACAGTAACTACATAACACGTGTGCGAAACCTAAATAAACAGAAAATAAAAATAAACAAAACTAAATAAATCAACAAAATTATACCTTGAAATATTTGTATTCTTGCGCAAGTAGACGATGAATATATTGGTGATTTAGGGGAAATCTAGATTCATAAAATGAATACTGTACACGTGTTTTATAATCACGAAAATAACTATGAACACTGGTATTATATACTGTTATCACAAAAAATAACTATGACATTTTTACAGTATAATCACAGAAATAAGTACAGTATTAACAATAAATGAATAAACACAAATATAACAGATGCTCACTGAACGACTTCTATTCAGAAACTGAACGAAAAAGACGGCGTGTGGCACGAACGTCGTGGAAGTTTGTGATGAAATCCGACGAAAGAGGGAAGCCACGTGGACGAAATTTGAAATGTGGTTATAGTTGAGAACGGCCGAAACAGCGAAGCGACGAAAGTCAAGGTATATTGGTCAAACATCCCAATGCTGAGCAATTACTTGCCAATTACTCAATGGGGATTACAGAGCGACCTTGCCCCCTACTGTGAAAACTTGTCAGGAACCTTCTAAAAAAGTGCCTAGAGACTCGGCGAGGCTTTTCTGGGTAAACAAGCAGAGAAACGACAATAATACATCACCACGTTGTTATTTCGTGATATTTGTGAACATGCCATTTGCCGAACCTGCAGGTTTGCAGCTGTCATGACCGACCTCATGGCACCGGGCTGCCGATATCTTCTGGACACCTTCAACTACAATGACCTCACCTTCAAGGGTGAGCACCCAAACTGCTCGGCATGTCGGTGGCACAGAGCTCACGTTCACATCGGAATCTCTCCGCGTTGGCAGGAAGTTGGACCGAGTGCAGGATGTACATATACAGCCGTTGTGTCAATGTGTACATGTACGTTGAATTATATTGCATCGTATGTAACCAACCGTGCTATTTGGAGGTGCGGTGGAAGGACAACAAACTACGGATGAGGTTCTCCCGATGCCGTTCTGTTTGTTTTGACCATGCTTTTACAATGCCGGTTAAACACAGGGAGCATATAACAGTATCATGTAGTATTTTGCCGCACTGCCTTCTGGGTAGTTTTCATGCTCTATGCAGGGTCAATTTCGCTTAACTTCCAAGATCTGGTGAGATAACGTGCGTTCGAAGCGTTTTGGTGAAAGCTATACACGATATGTATAAGATAAAAAAAATTTCATTTAGATTAATTTGTCTAATTTCCTAACCTGAGAGGATCTTTGAAGGTAGGGAGAAACTGCTCATCCACTTGAACCAAGATCTGAGAATGAACGCACGATGCCAGTAGAGGCGCAAGCAATGCACGCGGCAAACGCGATCGGCGCACCGAACGCATGGACGTAAGACGCGGGGCAGAGGTGCCACGCTTTGCAAACGGATCCCCTGGCAATAAGCGCAGAATGCACCATAACACTGGTGACATTTACGTTACGGCCAAAGTGAAGTTCACAAAAAAAGTGTCGATTACAGCAGCACAAATTCAGGTGGTAAAACTGCACAAATGTAATTTGTTATCACGGCCCGTGTGTAATTGCACAATAACGAGGTCACCGCTGTCTCCGTGTTTGTAGGACCACCCCATTACGTGCCTGAAAGTGAAATACGAGCTCTCTACGGTAAGACTACCATTAATAATGCACACTGCGAAGTAAAGGGCACGCAGCCGCGCTTGTACGCACGCGGCGAACACTGACGCGACGCAGTTTGATGGACCGTGAAAATAACGCGGCGCTGACGGAGTCATTTAAATTAGTTATGAAGGCAGCACGTGAAAACCACTTTTGTCTCGCCTTAAATCATTAAGCGTTTCTCAATGCTTTTCCAACCAAGGTTGGATGCGGGAATGCAGTAGCTGTCTGTCTGTCTAACGCAGGGTCATGATGAAGCTCGTAAATATGATCCAAGATACATTTAAACTTTGGTTTCATATTGGGGAATTACCCTATAAAAAAACTGGCAAATTTATTAAAGGGTTATCCAAAACCTAGTGGGAAAAAAAGAGCGATAATCGGTAAACAAAGGTAATGACTTCACACACCATTCAGATGCTGTGCCTTCCCGTGACCTCATCGTGTGATGTCATCTCACGATGTCACAGGTTCCGTGCCTTGTGACATCTCATTTTTCGACTGGGAAGGTAACGTTATAATTGCCAATTAAATCCTTTAATTCTGAGGACGAACGCAAATTGGAGAGCGCTAAAGTATCCACACATCAATCCCGAGTCACTAAAAAGGGACACATCCGAGACTTAATCATTTTAGCTGGGTCTGTGACCCGGGGAAATGTCTGCACCCGACACACTACATCCAGTATACCACTGGATATGGCTGTGGCTATCAGGCACGTGCCACCCTACTTCAGTCTACCAGCAAGTATATTTGTGGGCGATGAAGCTCCTGCCCGCTTGCCACCTGACACGGCGCACAAACGTGGCAAGCAGCCACCGAGCGACGGTGGGGAACCGATGTGGTGTGGCTCCCCTGGCGGCGTGCAGGCGAGCGATGCGACGTGGAACTGCTGGAATCGGACAAAGAGTCCATGGCTGACCGTGCCGAAAGCTGGGGCCTGGACTACCTCATTGAAGTCGTCCACCTCATCACGCTCAAGTAGCGCTCGTCCGGATCGCCCCGCAACCAGGAGTAGAGATTAACAACAAGACCGCATTCGTCAATAACACTGCCTGGGAGCAGAAATGCATGTCAATATAAGGCGTAATTTTGGGCAGTGTCCCTTCTATTGACGAGCGTACCGAATTTGTGTTGGCGATTGCGCGCTACTGAAAGCGCGTCACGAAATAAATTGACACGAAATTACCGTACCGTAGGCACGCAACCACGACGCACCATAATTTATATATGGATTTGGTTAATGTAGAAAACATGTACAAGCGAAACTGTAAATTGATGAGCAATTCTCAAAACCAAATTTAGCAATCAGAATCAGATGTTTCGCTTGAAACTGCGCCAAGCATCTTTAGGACAAAGATCCAGTCATTCAGAATAAATTGCAGGAAGTACAAATAACTGAAGTACACACCTGGACAATTATGAATCACAACTGTGACTGCGGATACCTACTTGTAATTTTTTACAAATTATTTAATAGAAACCAGGACAATGAACAGCGGAAATCAGTCGACTCACAGGTGACGGGGAGAGTGGGGAACAGGGCGTCGTGACGTGCCACGGCTTGGCGTGGACTTGGCAGAGGTCAGCCAAGCGTGCGGTCCGAGGTTTCTTGGACGAGCGGTGACGATTTTAAAAACATAAAATTTGCACTGAAATCGTCCGTCTTGTTTTGGAGCGTTGAGTGACCAAACCGTCCCCCCGATGCTCTCGACTGGACATCGAAACGTAACGTCACTCTTACCGTCACTCTGAACTCCACATGACACCGCCGACAAGCACGAGGAGCAGAGCCACGGTTTTACAGGCGTAACCGAGCATGGACAATGCACACTCTTTGTTTCACCTCGTAGACCTACCTCAAACAAAAAATTCACACTTGTACCACTGTACCAGCAAAAGATATTAAAGAAATCAAACGTCAAAATTGCGTGTCTTCTATCCTGTATTTAATGAGATTAATACAACAAATACATTACGAGAAGTCATGTAAACTTATTAAAAACACAACTCTTAACCCCCACTCCCCCCGCTTTATTTTGGTGACAAAATGACCTCCCCACAAACAATTCATGAGAGGAAGATTCGCGACAGTTTTGTTTCTCTCTCTCGCTCTCTCCGGTATGACCACGACATCGCGAGAGCGCGCCGAGGGGCGGATGCACGAAGGCTCGACTGTAGTCTCGCAAGGCCACACACGCGCGCAGTACGCACAAGCCGTCTTGTTTCCTGCCTCGGGGCACGCTAATCGCATCGCCAGCGAGCAAACGTTTTCTTTATCCAAATCCACCAGCGGCCGTCCGTTTAGTAGAGTACAAAAATAAATACCACCTTTCTTAAACGTTGAAAATGTTTGCTCCGACTGTAGAAATGCACACGAGTGCCCTAATTCGTTCCCCTCTCTCTCCCGAGAATTTAACACCGGCGGTGTTTGGCAACGTTGAATAAGAAGGACTGCATAGACAAATTACGAAAAAAATATTTTAAAATATATAAAAACAAATTATAATAAAATAAAACTCACACCATTAAACATTCTCTTAACCATTACAAGGGCAATATATATCTATATAATACAGGCAATCAAAACACCTTGAGAATGACAATAACATTGGTCTCATTGATCTTACGTTGAGGAATTTTGACTCCAATATTATGTAACAATCGTGTAATAAGTGCAATAATGTAAGGACTGAATTAAAAAATCAAGTGGTTTAGAGTAAGTCCGCACAATGTTAGTAGCACATTCCCAAAACATTTTGAGAGCCCCTCCCATACACAAGTACATGTGTAAACGTACAATGTGTGTGTGTATATATTATAACGCAAAGATCCCCCATATAGCCAAACAGGATGTCGGGGCAAGTGCTGTTAGCAAGCGCCTGTTAAGACCGGGACACGCGAGGCGGTGGTGTTGCCAGCGCTACGCCTTTCCGGCTCTGTCTCCCCCAGTGCTAACGATTAAAGATTGCAATAGCTACTCATTTAAGGCTTACCCGACAGAGGGGAGAGGCCCATGACGGGTTAAGATAAGGTTCAGATAATCACCGCACAGGGCGCCAACAACCACTATGCCACGACTCCACCCATGCACAAAGAACCCGGTGAAGCCCACACAGGCAGTTGGGGCAAGAGCTTTTCACAAAGACCGAATACCCCAGTATACACACACACAGTGCACATGAAGATACAATTCTAGTAATGCACAAATAACCACATTTTATAACCGAAACATTACCCACGGATCAGGAGTAATGCCTCAGTGCTCACGCCCACCTGAGCCCCGTCAGATGAAACACTACAGCAAGCAACGCTTTGAGGTAGAGTTAGCAATTTTGCAGTGGTAACGTGGACCTTGGAAGACAGAGTCATTCCACTCATATTTACAACGAGCCTAAGGTTTTACCTTGACACCACCACCATCACAAATGTTAAGGAATGATGATGATGATTATTATGACTGTAATTCATAAACTATCAAATTCCCTCCTGTGTATTGCTGCCCCTATCAAACATGAACATAATACTTTTTAGATAACAATAATACAAAAAAAACACAAGCAAAGGCATTCATAAAGTATCATCCTCTTTTACTTTATCGAAATGCATATCCCTTTGGATTTCCTGGGACAATTAGACAATTTAGTCGATTAGCCAAAATTTCAATGTTACGCATCTTTTTGTGGTTGAACGCTTGCACCCCTTTAAAAATGTCGGCCACCCCCCACAGCCGCCTCCTTAAGGCGGGAAACCCCCTAAAAGCCACGCCCGGCGTGATGTAGCTGATGTCACCAAACCCTGCTCATCACCTCCCGACCAGCGGCACGTGGGGGGAGAGGGGGTTAGCAGGGGTGACACTTTTTTTCCTCCAACTCTTTCGTATTATCCGATTGGTCGAATAAATTGAACCAATAATAGGAAGAGTAATCCAATTACTATAGTCATCTAATACAGTAATCCGATTATGGCCCGGCTCTAGCCTAATTGTGGTTATGGTTGGGAATGGTGGCAAGGTAGACAATACCTGCAAAGGAATTGTCTTGCACACCCAACACACACTCAACATTAGTCCAGAGCTCCAGGCCTCGTAGTAAACCAGGGACCTTACTTTATGAATACCTTACACACACTGGTTAATAAGCTACACCACGAGTTGTGAACGGTTCACGCCTTATGCAACACTTAACAAAAAAATGGACCAGCGCAGAACAAAGACCTGCAGACTTAAAATTTCGCAGGTAATTGCATAATCAGTATTCTTTCCACAAGCATGCAGCGAACGCTGAAGTTGGTGGTATCAGTGTGTATCATTTATTATCGCGATCAAATTATTGCAATGTGACGCTCAATATTTACATTCTGCCTTGCATTAGGCCTGGCAATCCATCAACAGTGCACTTTCTGCACCTCGGGAACATCAACAAGGAACAACTTCCAACCGAGCCTCACTCCCCCGCCCTTCAGAGCTATCAGTTGTATTATCGAGTCAATTCGAAAATATTCAAGTCAATCGCCAATATTCACCAGCACAGCAATACGCTCGACGTGGTTATGTAACTTGACACGCGGTTAACGTACGACGATAAAGGCTACTTACACTTTGCACCCTCCTAAAGCGGTGACTGACCCACGCGGCACGCTGGCATGCAGCGGAGGGGGAAGGACTCGACCCAAAAGCTATCCATCGCAAACCACAAAGCACGTCGTGCAAGAACCCTGTTACCAACGGGCACGGCTGCGCGACAGAGCAGCCCTGCAACTGCCAACCCTTTACCAAAATTCACTCTGTGCGTGAATGCATCTAATTGGTACGCATTTGGGTTTAGCGTGACATAATTTTTCGCGCTGCAAGAACTCCCGATGTGATGGTTACCCCGATATCAGTTTCCTGTAAGTTTGTAATTGTATTTCACATTTGCTGTTGACTTGTTTTTGTGCTCTGCTGTGACTAAGCTTGTCAACTGCAGTTCACTCAACATGAGCTGGCCACATGTCTTCTGATCCTTGCAAATTTTACAATCTGAAACGCTTATGCACACTCCTGCCGATATTTGCACAGGAAACTATGAATTCCATTGAATAGAAAAATGACAACAGCATGTAATCGATAATGCCATAAATTACTAGAAAAAACATTTTTTAAAGCACTAATTTAATAGACAATGGCTCTTTGCTTACAACTTTAAGTAACGAGTTTGTCATTTCATATCGTCAAGCAATTAAAATATCTCATAAATTAAATTAACACGGATAAGCGAGATCAAAATTCTATTTTGCAAAATGGACGGTAGGAGTACCGTGGCTCTTCCACCTTATCATATCCTGTCGGGTCACCATCCCCTGAGGTGCCATCACAACAAGTCTGTGTCTGCCTTGACTAAGACACCCATGATGCAGCAGTGTCAGAGTCATCATGGCTAATTTATTGACAGTGTTCAACACACACACTGAAACAAGAAAAAAAGATTTAGAAAACCAAGCTGGAATGGGAAACAACTATGAATGACCTACACGCATTCCCTCATTCTTCCTTGGACAACATACACCCTCATGTGCAGCCCTTATCAATCCACTGCTGGATGAGAGCCGTGCCGCTCACGGAGGTCATTTGATCGCGCTAATTGAAGGTGGGGAGCATAGAAGTACAGCACAACGTATTTTCTTGACTTCCCTCTACATTGTTGTACTACTGTCCACCATGTGGTCCCACAGCCACCTATGTCAACCTTACTGTGCATGGCAGTCGCCCCCCCCCCCAAAGCACTATCCAGCCTCACATCTACTCGGCTTACGAGAACTGATGAGATTGGTCAGATGATGACGTTGTTGAAATCCATATGGCTCCCTATTCCAGCAGCCCACTTACACGGTAGACAGAGCCTGGCAACGTTGCCTATGGACACATTGGACCGACAGAGCAGACTCAACACCCTATCCAATGCACTTCGACCCTTAACGCAATCTCCTCAATAAAAAAAATATTGTGAATTGCTAATGTATGTCGCAATGCGTTTCGCCAAGAGGCACGTGAAGCAATAAGGTCCACAAGACCACGCTGATATCGCAAATCCTCACTCCGATTGGATACTGGGATGCCTCGCGTGCAATGATGGTTCAGTGGTAGCTCGCAATCACGAGATTGTGAGATGAAATCCTGCTTGGGGATTAACTCAGTCCATCATCTGGAAAAGAATGATTACCAGAGCATCAGCAGTTGAGTTCTAGTCAGTTGCACAATGAGTCAGATGCAGCCCGAGTAATTACTTGAAATTTGGATTCATCTTCTTGGTTCTTTCGGTAAAGTCACGTAGAAGGGAAATAATAAAATAATAAAAATAAAACATAATAAAATAATTCTCACGACGTTTCGGCCACAACGCAAGCAGCCGTCCTCAGGTGAAAACCTACGTGACTTTACCGAAAGAACCAAGAGGATGAATCCCTGCAGTCACGAAAGCTTTAAATCGAAATTGAAGTTTGGAGTCGATAAAATGAGTACCGTTTTGTGGGGAAGTCAACACGGGCTGTCCTATGGATAGACTCGCACCCGGCCATAGAAGTGTGGAATTTCCACCAACGGCTCATGGCTGTAAACAGGAGATGAGCACTGTCACAATGCCCAAGTAAGCAAGAAAGCACTTTTAACTTGAACGATTCACTGAATCATGAATGAAAATCGATTATGCATGCAACAAATTGTGCATGTGAGAATACATCGTCAATGATTAATGCAAACGTAGGCAGTTTGTGTTTCTTTAGGCTAACGGGTTGAGAAGAGTGAGACAGGACATGCGAGATACGGCAGCACAAATAACAGAAGACGTGAGAGGCAGAAGAGGAGAGGGGATGAATGACTACATGCGTGGTGACCAAATACCAACGACACCAACATCATGGCACCGCCTGCAATCATGCATCCACGTTTACCATTCACTTTTCCCGTCTTCCTTGCAGTGAATTGCCGAACCAGCGTCACTAAACACGCTCACGTCTGACGTGTAATATGCTAATACTTTACCAATTTAATTGCAAGTGACACGTTTGTCAGCTTGCTCATTAACTATGCATTGCCAAAGACCAAACTGTGGTTTGAACCGCTGAAGAAAACAACAGCGTTAGACACATTATTCCATTACTCTCCAAAGAGCCTCTCTAGAAGGCATCTCTAGAGCTGCTGTTCGCGGAAGCCCTTCTGCCAGCAGTCACGAGAACAATATGCAGCGATGCACCGTCACGCACATTCACCTTATAGTAAATACAACAGCATAACCTGTCGTTAGGAGTACTCAAACGCAAACCAAGCCAAAAACTAAAGCTAAACGAAGCAAGCTGTAACACCTGCGGTGACCTGGCAGCCTGGATGCCTTTCAGCCGGTGGTGTTCCAATAGGCAGTAAGTAGTGTAGCGTACACGTAACAAGCCAATGGCACATGTGATTCCTATTGCCAAATACCCCCCCCCGGTCGTCCTGCTTGTGAAGTAAACCAAACCCTGGTCGCCACTGGGTGGTGGCAGAAGTTCACTTTGGCCAAATCCAGAGACGGAGCAAAAACAGTCGACCGACCCACTCGCAAATACCAAAACGCGATTCTCTTAGCTGCACACTGCGCACAGTAAATAGTTTTATAAACATTACATTTTTTTGGGATCCCATCGGAAGCTATCAAATACGGTATTGTGTCAAAATAGGCGACGACAATGTGCAATCGACTTCAATGCGAACTTAAGGTGCCAATGCGTACTGCGGCTACACGTCAGAAAGGCCGGAGGAGCTAAGTTCTTACTTACAAATGTCCTGCCCTTCGCTCCACCGTAGGCTCAACCTAAATGCGTGTTACAATCTTCACACATGTACATTTTAAATGTAAACTACACACAGCGTCTTTGTTGAAAACAACAGCCCATCAAATCCAATGTGAATATCGTACCTTAAAAACACACCAATAAATACTGATTTACCCAAGCCCAGGGCTTTTTTGTTTGCAGTGATCCTAAAGATGTGTATTATTCTTTTTGGCAATGATTCTAAGGACATGCTTTACCTGTGCTGCGACCATGAGCGCAACACTCACTGTGCAGACCGCAGGCCAAAAAGTTATGGCTTGACATTGAATGCATTCTCACGGATCACACACTGCCAGAGAGTTCACGTCATCTCATATTCATCACAATTCCATTCCAGATCTATTTGTTCGCCTTGTGTCCTGGCTCGACAAACGAAACGTTTCAACAACTCCCGAGAATCCTCTGCCCAATGTTTAACTTGGCCAGCACAGCAGCAGCTGTCCCCTGCATCGCAGAAAGCGGCAGCATTTCCTCAGCCAATACTCTCAACGTCCGACTTGTTTTCGGCCAAAAACACCAAGTGCAAATCTGGCCATTTCAGTTAATTTTCTGTTAATTCAGCGATATAATTCAATGGACAAATTATTCTTATTATTACTAGAACAGCCACTTTAGCGAGTTACATCGCAATATATTAACATTTTAAGTTGTAATATGAAATTGTACAATATCCACGAAATTATGACGAACTTAGTACCCCTCACCTCTGCCAGCTCTAGGCAACTATTTGTGAAATTCTTTCTTACACGTTAAAAAGGTCATTAACGATTTTAAGTTAGCCAACATAGATTTGTGGCAAACAAACCACTATCAAATTAAAACAAGAGAACAGGCCAATCGACAAAGCTATGTGATAACAGATGAGTTGAGTTACACTTCGCTCAATGTACAATGTGGAAATTCATGAGCTGGCATATGGAAAAAGTTGAAAAATATCAGACTGACCATGCATACACACTGCATGTTACTTACATTGGCCTTATAATACATCGTGCTAACATAGCCGATATCAGCTCAAGTAAAGCTAATATATTTTAAGAATTTCAATTAATAGTATTCCAAAACCATCTCAGCCTAATGCTCGCTCGTTTGTTACCTTTCAACACATTAGTCTTTGCACGCTCCTATTAAAGGACTCAAACCTCAAAGCAGAAAGCCAGAGATTCATGACGAGGCCCCTTTCTTTCCGAAGCGTGTTCGAAACGCGCACCGATACACCTTGTGTGCCTGTCGGCTACAGAGTACAGTCTCTTTGTCGTCGCCTGCAGAAGGTATCCGTTCCATTCCTGACATGCAACTTCACTCCAGGTACAACCTTGCATCCGAGCAGTTGCTCGCAGGAGCGCTGTTCAGCCTCTCGAATGGGATTGAGGAGCGATCGACCGATGGAACTTCAGTCCGGAGCAAGCGTGCGTGACACCAACACCTGCATGTCTCATCCCAGGTGCAGACCTACACACCAAGAAAAACAACAATGATTTCTCAATGACTGTTCGAATAATATTGCAGTCACCAAATGACGATAAATTTATAAAAAAATAATTCACAGCACCTTATCAACCCACTGCTGGATGAAGGCCTCTATTGATTGCTCTATAAAATAGCCTGTTCAGAATTGTTATAATTATTATAAGAACTTACCTGTATAACCCCCGAGAAGGAACATCTCATTTGCAAAGGTGATCGCAGAGTGTATTGTGACACATACATGGCTAACACGTAAAGGGCAAATATTTTTTTTTTTAAATCCACAACAGCAAATAGATTTAGAATATAGACAAAAAAAGAAACAGGCAGGGCTGTCCAGAGGTTCTCGAGGTCCGGGTCTCGAGGCCCAGGGGCAGAATCCCACATGAGGCTTCCTTGTTCATAAGCGGTACAAACAGGCCCATTGTGGGGCACTCCTCTAATGGAATCCTGAGTAAAATTTCCCCTTTGCTCCCCTCCAAACTCCCACTCTGGGGCGGGCCTGAAAACAGGGACAATACAGCCAAGGCAACAGCGTGCGTGAAAATCACGCCGCAATCACGCACGCGAATAGGTGGTCAACAACACGGAGGTGGTGACATGGCCCAGGTGATGTGGCGACGTTGCTCAGCCACAGCGCATTTGCCACTTGTTCCAGAGGTTTACTGCAGGTGTATTAACCATACGAATACGCGGCGGATGTTAAAGATCCCCTGATGGAATTCGAAAAGAGAAGACCACTGTGTGTCATTAACATGGTCCAAATTTGCCCAATTTTAATAAATGACCCCGCAAGCGACTCAATTGGGATCGCACAAAGCAACTTCGCATCCTACTGGCAAGACAACATGTGTCTGTGAAAAAAACACACGGCGCCTTTGTGGTAGCCGCGCACTACAAGATCGGAGCGAATAGCAAATGCGCTCGATTATCATCCGTATTAAAATACGGTGGAGCCAGCGAGATGTGCACCGTGCTCAGTGGAAGTGCGCCGGCTCGTTCTGGTCACGCCTGCGCCGCGCCGTGCGAATCCGCCGGTGGGGGTTTCCCCGGTTGCTGCCCGCCGAACTGTGGAGTAAATACGCACACGTACAAGTTAAGTAATTCCCCATCCCCCCCCTACAAGGCGGCACACACAACGTCACGTGGATTCGCCGTGAGCAAGCTCCCATGAAATTGAACGTGGTACGTGAAGAGGTGGTGTGGCCAAAACCATGCCTGGCCGCCCTTGGTCTCCCTGAAACTGATGTTTACACATCGCAACAAGTCATAAATAGAGGCTGAGTCGACCTAGGGGAGACCCAGGACCGGTTCAGATATTCGTCACTGATTTTGGCTGTGCGTGGGAATTGAACTCGAATCGCCAGGTTCGTAGCGCAGTGCGCTAACCACCCCACCCGACACAAACACACACATGGCGGAAGGCATATGGGACACTTAATGTATTCTTCAAATGCTGTCCGGAACTTAAGAAGCTTTCAGTATGTGAAGCGAAATCTCAGACATCATGGCAAACAACAATCAGGTCAGAGAGCTGGACAGGACAACCACAAAAACCTACGCAATCCTCAAAATTAAATGTGCCAAATATACTCTGGCAGAACCCTGCTGAAAAAGTATTGAGACTCAGTCAGTGTTTATTTCCTCGATAAATGAATTACGTTATTTTCATCAACTTGGGTGACACAGGAGTGAAACTTGTGGCTTACAGTATGAAGCATCTAAGTGCAATTCCCCACTCGGACAAATTACTGTGTGGCGTTTGTATGTTCTCTCCCTGTTCTGCATGGGTTTCCCTCCAGGTTCTCCAAATTCCTCGCATAGCTAAAAAAACACAAACTGATATTCGCCAAAACATCCCAATGTTTAAAAATGACCTACAAATTACTCAATAGGAGTCGCACACAGCAGCAACAATCACACCTCCGATTATCACGGGTGGCTACGTACGGTACAAAAGAAGTTCAACATACATCATACATCAATGGGCCTCCCTACTTTGAAAACTTCACAGGAGACTCTTGAAAAAACAGGTCTTGAGACTCAGTGAGACTTACCGGGATAAACGAGTGTGCTAATAATAATGATAGTAATACCTGGAACTATTTGGACACATATGTAGGGTGGACAACAACAGTAAAATTTCAAGTGTATTTGTTCGGAAAATTCGTTGAAACCGAAAAGAGAGGAAGACTTAGCAACGACATAAAATACCGGTGCCAGAAAGATGTGCTCACTCCTTGAGTATTGGCACAAAACAGACGTAAATGGAAAGAAAAGACAAAATGTGCAGTGGATAGCCACGGACTATCGTCCCATGGATTGTGAGTAAGACGATAATAGTCATAACTTGTGTGTAGAGGGGACAGAGAGCGGAGTGCTGGCGTACCCGATAGTGAACGTGGGACGACTCGAGGCAGGGAAGGCCTGCGGCGTGGGCTGGTTCGCTCCAAACGCAAACGGAGACGAGCCTGAGGACGCACTCGCAAAGGAAACGTTTGGGTTGGAGCCCAGGTTAAACTGGAACCCACCTACTACTGTGCACTGATCCACCGGTGAGTGTGCATTATTGGTTGCGGAAGACGATCGTCGGAAGATATTCTTAAAATGTGGGTCTACACCAGCAGAAACATGTGTGGAAACGTGGCATTGTATTTAGAGTAAACCCTTGTTAATTCGCCTTGCCGGATTATCCAATATTCTGAATTATGTACAATGGCACTCCCCCCCAGTGCCTCCTGCGCCAAAACGTGTTTTCCAAATTTGTTTTCCAAACTCTTCACACACTATACGCACAGACACATCTGCATCAGTTATATCCAAAACTTTGGAATTGTCTCGCAGACTAAGAAATTCATATTTCAGTCCCAATCTACTTATTGATGTAGGTGTAGACGACATTTCTGAGAGGGTTGGCTTGCACAGACTGCATAAATAAGGTAAAGTCCAAAGCGACGGATCTGCACTAACGCTCACCACGCACGCCGCCACTAGACGGAGTCGTTGTTCTGGTTGAGGCGTGCGGCGTCGTTCCACGGGTGTGCCGAAATTAGACCATTCGGTACGGCAATCCGCCTCATTGCGAATTACTAATACACCGTATATACACCAAGAGCGCAGCCGTGCCGAATTATCCTCAATTACGAATTTATCAAATAACGAAATAACAAGGCTTTGCTGTACTTTACATTCAGAGTTGATACGTCGTCACTTTAAGAAATTCATTGTCATACAAAAAGCTATAACTAAGGAAAATCACGCAGATTCGTGGACTCTTAACGCTTTCCAACATGCGTTTGTATTTAATTAGCGATAATGTTACGATTCAACCCACGTAAAAGGGATGACGTCACGAGGAACAAAGCCAACCCTTTGGTCAACATGGCTGGTTTTCTCCGGTCCTGAATAGCATTGGAGCATCTTTACAAGCGTCATCCCCCCTCCATTACAGGTAGACAGACAGTACTAGCACATTATCATTTAAACCTTAGTTGTAAAGCATTAAAAAGTAAACTATATGATAACATGCAGAGAAAGGTTATTTTTCATATATACCGTTGTTGGTGGGAGGAGTAGCATTGAAGGCAGGGGGTGGATTGGTCGCCTGTCCAAACTGCGACGCGAATGCTGCATTTTGATTGGCTGTCTGGTTGAACGCAGACACAGCAGCACCAAAAGCTGACGCCTGATTCGTCGCTTGCCCAAACATGGCAGCTTGGTTGGCCTGCTGTCCAAAAGCCAGCCCTTGATTGGTGGCCTGCCCAAAGGCTGGCGTCTGATTGGCCGCTTGCCCGAATACTGGCGAGGGGTTGGGTGAGGATCCAAACACAGGCGCCGGATTGCCTGTTTGTCCGAAACCTGGCTGACTGCTGGGCTGAGCACCGAAGGCTGCAGGATTGGTGTTGGACGGAAACCTAAAGCCTGAAATAAAAGTAATCACAATTCAGTGCATATGTTACTTACGCCATTCGCATAGCACCAAGTTTCAGTGAAGGGTATAGTCTGTTTCTACGTGGTTTTACCCATTAAGTCGCCACAATTTCCTGCTAAATTCGAACATAAAGAGATATTTAACGTTCTCTGGACAGCGGACAGCGCATATATATGTTTTGTTAATACACCTCCATCTGTCATCTGCTCATTAACCACTGGGATCCATTCGCTCGTGGGGCATCTCCAACTTCGACACAGTGGCTGCACCTCTTCTCAACAGTGACAGGCAACGGAATACAAACCTGCATTGTTGTTGCCATTGTTGCTTTCGGCATTTGTGAAGTTGAACAGCGGCACGGCAGTTTGGGCAGGTGCGGGAGCCGGAGCCGCAGCTCCGAATGAAAATCCAGCTGCCACTTCTGGCTTGCTGCCACCCTGCAGCCCAAAGGACAGCGCCGACACGGTCGGTGGAGTGGCGACAGCTGACGGCGCGGTCGTGCCAAACGCGAACCCAGCCGGTTGCGTTCCTCCGCTGTTGGCAGCACCAGAAGCTCCGAACTTGAAGACCGAGGCAGGCGCTTCTGGTTTGGCAAACGTCGGAGCTGGGGCGGCGCCAGAAGGTGCGCCACCAAAAGCAAAGTTTCCACCGTTCGCACCGGCGCTGGTCCCGGCGGTCGTGGCGGTCGCCCCGAACTGGAACGGCTGCATCGTGACGCCGGCGGCGCCCTGCGGAGGCGCGTTTGTGGAGAGCGCCGCGGTGGCTGCGGACGTCACGCTGCCGAACGAGAAGATGGGCGCCTGCGCGATGGTCGTGCTGGTTCTCACGGCGCTGCTGCCGCTCCCGAACGTGAATATCGACGGGTTGGTCGTCGCCAGGCTGCCCGATGTACGGATGGCTCCGAAGTTGAAGAGTGGCGCCGCGGTCGTGGCGACGGCGTTCGCGGCGCCGCCTTTAAACGTAAACGGCGACGCGGCGACGCTTGGCGCGGCGACAGGTGGGGCCGTTTGCCCAAACGTTAAGGTGGGAGCGGCTGCGTTGCCTCCAATTCCTGAGAGGGCGCTCCCAGCCGAGGTGGAGGCCGGGGGAGGGGCGCCGGCGGTACTTTTGCCGAACGTGAAGTTGGGCACGGTGGTCCCTGCGGCGCTGCTGCTGGACGACGTCACGCCGAACACGAAAGGGTTGCCCGTGCCGCTTGCCGCAGCCGCGACGGGAATGCTCGATTCGGGTTCCGCGGAAGCCGAAGCCCCGTTCGCCAATCCGCCAAACGCCACCGTCGGCGCGACAACCGCTGTGCTGCTGGTTGTCGGCAAAGTGGGATTCCCGAAGGCAAAGGAGAGTTTGTTGATGGTGTTCGCAGCGGAGCTAGCGGCGCTGAACGTGGGGTTTAAGCCGGAGCCGCCAAGTGTGCCCAGCGGGTTCCCGATGACAAACGACGGCGCGGCCGCCGCGCCACCGCTTGAGTTTGCGGTGGCCGTGTTGGCGAAGGTGAAAAGGGAGCCAGCCGTGGTGCTGGGGGCGGTGTTGGTGCCGCTCACCGCCGACGCCGCCGCGTCCGTCTTGCCGTTGGCCCGAGTGAAGGATTCGAATGTGAAGGTGAAGGCGGAGGAAGTCGGAGCGGCTGCCGAAATCCCGCTGCTTGCGCCAGGGGCGGCGGGCGCTGGCACGGAACAGGCGGCGGACGCGGCGTGCAGCCCCGGCATCGGCGAGGAATAGGACGAAGCGAGGGCAGCCGTGCTGGTGTTCGATCCGCTGGTGGCGGCAGCGGCTGCGATTCCTGCGGAGCTAGGATCAATAAGCGAGGAGGGGTTTGTCATGAGAGCGACGCCGGGCAAGTTGACGCTGGACGCGACCGAGTTCTGTGCCAGCTGGTGCCCGTCGGTAGTATTGGGCTTCGTGTCACTGCTGCTGCTGGCTACACCGGTGCTGCCAGGCTGGGCGGCAGTGTTGGATGCTGGAGGATTGCCAAGGGGCCCATCTGAAATTCAAGTTGGGAAAAAAAGCAAAAAAAAGCAATGAAGTTAAATGAGCTTAATGTACATTGCTGATTAGTTACAAAGAAAATCACGCTAGTATTGCAACGGTAAAATATGTAATAACTAAAGCAACGGCATATATTAGTTTAAGCTGCTCGTATCGTAAATAGATCTCTCCGGATGCAAATATATAGATATAACCGACTGCCTCTGAAAGGTCGTTTCTGTAAAGTGCCTTGAGATGCAGTCGCATTTCAACCCTACACAAATCCGAGTTGCACAGCGCACTGTACCAGAGAACAGACACGGCAATCGCCAACCCACCCGTACAATCTTTACCAATGGCGGCCTCTCCGAACCGGAACGCCGTGCTCAAGCCCAGGCCCTGCTGCTGCAGCCCAGAGAAGTCGATCTTGAAGCCGCTCGCCGAGGATCCAAACGAGAACTGTGGCGTTTGCTTCTCCGCCGCAGACGCGGCATCTAGCGACCGCTTCCCGACCACGTCCCCCTGCAGGTCCAGCACTTGGCCCGATCCCGGCTTGGGTGCGGCCGCCACCCCTGCGAGACCTGACACAGCCGCGGGCTGGGGTTGTTGGCTGCCACCGCCGCCGCCGCCGATTCCGAACTGGAATGACATTCCGGCAGCCGCTGACGTGATCGGTTTGCTTCCGAAACAATACCCTGCCGTCGGTGCGGTGTTTGGTGGTTCGGACGTATGACCGATGGTTACAGATGTGGGCAAGGCGCCATCTGGAGCGGCCTTGCTGGCACCGGGCACAACGATCTCGGAAGCCTTCGTCTGAGAAGCTGCCGAGCTCCCAGCCGTGCCGGCATCGATGTCACCGCCGCCTGCGGGGAGCCCCGGCTGCGGCGCCAGCGTTTGGGACGCGACTGAGCTCGGTGGAATTGTGGGAAGACCCGCCGGGTTGTTCACTTCCACCTGAGTCGTGTCGCTTGCCACCTCCACGCTGGTTGTATCCCCTTCTGTGTTGCTGTCCAGCCCTGAAAGGGATAAGATTTATGGATTAATATTCGTAGGACACGTGGGTTAACTGGTGTACCAAGTATCCCAATACAGGACCCCCGTGAGAAGAGATATTGAGACTTCTCTTATTTAAATGGTTCAACTAAATTCAAAACCTTCTCACCTGTACTGCCAGGCGTTGACGGGCCATCAGGCCGATCGTCCGAGCCCTGCCCCGCGGCGCCGGCGCCCGCCTTCTTTTCAGACGCGTCTCTGCCGGACGGGCGCGGCACCAGCATGGAGCGAAGCGCCAGCACGCTGGGCAGCGGCACATCGCAGGCGGCGCAGCGCAGACGCCGCCCGGAGTTCCACACAAGGCACGTGTCGCACTCCCAGGCGCTGGCGGCCCTGCTCTCGCTTGACAACGAGGACTTGCCCTTCGACTCGTCGGCGGGAGGGCAGACAGGGTCTCCTCCTTCCGCTCCACTGGTTGCGGCGTCTTCCGAGAGTCTTGAGGATGTTGGAGATCTCTTCAGGAGACAGAACGTTATTCTAACACGTGTCGATCACCACATCTCACAGTCGGCAAATTCAAGAGGTCATCAAAGCCGTTACTGCTTACGCTGCTGCACCCTGCCCACCCTGCCATGACATAATTATTTTTGCGAAGATCCTCAGCTGCTACAACGTTGACATCGAACCACCACCTCCATGTTATGCTTTTACAGTATTCCACCATCTGGCTTTAATGGAAGCCAGGGGCCTCAAATGTATGTGTCGGTAACCTGCCTTCCTCCATCCTGCACACGTGGCACCTCCATAGCAGCCTCCTCTCCCCGATTACATCAACCCTTTCTTTCGACAAAGTGACATTACGGGTTACATAATTTCATTAACAGTAATACAGCTCTAACGATCGATTTCGCAAAAAAATTTTAGCTTAAAAAAATGTTAAACAACGCTACGAACGAGTGCAGTAGCAATTAAGCGTTGCAGGGGGTGCAACTGTTCCAGGGCCCACAGGCCGGAGCCCAGGCACGAGGCTAGAAAGTCGAAAGGGGGGCTACCACATTTAATTCGTTGCACCAGGGCCCATGCCAACCACACTCCTTCTCCGATCGAGGTCCCCAACCCCCCCAGCGGCATCGCCGCGGATCTCTTCTCGGGGCACTTACGAGCACAAACCTACCTCCGCGCATTCGACAAATGTTAACCTCCGCGGGGAACCCGCTCCTCTGGCGGACACGTTGGGGGGTTCACACTCACACTGGCCGGCACGAGGGTCGAGGCCGAAGCGTTGGTCACCAGGCCCTTGGTGGGCGTTGAGGATGACGAGGAGGTGGTGGAAGACGAGCCGGACATGTAACCTGGCCAGGAAGGATTATCAACATCATTGTCATCATCTATTACAATGTACCACCGTTGACAGCACTGGTCTCAACATGTAAACCCCGAAATAAATATTTGTCATTAAGAGTACAACATGTCGCATCAAAGTCGCCATGCACTGGGGTATAGGCGGATAAGTGAACATCTTTATAAGTCGACAGTTAACACCATGCACAAATACCGCAATGCTTTTGGGTGGTTACTTGGCCAGAGCAAATATGCCATGGTCAGTGATGTTAAATTTTATTTTTATTTCAATTTATTTTAATTTATTTATGCATTTTAGTAATAAGTAGTGTATCAATTATTTGATACAACCCCATTAATGTATAATATGCCATATAAAATATCATATACTCTGGAACTGATTATTTCCTTTCCCTTCATTTCTTATGGGAAAATTTCGTTTGCTATACGTAATTTTCGGTTTAAGTCCTACCTTCTGGAACGAATTAACGACGTATACCGAGGTACCACTGTATCATATTTAAAACATCAAGATTACTCGTACAAAATATTTTCACGAAACGCATCTTTGTTTAATTATTATTTGCAAGATCTATGTCTGATTGGTCGCTCGCTCCTGTGTGAAATGACTCACCTTTGTCAATATTTTTAAATGCTTGGGAGTTGGAAGGTGGTTCCATCTGTTCAAGGGGGACACAGAATGGATAAGAAGAAGAAGAAAAAAACCTCGCACACAACTCGAGAGAATCCTCCCTCACGCCGGGGGTGGGGAACCATCTGCCGACCGAGATGGGGCCAAATCGCACTTTCAAACTCCACTGGTGGGCCAGACGTTAACGCACGCCTGACTGTTACCCGGCAATATCGATAAAAAATAATCAGGGCTCATACCTGAACAGCGCAAGTGCGACGCCGGCAGCCTGCTTTGCTACGAGTGATGTTGGGTCGCAGTTCCCAAGTAGCCATGCGGCTAAGATGTATGTTGAAGATATTTCGCACTGTACTTAGAAATACCGTGCTAATCGGAGGGGCGGTATTCATTTGTGGGCAGTTTTGAAGTGGTCGGCTTTTTGCGGCCGCGTGCCGAGTGGAATGAAGTCACAGGCCATGTGTTCCCCACTACCCCGCGTTTCAGCCTTGAAACTAAAGCTACTTTAGAACTGGAGGGGTTTTCCCCCCCTGTTTTTGTTAACTGTGAAGGTTTTTAAAAGAGCACATTGTGACTAACGAAAAAATAAACAATGCAGAAAAGACACATATAATAAAATCACAAAATAATTATTAGCGTCGTTGTGGAGAATTTAAGCAACAAAATAAATAAGCGGGCAATATGCCGCCTGCACACAATTTGAAAATCCCAAAAAAAAAATCTCTTCTGCTTTAGACATCCCAGCAGCCACAAGGCCTATCTGGGAGTGCATGGGAGATGCAGCAATGATTCAATACAAGCAAACGCTTATATAATCAAACCACATCATTGGTACATTTTGCATTCAACACCATTCTTACGGCGCGTGGCTATCACGAAATTGCTTTTTTCACAGGCGATGTTAATCTGCAGTCGTACACATTGCATGAATGCAGACAAGCTGTGTAAATACACTCGCCGTGATGTCTACGCCTCCTCGCTCGTTGATAAAAAGTAATTTGCCAACCAAGCATCCCGAGCGAGCCTCCGCAACACAGACGCGTCCAACACCAACCTCGATGTCGTCAAGGTCATTCACGTCGTCTGCCAGAAATGCCGTGAAGTGACCACTGCTCCTCCGCTCCGGCGTCCTCTTCAAACGCTCACTCTGCTCTTCCTTCTCAGCCCTTGCTTCCGCAACCACCAAAGGAGGACTTTTTGCTGTCGTCTAAGATGAGAGAAGTTTAAACATTCGTTGGAAAGGTTGGTGAGAGCGTGTCATTGTAAGACACCGGTTGACCACAGTGAGAAGTATTAAAACCATACAATGCAACTATTGGCCAAACATACCAATGCTGCAAAACGACCTGCAAATAACTCATTTGGGATTACAAATAACAACATCGCCTCCTTCTGCGAACACCTGGCAGGACCCTCCTGAGTAAGTCATGAGGCTCAGTGAAGTTTCCTGGGTAAACAAGAGTAATAATAACAACAAAATACTACATTAATTGACTGCTCACGAGCAACTCGACATGACCACCAACCGTGAGCCTCAGAAATGCAATGGGAAAACTGTGCGAGGTCCTCACCAGGGCAAAGACAAACCGATTGTGCCATCGCTGCGCATCATGCAGCTAAACATCGAAGGGACATGCGTGTACGTATGTTGCACTTCTTTCGCATCGCCTGCTGACTGGGAACACCTCGCCAGGCTGCTACAGACTGAGAGAACATCGATGCTGTTGCGTGACAAGAATCTCCTGAAGGGCGATGTTTACCCCCCTCCACCACCGTTGGGGTGAAGCGTCACACCTGCTGCTGGGAGGGCTCGTGCGCCGCCACCCTTTGCTCGCCGCGTGCCGCAGGTATCTCCGCTCGCTCGAGTGGCGGGCGGCAGTACCGGCCCAACGTGCCGGGGGAGGACGCGGACCTCGTTCCCGGCTGAAGCCACACGACAGGGACGTGCTGCCAAGAGAAGAGTCCAACAGCTCTCTCCGTGTAATTGGAAACATATGTTTCGGAGTCAAATCTAGTAGCAGCATAGGGATGCTCTACTGGTCAACAGCCAATATTATGATTCATAATAGATTGTTGGGTTAGAAGCCACGGTAATGATCTGGCTAAACTTCTATTGTAAGACCGTGCACCGCCTGACATAGCCAAACCAATGAAGTTGTCATGCATACAAGTGTTTAACCAGGGGGAGACGCTTTGATCCAACACCCACCGTGGAGGACGCGCTGGCGCGAGGGCTGCGCTTAGGGGTTCGCTGTGCACCGCGTTCCCTCCGAGTTTCACCGGGAGTTTCGCTCGGTGGCAGGCCTTTGAGGCACGTCCCTCCGTGCTCCGTGGGCGAGCACGAGACGCCGGCAATCTGTTTGGCAAGGAACGCGATGAAATCACTTGATTGGAATAGCGAAAAGAGCGGATGTAGCCCCCCTGCTGACGGACTAATGCCCACTTGCAGGCGGGAGCTGCGTCACCTTGCGCTGCACACAATCAGCCGCCATGAAAGGGTCCTCCGAGGTCTACAAAGAGAAAACTGCAGGTGGGCAATGGAATGACTGAGATGAGATGCAAGATTCTCCGAGATGCTGGGGCATTTAAGCATCCACTAAATGCAAACCCTTTCCCTATACTTAACATTGCCATCAGCCATAATTAAGCCAAAATAAATTACCAAAAAAAGTTTCATTGAGAATGTAAAAAAAAACATTTATTAAAATGTAACAGCCACATGTAGATTACAAGAAGAACGTTAGATAATTTAGAAATCAGATACAAGATTATTCACAAGTGTAATATGAGATGTATACAAGTGTAAGATACGATAGGAGATACCTCCATATTTATTGAAATTTTTTAAAATTTTCAGTTAGGAAGAGCCACCATCGGCCAGACAGAACCAAATGAGAAAAACTAATTGTAAAATTTCCTTGTGAACTAGTACAGAGAGGTCAGGACACACAATACACTACATCGAGTTTTAGTTGCAGTCACTGCTTGTATAAGCACATTCTTCACACATGCAACCGGGTACAAAAGCACATTACCAGCACATTTAAATCAGAATTTCCCACTGAGAAACACAAAGGGAATTCACCACAGGCTCAGAGAACCCACTGTCAAGGGCAAGGGTCAAGGCGCTGGATTGATTTGAGCGCCAATTTTGGACACTCGCTGTCCATCTAAAACACACCTCCTGCTGTGCCGCACAACGAAGGAAATACATCGTGTCAAAGATGTTCCCGGTACTAAATGTTACCCCCAAAAAACTTGGCGAATATTCCCCTTTCTACAAGAGGGAATTGCTGTCAAAGCCTATCAACTGCAGTGAGCACTCATTAGAATTCATGTATGCACCAAACCGTCTGAACTCGTTACATACCCGCAGGCGTTTCAAGGGAGACGAGAAAGCAGGGGCTGTTTCTGATTGATGCTTTCTGTCATTCTTCATCTGCCAAAAAAATAAAACACGATGTCTCATAGCGGAAAATCATAGCTAAACAAACCGCGGATGGTTATGACGAACGCGAAGGGCACAATGGAGACAAAAACTTTAAAAGTATCTATATCTCACCTCGATGCACGATGCCGTCAGTGGAATCTTCTTAGCGTCCTACGTGTAGCACAAAAAAAAACACGCTTACAAGTTCATGCAGCAGCATGCCATTCTGAGATTGTCACTTCACACAGGGCCCAAAAGGTGTTGGTGAACGAGACCTTACGTAGGCGAGCACGCACGACACCAAGAGCATACTGCTCGTGAGAATGCACTGGTCTACGCAGCACAGCTTTGTGCAAAGCATTTAAAGTATGTGGTTTGGCAGTCACAAATCAGTGTTTACTCTACACACTGACCAACACCCAATATATGAGTTTACAATACAACAGTATTGTTTTATATGGCCGTGTGTCCTCGAAATACTGGCATACATTATGGCCCTGGTGCCCCCAAGCATATCTGCTGTCTTAACAAAACTACGGTATTATAGCCATTAAGATCCGATTTAGTCCATTTACAACTTTTGACATTGTTCACATTGCTTTTTAAATAACAAAAACCCCTAACATTGCTTCGAGGACATGCCAAACGTAGTGCATATCCTACTGTAGACATCCCTCACAGGGGAAACACTGCGCTAGTCTGGAAAGCAGTAGGACAGGAGCGGAGTGCTCACGGCGAGAGGGGAGGACATGGTCTCCAGGGAGCGGAGGATCTTCCGCACGGCCTGCTGGGCCACGTCACAGGGTGCGGCCTCGGTCCGGCCGGGACGCTCGGAGGAAGTCTGGAATAGAAGACAACATGAGTCCGTGTCAAGCCCCGAGTCACAATTCTCATCGCACCCTCCCTAACCGGATACCCTGTCTCCACCTTACTCAGCAACAATGAATTACGTGAATGTTAAGAAGTATTGCCTGTAGTTTGAGGGCTCAAGGTAATTTGCTTTACTAAGTGAGAACTCAAGAGACCAGGATGAACCTCATTTGCATGAATGACCTGGGTCACAAAAACGACAAAAGCAACAACAAACCCAATACAGTGCAGCAACAAAGCAAATATAAATTAGTACAAAATAACTGCGTGACATTAGAAATCGAAAATGCTGCACAAATACAAATCAATGCCAAATCAATTTCGATTTAAAGCTTTCGTGACTGCAGGGATTCATATTCTTGATTCTTTCGGTAAAGTCACGTAGAAGGGAAATAATAAAATAATACAAATAAAACAATTAAATTATCTCAAGAAAAAAACGCCACTTTTTTTTAATTTTCTTGCTGTGGTTTTCACACCTGATAATGATTGCTTGTGTTGCAATTGAAACGTCGTGAGAATTTTATTGTTTTATTTTTATTATTTTATTATTTCCCTTCTACGTGACTTTACCGAAAGAACCAAGAATAACAATGCCAAATAATAAACGACCCAAGGCGCAAGTCCACTCATGCAGATTATCCCTCGACTGATTATAGTACAACTACACAATCAGTGAGAGGAACGGTGTACAAGCAAGTGAACAGTCGAGGGTAAATGTAAATGGCTAACACACCTGGAATGTGCCTGATCTCATCAGATCTTTGCAGCCAAGTAGCCTAGGTAGTGCTTGGTTGAGCGACTAACAAGTGTGTGACTGGTATTGTGGGCTGCTCAGGGCCTATGCTTTGGGCAACGGAGGGCAGTGCGGCAAAATCTATTGTTGTACTGTACCTCTGTGCTCCTACATCTATGCTCCCCACAGTCACCAACCCGCATGGGCCAGCATGGTGAACTATGGTGACATGAACACCATGACAAGCATGGTGTGCGGAGGCCCTCATCCAAGAGCGGATTAACAAAGGGCTGTGTGTATACAACACACGATTGCCTCTAAACAGGCAGATTACAAATAACATTCATCGCTCCCCGCCTTCGCAAATCCACTGTCCAATGTGGTGAAGTAGTCGGCCAACCCTCATGACCGACACAGCGTGAAGGATGCAATCATCCAGCAGTGGATTGAGAGAGTTGTACAACATCGTTATTATTATTATGACTTTATAAACATGTAGCTTCAAAAGCAAATAAGAGTTAAGTCACATTATTGGTGGGGAGATGTCAGCTCACTTTGAAAAGCTCTGGTGGAGCGCAGGCCGATGAAAATGCAGGTGCCGGGTTGTCGTAGGCGACACGAGTCCGCTTGTACGACACGTTCTGCTTATCCAAGCATTCGTTTGCCAGTCTCTTCGAACTCTAGAAGCGACCACCGCAGCAGTTCACCTCTCAAGTAACCAAAGCAAACTTGTGGAAGGTAGCAAAATGCACTCGCGTACATGGGTAATGCTGGGGCAGGAGGTGAGAACGTTCATTGCCACTTGTGAAACAAAATGAGAAGGGTAAGCCTGAGGAGGCTTGTCTCATTAAACATTACATTTTGCAAAATAAGTATCGGATGGGATTCGCCTCCCATGTGAGAACTCATATAAAAACACAGAATTCAATCTTAACATTATCTGGCTGCTCGCTCGTCCGTTGAAGCGACAGGACAATCCAGAATGCAAAATATAATTATTACTCCTTGTGCAAAAACATCAGTCAATGATTATTTAACCAGGCCTCGGTACAATATTTTGTAATTCAAAGTAAACATCATTAGGGCTCCACTGAATTTGTAATTGTCGAAAACAATAAAAGTCTTCTTGATGTTTCTTCTCTCATTAACACTTGCATAGTCTAAGCAGATCGCTACCAGCGGTATTGGCTTCATTTCAGCATCAAACAAGAACCATACGAAAACGTATTGTACATTCAGCATCAGGCCTCATTAGTGAACAAACCCCTTGATGCAAGACAGTGAATACAATGGCAATTTTCGTGTCAGTTGCGGTTATCAACTTCAAGCAGTGCAGCCTAGAGGCGAGCGAGCACCGCACACTGATATGGCTTCAACTTGACACACAAGAACATTTAAAAGCACAGCTTCAATTTCTCTGAAGTCCAGCGTAACTTACCAAGTGAACCGCAGCAGAGCCTTTCCTTCTGCTCGTGTCGCTGGCACTCGTCATGCTGTGCACAGGCCTCTGGGCCTCCTCACACTTGAGGGTCCATGACATGACTGTGTCTGTGATGGGACAAAAAGGAAAACTCTGAGGGGTGGCAACACTTCCTGACCGCGCAGTACTCATGTCTTGGCTGTGCTGCCAGGAACAAGTCCCCTGGGCTGCTCCAACTTCCACAGATTTTCTCGTTCTAACTAAAGTCAAAGCTGAAAGTAAAAACATTATCTGTCTCTCCATTGAGCCCCATTTGAACTACCCAGAAGCCGCATGGGGCAGTAACGCTTTCCAATATACGTTTGTCCTCGGACGTATGTAATTAGTGACGTTGTGTTTCAAGCTGCACAATGAGATGACGACACACAGTGAGTGATGACATCATCAGGAGGGAAGATTAATGCGCTCCTCAGTTGTCAAGGCACCAAAGCCCAGGCGACGGATTTGTGTGAAAGTTTTAGGAAACCCTTTGCTAACTGTGGCCAATTTTCTCTCAGATAAGTCGCTAACAACAACAAAACTTAACACTAAAATTTCATTCGTATGTGCTTGTGCAACAAAATTAAGTTCGCTCTTCCCCCCAGCATTCTATTGGCGTACCAGTGATACCTCTGTCGGAGTGGCGCGACGAGAAGCCGCTCGTAGAAGACATGTCGTCATCCTCCTCGTACTGCGTCGCAACGTCTTTGCACGGCCTGGCAGGGGGAGGCTTCTGTAGGCGTGCCTTAGCTGGGGACGTGGGGCCCCTAAAAGCGAACCCCTCTCTGAAGGGCCCATGTTCAGGACGGTCGTTGCCAAGAGGCGTCCTGTGTTCAGCAGTCGAGCTGGCGCCATGGGCATTTGTTTCTGTAACACGAACGAGCAGTGTAAATTTACCAAGCGTGTTTTATTTCAGTCATAGTCTTAGTCTGGTTCACGGCAAACTGTGGAATTTTGTTTTAAGTCTGTCTGTGGATTTATTGTAGTCATTCTCTTAATCCGGTCGAATAAAGCTGGCAAAACATTGAGCCCACTCTTAGTTATTACATGTTGGTGTGAGGGCCGCACAATTACCAACGCACCCAATTATTAAGGTCATCCAGTTGGCAAATTCGGATTTGTGAAAGTTACACAATGCACAAACACTACCGTAGACGCAGGCAGTTATTCGATCGTGGAAGATATGCGATGCTCAGGTGGCATTATAATAATTTAAAACAAATTACATTGAACACATTTAAATAGTCAAGTCCACTTCTGTCCGAGCCGGGGGGGGGGGGGGCGCTGTGCAGTACGTACGAGTGGGGCTGCTGCTGCTGCTACTCCTGCTGGGGGAGGGTGGGTCGCCGCAAGAGGCCGGCTTCTCCTCCGCCTCCTCGCAGGAGGAGCCACTGTCATCGCTCCAAGTGACCCTCGACTCGCTGTCATTGCCCTGCCGGAAAATCCCCTGGATCCACGAGCCCACTCTGCTCCTGATCCCATTCGTCACCTGGACCACCAAACTCTGCGGTCACACGACAATACCAAAGTTGAGTGCATCCTCTTCTCTCGTATGATGGGGCCGTTGATCAGCAATGCTTCATGCATTCCTGTAAAGTTTGCTAAGCCAGGGGATGGCTTTCAGGAGTGGCCTGATGAATAATGTATCTTAAAACTGGCATGCCAGGTGAAGTTAGCTTGGAACCATTCAAATGTTAAGAGATCTCTCGCTCTCAAGGCTGACTCTACTCATTGAATCAACTGAACAGTCTGTACCCTCATTAACGTGGGAACAATGTGCACAGAAGCCTCTAAAACCAGAGAGTGTGACAGTAACGCCTAATGAATGTGACAATGTTCACTCTGAAAGCTGTCTTGCGACTTGGCATATTTTACAATGTAAATCCACTATAGGTCATGGCAAAACATTTTACAGCGCTTTATCAATGAACTGCTGGATGAAGGCCTCGACACGCTGCGCAGGTCACGAGGGCTGTTTGACCGCACTTGACAACGCTGGCGAGGGGATACCCACGGCGGCTTCACACATCACTCGCACTCATGTCAGTCGTGGCCAGCAATCAAACACGGGTCACTGGATTTGTAGCCAGTAGCACTAACCCCAGCAGCACCTGCTCCACCCCAATAAAAACAAAAATGCTCTTGAAAAAATAAATTTGCAACACTGGGGAAATAAACGATAATAAATATTGGAACTGAATTGATTTATCGAGAGATGGTTGGTGGCTCAGCTGTGTGGACATTTGACGGTGTTCCCCACTCGTGGATTCTATGGGCACTCCGGTCGCCTCCCACACGAAGCCATTCATCAGTGAAAATGGCCAAAATATCCAATGCAGAACTTTCTAAAAAAGAAAAAGATTTTGATTTAAAAATTTCGTGACTGCAGCAATTCATATTCTTGGTTCTTTCGGTAAAGTCACGTAGAAGGGAAATAATAAAATAATAAAAATATAAAACAAGAAAAATTCTCACTTTCTACGTGACTTTACCGAAAGAACCAAGAATATAAAGAAAAATATTTTATGTTATAACAAAACCTCCCAATCAGTGAATCCTTAAATCTCATCTGCCATCATCTACCCACTGCTGGATTGAAGGCATCCCCTTGTCATGAGGGAGACTTCATCCGACCATTATCATCATCAGCAGCAGTACAAATCCCTGGATTGGTTTCGATGTCCCCGAGTGTCATCGGCAGTCAGGTTGCTGTTGCCTGTGATATTGTCGGGAAATAGCCATCAACATCTCGTGTTTCCTATTGTACAGCCACCCGTCCCTCCACCGCTGGAAGGCCTTGGGTCCGACAACATTCCATTAGGCTAGCGGGCGGGTATTTGAAAATGTTATTTTATTTACGTTGATAAACACGCAACACAATTCTTACAATAAGTTGTGCAATATGAAATTTAAAACCATAATTCACACGAGCATAGGCGGTTGCAACCACTCTTCGGGGACCTATACAGACTCCGGTAAACTTAGAGCGCGGTACGACCTGTCATCCAGCAGTCGATAGAGCGTGGTTAACGATGATACGTTGTGAAAAGTATAATTATAAACCCTTAGAATGACAAATGTCGGTCCTTGCTTATGCGGACTATGAAATACAGAGCGAGGCCTGCGCAAGGCCCTGGTAGCGCGGCCCGCACCTTCTTGGCGGCGCCGCTCCTCCCGGCCGCGCTGGGCCGCTTCCTCTTCATCGCCCCCCGCGGCGCAGAGGCCGAGAGGGGTGGACAACGGAGGGGGTGGACAACGGAGAGGGCGGCCGCGCAGAGAGAGCGAGGGGTGAGCGAAGAGGGTGGACGACAACAGGCCGCAGGAACAGGCGGCGGCGGCGGCTGACAGCGCGGTTGAAAATAACTCTCTGGCAAACCACGCCTCCTCTACCAGACCACGCCCCCTCCGTTAGACCACGCCCCCTTCATTAGACCACGCCCCCGCCAAGTTCCGCCCCCACTACCAGACCACGCCCCCCGCTATTAGACCACGCCCCCCGCTACCAGACCACGCCCCCTTCGGTAGACCACGCCCCCTTCGTTAGACCACGCCCCCCGCTACCAGACCACGCCCCCTCGTCAGACCACGCCCTCTCTTCGGCTTTAAGGGACGTGGTTGAAAATAAGCTATGGGGCCGTCCATAAATGACGTCACGAACCTAGGGGGGGGGTCAGACATTTGTGACGATATGTGACGGGGGGGGGGGTTGAGAAATGTGACGTCACATCAAACTGCGCAACTTTAAATAACTATAGACAACACGTTCTTCTTAATTAAATATACGTTTTAATAAATGTTTTCTCCTACAACATCAGAGTGCAACGCCACATTAAATACGCACTACAATGACAATAGTTTAAAGCGATTTGAAGCATGTTTTTTTGGGAGGAGGGGGGCAAAGCTTGGTGACGTCATATTTTAGGGGAGTCTGACTTTTTGTGACGCCGTGTGACGAAGAGGGGGAGTCAAAAATCGTCCAAAATCGCGTGACGTCATTTATGGACGGCCCCTATGGGCAGAATCAGAATCTTTACAGTATTATATAACGGAGGAATCCGATGAGCTATGAAGCTCTTTTTTCACAGCTCTCCAATAAGAACGGGTAAGAACATGACAACAACAACCAATACAAGAACACGATAGCAGTGTAAAGTACAGGAAAGGCAAACAAATTACCCCCAAACATAGAAATAAAACTAAACCATCCCCATCCCACCAGGCATCCTTCTTCATCCAGCGAGTCCTCGCCGAGTCTCAAGGCTCATTGTCAGGAGGGTGTTGCTACATTGGGATGTTTGGCTCACTCCATGAATGGATATTTATAATTTGTGTGGAAGCCCGAGTAGCAGGAGAAACCCCCACCACCGATACGATGGGATCACACTCACAATGGCAGTAGTCATTCGTGAAGTTTCCACAGTCTGCACAGCTAGCTTGACTCTCCTCATTGTGTACCCTTCTCGATACAATAGACTACAATGTGGATTTAGATAGCGGTGAAATGTGACCGGATCCTTTGAGACTTTGCAGAAATAGTGGGCGTGTTTTATAGGAGGCAGTCGGTGATCGGCCGAGGAGATGATCTTGATCCTGGACTTGTATAGGGGCAGGGAGTCTACAGCACGGATGACTGTGGGAAGGGAGTTCCAGACAATACGGCCACCGTAGGCGAATGAGCCACCTCCCTGGGAGAATTTTGACTGAGGGCATCAGTCGAGACATTCTTAATTACTGCAACAGAGTGCGTACAGGGGAGTAGAGTGAGATGAGAGTGGATAGGTAGGAGAATGCGTACAGGGGAGTAGAGTGAGATGAGAGTGGAGAGGTAGGAGAATGCGTACAGGGGAGTAGAGTGAGATGAGAGTGGATAGGTAGGAGAGTGCGTGGAGGGGAGTAGAGTGAGATGAGAATGGATAGGTAGGAGAATGCGTGTAGGGGAGTAGAGTGAGATGAGAGTGGATAGGTAGGAGAGTGCGTACAGGGGAGTAGAGTGAGATGAGAGTGGATAGGTAGGAGAATGCGTACAGGGGAGTAGAGTGAGATGAGAGTGGATAGGTAGGAGAATGCGTGTAGGGGAGTAGAGTGAGATGAGATGTGGGTAGGGTCGAGTCTGGAGGATTTTTGAAGCACTGCCACCTCTTAACTCGTGCCAAACCATGTGCCAAGCGAGGCTTTACTTAAACGGTCGCATTGCAGGTGCGCAAATACTGCACTTGGCTGGGAAGATCCCAGTTTTGGAATTCCCTTTCGTTTTTGCACAATAGGCTAATGGCTTTAACCTTTCGAGCGGCGCAATTAGGCGATGACACATCTTACAAATGAGCGCGTAGGTGACTGAAATGCGCCCGCCAACAAACATCCGTGCCATCTAGTGATGAAAGTACCAAATATATGCGCAGTTTGTCAGCAGAATGCACTGATGCGAGACGTGCAGTTCACCTGGCGTGTAACAGGACGCGATGCTACACGTTAAATGCCAGTTCATCGTTATGCCATCACTCAATCCACCCAAAGGGCATCGTCCATACATTTGCAATGACAGTAAACATTTTGTAGGGAACTGTGACGCAGTGGTTGGCGAACTGCTTTATAAACGCCTCCGCCTGAGTTCAATTCATGGCCACGACTAAAATATCTCGTCTCTGTTCCTGACTCTGTATATATAAATGTATTTGACAGCGTATAACGGAGGCGGCATGCATTGTAGATTGTAACGTGTTTTGTACGCGTTTCATTACAAGGGATTTTTTCCGGGTAATTTATTTTTCTATAATAATCAGAAAATAAATACCGCGAGTGGCGAGATATATCTGAGCCACGGTCACGGCCACCTCCTTCACCAAACCGCACCGGCAGCTATGTTCAACAGTCCCCATAACTGAAAACGACTAGGGGAAGCCTTCATCCAGCAGTAGATTGACAGAGCAACACGAGATAGGAGTCACTGCCACACGCCCCCCTACCCGCTCCATCCATGAAACGAGAGACCTTTTGACCCCTTTTAGAGTGCAAATCATTCAGGGTAATATCACTCTTCTTGTCCTTTGAAACGCACGCACACACACAGCAACCTCGGCACACCACACAAAATCAATCCCTCTAATAGTTTCTGCGGTGCAGAGTTTATCACCACTTTAGGAAGAGCCCCGTGCATTATTTCTCCTCTGGCTATCTATTGGCTGCATTGAGGGCACGCGCATGCGGCAGCAGCAGCAGCGTCACCCGGCGCGGTAATTGTCTCGTGAATCCTCGGTTCTCCACCGGGACCCCCGCCGGCTGGCGCACAGCGTGGAGTTGCCACCTGTCCTGGTTTTCCCAGGATCGCCCTCTAGCTCAGGCTATATATTATTATTTCTGGATTGTGACGCGCTGCGCTGCCTCTTCGTATTGTAAATCAAAAGTTGAGGTTGCGACATAGAATCCGGGAACTGTGTGCGCGCGTGTGTGTGTCAGAACACATTTGTGTAACTGTATTGACACCGGGCACACGTTCTGGTACGTCTTATTATCTGAAGACGACGATATTTGTCCTGTGGATACTGGGCCACTTCCCAGGTAATTACAAGTCCCGGTTACGTAATGTCCCGAATTTTGTCATCTGTGTAGTGATAATAATAAGAAGAACGCACCACTCACGGCAACGCATAACACAAAACGCGACAATTTTCCAGTATCTTTGAGATATTTTACTTCCCAGTGCTAAATTTCAGCTGGAGCAGTCGGGGACTGATCTCGAAAAAATATTCCCCCTGGGGTGTAAGGCCAGGGCGGGGGCGGGAGGGGGGTGAGAGCCAGGGGAAAGGAGAAGGGGGGTATACAATCCAATATTCGCTGAGAAATTAAGCCCGGCTTCTTCCCATGATAAGCCGCGCTTTTGTTTTGCACCTTAGGGGTGGCAACCCTCGTGCATCCAGCCCCACAGATGCACCGCGCGAAGCTCAGCAGGCGTCTGCCAGGGAGGCAGATGGCCCTGCTGAATGCGATCGCCTCGCGCCATCTGGAAGCACGGGGACCAAGCAATCCACCCCCAAAACTCACCACCGGCTGCCACCGTTTCATTTATTCATGCACCAGCGTTCGTTTGAAGGCCTGTGTTGTATCTGGCAGCGGGTAGAGCGGGCAGCATTGGCTGTCCATTGCTGCTGCTGATGATGATGCCCATATGATGCCTCCCTCGAGTGGGAGCGTGGCTCACATGAAGAATAATCACTGTGTGTGTGTGTTGAGCTCCACAGACGCATGTGCATGACGCGCTGCCGGCGTCTGTATGAATGTTTAACTTCTTTTGCGCCGTACGTAGCCAACCACGCTGAATGGAGGTGCGGTGTGAAGGACAACAAACTAAATGCACGAAGCAGTTATAAACAAATGAGTTTGTCAATCTAGATGATGTAAAAGTGCATTGCTCCAGAGGCTTCCTAATATCGGAAGGAAGAGCGTTCCAGACGGCCGCAGAAGCGCACCTGAAAGCGCGCGATGCAGTGGTTCGCCTTTGTTCGATGGCCAGCAGCCAAAAGCCGTTGCTGCGAGGATGATGAGGGCGTTCGACATTCCACGTATGTCTCGATGTCGCTGTGTCTGTCTCTATGTCTTGCTCTGTGTATCCCTGTTGTTGTTTTTATGTATGTCGCTGTGTTTCGCTCCGTCTTGCTGTGTCTGTCTCTGTGTTTTTATTGCGAATTATAAAGGCACACGGATAATTATCTACGTCCCTTGGTGTCTCCACCTGTCTGTCTGCCTCAATTTTATATCGTTTTACTGTGTCTCTCTGCATCTATGTGTGGCTGTGTTTGCTTCATGTCTGTCTATAACTGTGTCTATTCTCCATTTACCTCTGTTTCTGGATCTCTGTGTGTCTGTGTCACTCTCCATGTCTCTACGTCTCTCTATGCTTGTCTGTGTCTTTGTGTGCCCGTGCGTGTATCTTTTTTCCGTACCTTGGCCTACTCTTCCCCACGTCTGCTGCACAGGACCGCACCGGTGCTGCCGAGGCTCTGTGAGCATCAAACATCTCGCACGCGAGTGCTGGTGACGGCACGGCGTACGTTGTTTTTTTGATATTATTGCTCAGATTTCCCGGAACTGCTTGTGCCCTGTTAAAAGGAAACAACTCCACGAAAGCGCGCTGGGGCCGGTGATAGCATCGCAAGCCCAAACAGCACGGCGCGAGATGTCCCCTCTAAACACACACAGCGGCTGCTTTGTGTGTTTAGACCACGCGCTGGTCCCGTGTCCCAACTCCTCCTCCGCATCCTTCATCTCCTCTTCCTTTGATGGCTGACTCCGCAGAGACTGTGCCCTCACATGCCCACTGCATAGGTGTGCACCACACGTGTGTTTTCGGGTTGTTTGGTCGCT